GAGCAGCCCACGTCGTTTCTCAGAGATCAGTTGTAGGAGGCGTGCTTGGCGGCACAGATGTTGGCTGTTGCCAAAAGGTGGGGAAGGAATATTTGGGGTGGAGGGTGTTTCCTCTCTCTCATTACCTGTGGGCCTCAGGCAACCCTCAGGTTGAACAGCAAAGGTCACTCTTGGCCGTGCACACAGCACTCTGACGTTCATGTGCACTTCCCCAGGGATCCTGGTGGCCTCTGCAGGCTATTTTACAGATGGACAAACTGAGGCTGGAAGGCTTTCTTTGTCTTGTTCTCCTTCCTGAGCGGTCTGGGTGCGTATGGGAGACGGTCTTACGAATTCTACCCCTCTGACTCGAATGCCTGCCTTCCTGATTAGGAGGTCACACCACAGCACAAAGCAATTTGGCTGCCTCGTCCTACAACACAACCTCTAAGGGTGGAAATGTGGGATGTGTGTTCTCACAGGAAACTGGACATGGACGGCCACCTCACGTGCGGCCTGCACAGCTGCGAGGGTGCCGTCCACAGCGTGCCCGGAGCCGCAGACACACAGCTGGGGGCAGGTACGTGGCCTCAGGGTCTGCACACCGCCTGCAGTTCTGAGCACAGCGCCCACCACACTTCCAGCTGGACTCCGTTCATCAAGCCCTTTATAAAAGCCCTGCTCCACCTGGAGAAGTTTTAGAGGTTCCTGAGAGTATGGACTTGTTGTGTCTACATTTTGGAATTTGGCAAGCTTTAGAGAGAACGCAAGTCTGATTTTATTGCTAATTAAAGTAATTAAAATAATCAGGGCTCTCTCCCAGTCAGCAGCTTGAGGAAATTAAGAGAGAAAAGCTTTTCTCAGAGTGACTCAGAGCCAAATGGAAACAGAGTTCTCCAAAGCACAATAGACTCCCCCCTCAAATAACCTCAAAGGTGTGAAAACAGGCAGCTCTTGGTGTGGTCTGGGGTCTCTGTCAGAGGCTTGGCATGCATGGGAGGGGGCAGAGGGGCAGAGCCCTGGACCAAACTCCTAAGGAGACGCCCCGGCCCCACTGCCTTTTATGAGCCTGTCTGTTCCCTGCGGCTTCCTAGTCATCACAGGCTCCGAGAGAAGCCTCGTGGGGACTCCATGGGTTCTGAATGAGTGTCCACGTCCCACACCTGGCGCCGCTGTGTGTGTCTCAGTCACAAAGAAGAGTGTGGTTGTCCTGAACGGGACCTGAGTAACCAGTGCAGCCCAGGGATGGGCAGATGGTCCCAATGGGGCCTCGCTTTCAGGCAGAGGAGGGGCACATACCAGGGACAGTCTGGCCATCTCGGAGGGCAGATCCCTTAGGACTCTGAGCTGCTAGGAGGGTGGGGTGCACGTGGAGCACCAGTGGCCTCTCCTGCCCCTTGGGCTTCGAAGAGCATCCCTGAGGCATCTGCTCTATGGATTTTTTGAGACATAAAAGCCCTTTGTCTCTGCCCCCGTTCCTGACACAGAGCCCCCAATCCTTGTGAGTTCTTCGTCGGTAAGAGCACGAAGACCATCTCTCGTTCTAATGGGGCAACTCTGGGTGGCTCCAGATGGCTTCTGGATGGAAACTGGTCACCAGAGAGCTCAGCCATGATTAGAAACCTGGACATTCGGCCACCCACATCCTCCACGAAGGGGCGAGTTTGGGCTAGAAACGGAGTTAATTGTGGATCTTTCCCACTTGAGGGAGCCTCTATAAAGTCCCAAGCGCATGCTCTCATTTTGGTGAGTACATCCAGCCCAGGAAAGGGCTGCACCCCAGCTCCACGGGGACAGAAGATCTGGCACCTGGGACCCTCCCAGACCGCTACCTGTGTATCTTCATCTGGTCAGTCACCTGTATCCTTGATCGCATCCTTTAAAATATTAGTAAGCATTGCCCTGGCCGGTTTGGCTCAGCGGTTGGAGCGTCGGCCTGCGGTCTGGAGAAACCCAGGTTCGGTTCCTGCTGAGGGCACGTGCCTCGGTTGCGGTTTGTCCCCAGCCCCGGTTGGGTCGTGACCACTCGGTGTGTCCCTTTCACATTGATGTTTCTCTCTCTCTCTCCCTCCCACTCTATCTGAACAAAATATCAAAAAAGTGTCCTCGGGTGAGGATAAAAAAAATATATATATATTAGTAAACATGTTTCCTTGAATTTTGTGAGCCACGCTAGCAAATTAATCAAACCCAGAGAAGGTCTTAGGATTCCCCAATTAGTTGCCAAATGGGGCAGAAGTTGTGGGTAATCTGGGGACATATGCCTTAGAATTGGCATCTGAGGTGGGGGTCGCCTTGTGGGACTGAGCCCTTAACCTGCGGGATCTGTCTCCACATAGACAGTGTCAGAACTGCTTGTTGTGGGGGAACCTCCACATCTTTGGTGGCCAGAAACATCAGAAGTGCAGTGTTCTGTGTGACAGCTGAGGAGACACGGGACAAAGACTGACACAGTGGGAAGAACTGAGGCTCTCCTACTTGGGAACTTGGATGGTTCTTCTAATGGGCCCTTCAGAAGGACCAGAGCACTCGGGACGCCTTCAACGTGGCTTTCGCCTGCTTTTCCACGCATGCAGCTCACAACTGGTCAACTCTGTCGAGAGAAATCTAAAGAGCTCTTTCCAGTCAAGGTGATAAGAAAGCCTGTGTCATCATCTGTTGGGCTTTCTACAGTTTACTGTTGGCCCAGTGAGCCAGCCAGTCTGCTCCCCTGCCCAAGGTGCATCAGTGAAGCCCTGTGGCCCTCGATCCACTGCTGGCCCCAGACAAGGTATAAACTGGGCTTGGGGGCCCCAACCTTCCTCATTCTAGGCTGCCGTCACTGTAACTTTTATGTTTTAATCCTCACCCGAAGATATTTTTCTATTTATTTTCAGACAGAGAGAGCAAGCGCGAGAGAAAAACATCAATTGGAAAGAGACACATTGACTGGTTGCCTCCTGCATGACCCTGACCAGGGCAGGGGACTGAACTTCAACCAAGGACATGCCCTTGACTGGAATTGACAAACCTGTGACTCTTTGGTCCACGGGCTGAGGCTGTAACCGCTGAGCCAAACCAGCCAGGGCCCTCACTTTAACTTTTTTTTTTTATCCTCACCCAAGGACATTTTTTCACTTTTTGTTCAGATAGAATGGGAGGGGAAGAGAGAGAGAAACATCGACGCAAAAGGGACACACTGAGTGGCTGCCTCCCATTTGACCCAACCAGGGCCAGGGACAAACTGCAACTGAGGTATGTGCCCCCAGTGGAAACTGAACCCGGGTCTCTCTGGACCACAGGCTGATGCTCTCACTGCTGAGCCAAACTGGCCAGGGCCGCTTTAATTTTTCAAAAATGTTTCGTAGCCCTGGCCGGTTTGGCTCAGTGGTTACAGTGTCAGCTCGCGGTTCAGAGAGACCAGGGTTCGGTTTCCGCTAAGGGCAGTACCTTGGTTGCAGTTTGTCCCCGGCCCCAGATGGGGTCGTGTGGGTGGCAGCCAGTCGGTGTGTCTCTCTCACATTGATGTTTCTCTCTCTCATCCTCCCTCTCCCTCTTGGTTTATCTGAGGATGAATGCAAAAATGTCCTAAGGTGAGGATAAAAAAAAAGTTTTGTATACTTTTATGAGCTAGTCACAAGAGGCTCAGGGGGCAGAAAGTTTATTACATTCACGAGTCTTAGAGCCACATGGAGCAGCACCAGAATGACCAGGAGGCAGAAAACAGAATGAGGAGTGGGTTTAGGTTAGGTCATTGCCTTTATTAAGGTTTCCACGGGAAAGGCATGGCAAGGCTGGGCAGGGCGAACAGCCAGGACTGGCTAGTTTGAATAATTTCAGGGGCTTTGGGCTGTAGAAGTAGTTCGAACATGCCTGGCACTTGGCTGCAGTGCTTAGGGCAGAGGACTGCTGCTTCCTGGGTTTGGGGCCAGAAGAAGCAGGTCCGGCAGATCACAGGCCCTTTGCTGTCTCTAAGAATTGACTAACCTGGGACAGGCAGTCTCTTCCCAGCCAAAAAGGCTTTTAAAGATGCCAAAACAGTCCAGCTGCTGTGCCTCACTGATTGAGCGTCAGCCGGTGCACCAAGAGGTCGCCAGTTCGATTTCTTGTCAGGGCACGTGCCCAGGTTGTGGGCCAAATTCCCCAATGGGGGTGTGCAGGAGGCAGCCAATGATGTTCTCTCCCAGCAATGTTTCTGTTTCTCTCACCCTCTCTCTGTAAAGTCAATAAAGGGGGGAAAAAAAAAGATGTCAAAACATCACAATATCCAGAAAATAACACATAAGCATATAAAAATGTTAAATACAAACTGTATTCACACAGTGGAATACTAGATAGCCAGGAACATGAGCTTTGTACAACGTGAATGGGAAACACCCCAAGCACTGGAGACTGGAGAGGGCCCCTCACCCTGGGGTTGACCCGTGTCTGCGGCTGGAGGGCGGCGCTGTGCTGTCCACCTGGGAGCCAGGCGCGTGTGGTCACTGAAATATAAAGTCAAGTGACTCAGGCATTTAGCTCCTGGTGTCACTGGCCGCCTACGAACTGCCGTCTCGGGCGGAGGGAGGACAACCCGTGGATGTCACTGCGGGTCCCACTGCGCCGCGCCCGTGGGTGAAGGTGGACACCGAGGGTCTGCTGGGCGCTGACCGCGGGTTTCAGGGTCTGGGTTTGTCAGGGGGTTTCTTCACGGCCAGCTGCTGTGCATCGTCGTTGGCAGCAATTACTCACCAGGGATGCTGCCGTTTTCTCGCAGGTGATGCCTTTTGAATCCGCCCTGCCAGCCGCCAACTCCAAGCCCAGCTCCACCTGGCGTCGGCAGCTCCCCCGTTTGGCCACCACCAAGATGGCTGCTGCGCTGGGTCTCCGCCCAGGTGGGGGTGTGTCCGGGCACTGCCAGCCAATGGGGAGGCAGCGCGGGCCCCAGCCAATGGGAGGCAGCGCCGGCCGTCAGCCAATGGGGAGGCAGCGCGGGCCCCAGCCAATGGGGAGGCAGCGCGGGCCGCACGTACGGAGCTGCCGCCGGCTGCCGCGCTCTCGCCATGTCGGGCTCCCGCGTTCCGGACGCGGCCTCCGACCCGCGGCCCGGGGGCTGCAGGAGGACGTGGGCCGAGCTGCTGGGTAGGTGGGTGCGGGGGCCGTGGGCGTGCGCAGGGCCAGGCCCGAGCCCCGTTCCCGACCGAGCCTCCCTCGGCCCGACCCGGAGGGACCTCCGCACACAGGCTGCCTTCAGCCTCTGGAGCCGACCCCTGACCTCCGACCCCGGGCCCCCGGGCCCTGCCCTCTCGGTGCTTCCCCGGGGCGCCGAGTGCCCTGCGCGGTGTTGGGAAAGGCGGCTGTGGGAACGCCGGTGACGGTGGCGTGTGGCCTCTGTTGGGCGTCGGCCGCCCGGGGGTGGGACTGGGGTCGGCGGGTCCCTGACCGGCGCCCCTCGTCTGAACCGGTCCCGCAGCGGGCAGGGTCCGGCGGCCGGAGGCCGGTCCCGAGCGGGCACAGCAGGTACGGGCGGCCGCCGCGCAGCTCCTGAGGCGCCACCTGAACCTGAGCCGGCTGCTGCTTGAGGTAAGGGGCCTGGCCCGCTGGGTGCCGTCCGGGCGGGGGGGGTCTCCCCGGAGACGAGCTCGGCGGTCCTGGTTCCCGAGGTTTCCCGGTGCAGGGCGGGGGTCTCCCCGGAGACGAGCTCGGCGGTCCTGGTTCCCGGGGTTTCCCGGGGCGGGGTGGGGGTGTGGGGGGGGCGGGGTCTCCCCGGAGACGAGCTCGGCGGTCCTGGTTCCCGAGGTTTCCCGGTGCGGGGCGGGGGTCTCCCCGGAGACGAGCTCCGCGGTCCTGGTTCCCGAGGTTTCCCGGTGCGGGGCGGGGGTCTCCCCGGAGACGAGCTTGGCGGTCCTGGTTCCCGAGGTTTCCTGGTGCAGGGTGGGGGTGTGAGGGGGCGGGGGTCTCCCCGGAGACGAGCTCGGAGGTCCTGGTTCCCGAGGTTTCCTGGTGCAGGCGAATCTCCCGCGCGCAGGGCGGAGGCCGGGGTCCCCGCGCGCTGGCAGGTTCTTGCTGTTCCAGGTGGACGGTCCGCGGCCTGCAGAGCTGCCTCTCCGCGGACGGGTGGACCAGTGGGTGGACCACGGCAGCCCGGGCGCGCTCGTTGGTGAGTGAGAGCCGCCTCCCTCCCGTGTCAGCGCCCTGAGTCTCCTCGGGGTGCCCAGAGGAGCCGGGATTCAGACCCCAGCTGGTGCGCTCTGCTTACCAGGGAGCCGGGCGTTTGTGACTCGCTTGGGGCATGCTTGGCTGCTAGTAAAAACAAGGCTTGTCCCAGCCAGTGTGGCTCAGTGGATGGAGCGTCCTCCCATGGACGGAGAGACCCCAGTTGATTCCCCGTCAGGGCACATGCCCAGGTTTTGGGCTTGATCCCAGTAGGGGGTGTGCAGGAGGCGGCCAGTCGATGTTTCTCTCTCTCACATCCATGTTTCCATATCCCTCTCCCTTCCTCTCTCTCTCTCAGAGAAAAAAAAAATCAATAAAAACAAAACAAACAAAAAATACACGGTTTGATCTGACACAGTAGGAAGCATGTCCCTTGGAAAGGTGGACATTGATGTACATTCAGGGAGCAGTGGGAACTTGGGGAGTCAGAAGCCAGAGATGTTAACTAATTCATTGATTTGTTTTAGATTTCTGTTGAAGTAACCTTAAACAGTGAGCTTGGTAAAATGATTTTCACTGTTATAACTAACTGCATTTCACAAGTTATGCATCATCATTCCAGGGAGCCGAGCTCAGCCACACCCTTCCTTATATGGACTTTGGATCAAGGAATAAGAATTAACATAAGAATTTCTTAACTTCGACCACAGAACTATGAAGAGACTGTTAAGTCATGAACTTTCTTATTTTATTTTTTATCCTCACACAAGGACTTTTTTTTTTGCATTTATCTTCAGATAGAGCAGGAGGGAAAGAAGGAGGAAGAGAGAGAGAGAGAGAAATATTGATGTGAGAGAGACATGTTGACTGGTTGCCACCCACATTACCTCAACCTGGGCCGAAGACAAATTGCAACCAAGATTCGTGCCCTTAGTGGGAACTGAACCCAGGACTCTCTGGTTCGTGCGCTGACACTCTAACCGCTGAGCCAAACTGGCCAGGGCTATTTTATTTTTATCCTCACCTGAGGACATTTTTGTACTTATCTTCAGGTGGGGTGTGGGGCAGAGAGAGAAACATCGATGTGTGAGAGACACATCTACTGGTTGCCACCCACACGACCCCAACCAGGCCGGGAACAAACTACAACCGAGGTACGTGCCCTTAGCAAGAACTGAACCCGGGACTCTCTGGTCAGTCCATGGGCCGACATTCTAACTGCTGAGCCAAACTGGCCAGGACTTTATTTTATTTTTTATTGTTTTTATTGATTGGCTCTTTATAGAGAGAGGAAAGGAGAGATACATCTATCGGCTGCCTCCTGCACACCCTACTGGGAAATCAAGCCCGAAACCCAGGCACATGCCTTGACAGGGACTCAAACCAGGACCTCTCAGTCCATGGGACCATGCTCAATCCAATGAGTCACACAAGCCAGGCTCATAAGCTTTTTCAGTTTTCCCTGCTGAAGATACTACCATACTTATTTGTACTTCTATAAAAGAAAGAAAAGCTTTGTAAATAAAAACAAATAACTTTCCCATGGAGACACACTGGAAATAAATGGCTAGAAATTAGCATTTTCTGTCTTTCTACCATGCTGCCCTGGTAGGCACATGAGGGCAGCCCTGGTTCAGCGCATCTACCACCTTGCCTTGTATGAAGAGGGAGGAGCTGATGGCTCCGCTCTCCTTCAGCCCCAGGCCCGTGTTGCCTGTGCGCTGGTTGTCCTCTGAGCCCGCCAGTCAGGTAGAGTTTCCCTTCCCACGGGTGAAATGGAGTCAAGCGTTCCTGCTGATCCACCTTAACCAGGAGCACAGCATGACTTCAAGAGGACTGTTGAGCCTCGTGGCTCCTACAGTCTGATTTCAACTGGATGTCAGGAACTGCTACTCAGAATCAGCAAAGCTAGTGATGGGTTCCTGAGTGAGGCCCAGAATCAGTACTGTGTTTCCTGGGCAGTTTTCTCAGATCACCAGGTCTCTAATGCAGGGTCCAGATCTAATACCTTTTCCTGGGAGATCTCTTAAGTAGGACATAATGATAGAGAGGGCCCATGATTGGCCCTCGGGGCCCTCCTCCCATATGAGCTCTAGGAGGTGCATGAGAGCCTGGGGAATCACTCCAGGTTGCTCTGGATGCCTAGCATTGTGTGCACCTCCCTTGCCCCCCTGGGCCCACAGGCAAGCACACTGGCATTCTGCCGTGGCAGCAAGTGCCTTAGGATGGGCCGCCCTGATCTGGCATAGATATCCTGCTTGGAACTTTCCCTGTAGAAAGTATCAGACTGGTATTTGAGAGTCTCCTGGTGGTTCTTCCAGTCGGCAATCTCTAGAGAGTAGCTGTCCAGGCCTGTACACAGAGGGTATCATTTGCTCCAGATGTTCAGTCTACAAAGGGCCTCAGTCGCACAGCCACCCTTTCCCCAGCAGGGCACGGGACAGCTCCCACTCCTGCATCTATTCCACTGCCTCATTTGACTCGCCTCTCCCATTTGAATTTCCTGGTGCCCTGAGATAAAATTCTTAATCAGACTGTGTCTGCCAAGCTCTCTTGTTTGTGTCCCACAAAACACACAAGTATGAATACGCAATTATGGGCTTCAGATGCTGCCCTGATGGTGAGCTGCCTCAGTCGTGAAGTTGTCTTCACTTGATACCTGTGTTTTCCCAGGAGGTCTATTCTGCCCTTCAAAAGGCAATTTTCTGTGGTGCTACAGCTTGATAGAAGGTATTTTAAACTCCAAGTTTTCTGTTTCAGATTTTGTAATGTCTCTCATGTTTGTGTTGTCTTAAGGCTCTACTTTTCAGGATCAAGCCTCACGGCTGGGGGTTCCGGTGGCAGTCCTGTCCAGCCAGACAGTAGCTTCCAGCTTCGTGCAGATCTGCGAGACGTGTGCTGAGCCCTCTTGCGGGGTGCTGCTGGACCCGGAGCAAAGAGTAAGGCATGGCCTGACATGGAAATTGTGTTGCACTTACTTACTTTTAAGCTGTTGGGGGAAACAGGGCTTTTCTTTAATATTGTTTCAGGTATTTGCCCCCATTTTTTGTTGTCAATCCTCTCCCGACGATATTTTTCCATTGACTTTTTTTTTTTTTTAAGAGAAAGTGGAAGGGAGGGAGGGAGAGAGAGAGAAACATCTATTGGTTACCTTCTGCAGGGCCCCCACTGGGGCTGGGGGTCAAACCTGCAACCCAGGTATGTGCCTTTGACTGGAACCCTGTGACCCTTCGATCCACGGGCCTGTGTTCTAATTGCTGAGCCAAACTGGTCAGGGTGGTATTTGCCCATTTATAAAAAAGACTTAACCTCTCTTTTCAGAAGAAACTGTCTTCCTTGTTAGAGATCGCTGGGCATTTATTAGCACACAGTATGTTCTCCCGGCTCTCCTTCTGTCAAGAATTGTGGAAAGTACAGGTAAGTCTGAGATTGTAACTCTGACTCCAGGGGTTTTCCAAGCAGTGTTGTGTTGTTTGGGTGGATCCAAGAGAACCTCTATGTTTATTTTGGAACCCACCAAACATCTCATTAGTTGCAGAGTGTAGGGAAAAGGGTTCAGCAAATGCCTCTGGATGGGAAGGAAGTACCTGCAAACACTGTATGTGTTAGTGTTCACAGGGTGCAGAAAAGAGTGGGTGACTGTATCTGGGTGGTTGGGGAAGGCTTCCTAGGAGAACTGGGAGGTGCAGGGAGTGTAGGAGGAATGTGGTGCCTGGACTGGAGCAGGGTGATTGAGGGGATGGTGTGTGTCTGTGCTGCAGGAGGGAGGGCCTCACTGGGAGAGGACAGAACAGGCAGGGCCAGCTCACAAAGGGCTATGCCACGGCAAAGAGGGAATTTGATCCTGAGAGGCGTGAGAAGCTATGGAGGATTCTAAGAGATTGGCATGTCCCTTTATATTTTGGAATCTTGTGTTGGCCACAGTGGAGAAGGGTCTAGAAGCGAGTGAAGCTAGAGACTGGGTAGGGCCCTGTCTGAGCCTGCAGGGCACGCAGTGGTGGGGATGCGTAGGGGGAAGGGAAGATGGCAGCGGGTATGTCTGAAGGTTTGGTAAGTCTTAAACCCGTAGTGGATAAAACATGTTTTAGGCTGTGCTGTTCCTCCACTTGGATTTTCAGTAGAGCTTGGTGGTTGAGAACAGAGGCTAAACATTCTGTAGGAAAGTGTCATGAAGGACACATAATACTGTTATTTTCCTCAGGATTCTTTGTTGCTGGAAGCTGTGTGGCATCTTCACATACAGAACATTGTGAGCCTCCAAGAGTTGCTGGAAAGGTAGTGACAATGTAACATTATTCTAATATCATGTGGTTTATTTTTTATAACTAATCTTGTATGTCTCATGTATCAAAGCTGAAAATTGCTTCGAGAAATTATTACAACTGACCTTTGAACAACGTGGCCTTGAACTGCGCAGGCCCACTTATGTGCAGATTTCTTTCCAGTAAGTACAGTTGGCCCTCTGTATCCATGGGTTTTGCATCTGTGGATTCAACCAACTGAGAGGTTCAAAAACAGTGTTTTTGATCTGCAGCTGAGAATCTGTGGGTGCAGAGGGCTGACTGTATGTGTTGTTCTACGCCATCTTAACATACTGGACTTCAGCACTTGCAGATTTTGGTATTGGGGGGTGATCCTGGAACCAGTCTCCCGCAGATACAGTGAAGGATGACAACTGTATTAAATTTGGGGGGGAGTCAAAAGTTATATGTGTATATTTGACCCATGTTGTTCAAGGGTCCACTTACTCTATTATTTAAAGAGAACATTTTTTATAATTGAAGTCTTAACCATGAACAGACTTGCTGATGTTTTCTTTGTATAAGATATACCATTTAATAAATGTTTTTAAAAACTAAAAAGAGGTTCCAGTAAATATGGTTAATAAAATGTCTGCAAGTAACTTTATTTCCTTCTGAAATCCCACCAAGACTCAGAAAGGGGGTTTTGTAAAAAGGCACAACCCATGAAGATGGGAAGGCGTGGGAGAGGATGTAAGAGGAACAGAGTTTGGAAGCAGGGTGCAGAGGGACCAGTGGTAGACAGCTGAGCAAACCTGAGATGGGCTTGTGCTAAGCCACCAGTGGAAAGAAGGGAACCAATCCAGTTTCTTCTTCTTCCCTAAAAGACTCAGGGGTTGACAGCCCAGGTGCCTCTGGATGTAGGGGGAAGGAGAGAGACTTGTGGATTGAAAGCAAGTGCCAGAAGCACTTAGAACCTTAGGCAGTCACTTCTTTACTCTAGGCAGCTAGGCAGTTGCTCCTCCCCTTGTTGAGCAGGAGGTGATGGTCTGTATGTTTGTTCTCTGGCCATGAAAAACTGCATCTCGTTTGGGCGATTGCAAGCAGAGTTGAAAATGCCATATTGAAACACTGGTGGTACATGTGGACCACATCTGGATTTTAAGTTGAATCTTTTTTTCTTCTCATCTGAGCATGTTTTTACATTTATCTTCAGATAGGGAGGGAGAGAGGGAGAGAGGGAGAGTGAGCGGGGGAGAGAGAGAGACAGACAGACAGACAGACAGACAGACAACTGGCTGCCTCCCACATGACCTCGACCAAGGCCAGGGATGAACCAAGGCACGTGCCCTTGACCGGAATCGAACCCACAACTCTGGTCCTCGGGCCATGCTTTATCTGCTGAGCCATACCAGCCAGGGCTTAAGTGGAATCTTTATACCAAAAATATTGTTGATGAATCAAAGAAGGGAAAAAAATGATAAAAGCACCAGAGAGAATACCGAATTTTTGTAATCTTGATGTGGGGGTGGCCTGACTATTCCGTTTAACGACGAACAAAGGATTTCAGTAGTCAGTTCCCCAGAGATGATATCCAGATGGCCAAGCACATAAAGATGCTCCACATTATTGGTTATCAGGGAGATGCACATCTGACAGGCGGGGCAGGTGAGGGTCCCCCATCAGGGCTTTGCAGACCGCACGGATTGTCCTGTGTGGCTGACATGCTGGGTGACAACCTACTGCTGTAACTGCTGCTGTCTGTTGTATTTGTATGATTGTCATTCCCAAACTTTCTTCCCCCTTTCCCAATGATAGTAAGCTACTCTGAACAAGTAAACTACTTGAAAATTATTATTATCTAAAAAAATTTTTTTATTAATTTATTTTTGTTACAGATGTTTCTCCTTTTTCCCCCATTGACACTATTGTCTGTCCATTGGTTACGCATACATGTATATAAGTTCTGTGGTTTATCCCCGCCCTCTTCTGAGGTTTGTCAATCTGTCCCCTACTTTTATGTCTCTGAATCTGTTTTGTTCATCAGTTTGTTTTGTTTATTATGTTCTACAAATAAGTGAGATCATGTGGTATTTGTCTTTCTCTGACTGGCTTATTTTGCTTAGCATTATGCTCTGCAGGTCCCTCCATGTCATCTCAAAGGATAAAGAGATCTTTCTTACAGCTGCATAGTGTTTTATTGTACATATGTACCACAGCTTTTTTATCCTCTCATCTACTGATGGACACCTGGGCTGTTTCCAGGTCTTAGCAATTATAAATAGTGCTGCTATGAACATAGGGGCACATATATTCATTCTGACTGGTGTTTCAGGCTTCTTAGGATATATTCCTAGAAGTGGGATCATTGGGTCAAATGACAGCTCAATTTTTAACTTTTTGAGGAAACACCATATTGTTTTCTCTAGTGGCTGCACCAGTCTACATTTCCACCAGCAGTGCACTAGAGTCCCCTTTTCTCCACACACTCGCCAGCACTTGTTGTTTGATGGTGTGTTGATGGCAGCCATCCTGGCAGGTGTGAGGTGATAACTCAGTTGTTTTAATTTGCATCTCTCTGAGGATTAGTGATGTTGAGCATTTTTTCATATGTCTCTTGACCATTTTTATGTCCTGTTTGGAGAGGTGTCTATTTAGGTCCTCTGCCCATTTTTAATTGGATTCTTTGTCTTTTGTTGAGTTGTATGTGTACTCTATATATTTTGAAAATTAATCCCTTATCTGATGTATCGTTGGCAAGTATGCTCTCCTATATAGTGGGTTCCCTTTCCAGAAAATGATTATTTCTGATCTTAGTGTCAGGTGTCCCTGACAATCTTCCATGTCAGCAGTGACTTCTTGGTGCAGAAAGCTCAGAATGTTTTTAGCTCATTCTCAGTGGTCCGACCTTCCTAGTGAAATGAGTGGGAAGAAAGGGCCTGGTGGCTGTGGAGCAGGAGACCAGGTGTGCTGTATGCTTGTCCCCAGCCACACAGACATGCAGGCGGTGGAGGCATGGCTCTTCAGGAAGCTGCGCTGTCTGTGCGAACAGACAGAGTCCTGTCAGCACACTGACATCGCCAGGGCTGTGCTGTCTGGTAAGTGCATCACAGAGATGGGTTCTGGGATAGAATCCACTTAGGTTAGCTTTCTGCTGTGAAGATCTGCGGGAAGCAAAACAGGCCCCACAACCATGGCATGGAAATCTAGCATTAGGTCATCTTGGGCCATACCTGTCGTCGTGCCTTTGTACTTGAACTGTGTAGAAATTTTGGTAAGTCAGCCTGTTGACCCATTGTGTTAGGAGGCTTGTAGCTAGTGTGTCAAGTTGAAAACTATGTAGATTATGACCTGCTGATTGAGGTGCAGTTCCACCCCACAAAGTATGTGTTGTAGGAGACAGCAGGGCAGTAGGAGTACCTGTTACTTATGAGGTGGTTAGAAACAGAGGTAAGTAACTTTTCCTGGGCTCAGTTCTAACTTATTTTATTCTTAATATGTTTTTATTGATTTTTGTAGAGAGAGAGGAAGGGAGAGAGAGACAGAAACATTGATGTGAGAGAATCATCGATCAGCTGCCTCCTGCATGCGCCCCACTGGGGATTGAGCCCACAACCCAGGCATGTGCCCTGACTGGGACTCGAACGGGACCTCCCAGTTCATGGGATGACACCCAGTTCACTAAGCCACAGCAGCTGGGCATTTCTAACTTATTTTGAAAGGTGAAAAGTGCCCAAGGAAAAGCAAAGTGGATTGGGAATTCTAAGTTCAGCCCTTATTTAAGTCCAGACTGGGTGTAAGCTCATCACTCATGTTTTTCTGGACACCTCTCCCTTGGAGTGGGTCCTCTCCTGCTGCTCTCGGAGCCAGTAATCCCAGGAGTGAAATCTACATACAGATGATTTCCTGAAACTTTCTGTGATCCCTGAATCCTTAATCTGGCCCCAGACAGCTTAAGTTTAATTTGAAGATTAGATAGAGAATTTTTTTCATTTTAGCTCTCTCGACTCTAACCTTTTCAGAAGATATGAGTCCCCTTTCTGCTTCATTCCCCAGCGTGTAGTGCTTCTGGATTCTTCTGTAAAGGTTCTTGTGTCAGCATAGGAGATGGGCTGAGAGAGTCCCCAAGAAACCCCTGGAAGCTACTTTTTTAAAAGAAAATTCCTTACTTGTAAACTTGATTTATTATAAGTATAGTTGACCCTTGAATAGTGGGATTAGGGGTGCCAACGCCTCACATAGTTGAAAATCTGAAAACTTAAGTTGGCCCTGTGCATTCAGGGGTTCCCGGCCTCATATTTGATCTGAGGTAGGTTGACTGTGGATGTGAAGCCTGGGAGGGCCAACTGGACACTTATTGGGGCGGGGGAGAATTTTGGATGAGTGAACTGGAGCAGTGGAAACCTGTGGTGTTCAAGGGTCAGCTGTGTTTTCCTTTCAAATAGAAGGGCAAGGAGAAGAGTCTCTTTGGTCAGAACTTTGCTGGTTGGGTTTGGTGAGTACTGCGCATTGCATTTGGTGGGCAGTAACATGCAGGGCTCCCGAAGGCCAGGACCAGAGTGTTCTCACAGCTAGCTCCCTGTGGGTCAGTGCCTAGATTGCTGCTTCAGAGCTCCTGAAGAGGGTGGTCTGTGTGATTCCTGGTTGTGTGGAGACCAGTATATGTAAATACTTTGTTTTTGTGGTTTTCAGGTTTTGTGCAAATGTTTGTTTTGAAGGGATTTCAGAGAATCTTGGGCCCAAGAAGAGATATGGAGGCTGAACGGATGCCCCAGGTAGGAAAAAATTTGAAGGGAAGTGTCATGGCGTTGCTGAATAAGCCCACCCCCACCCCCACCAGCCAGTGTTCTTCCTTGGACATTCCTGGACCAGTGGCTGATCTTGTTGTGATCATGAGATGCTTCCATAGTGTTCCTCCCTTGACCAGTAGGTGTGGGAAGTGGAAACAGACTGTGATCTCTCCCATGTCTTCTGGTTTCCAAAGGTCTTCCCCATGGCCTGGAATTCGGGCCTGTGCTTTTAGATGAGGGAAGGGGTGCTCTTTACTGGCTACAGTAGAGATAGCCTCAGCAGAGCTCTTCTGGGAAGACAGCACCTGTGGGAAGTGGGTTGGGGGGGTGGCAGGTTGCAGCCAGGGCCCAGGACCCAGGGCCCGGGGCACCACAGCAGACACTTCCAGAAAGTCTGCTTTTCACTCTGTGTGGTCTGTTCAGTGCTGGGATAATATGTAGACCTAAGAGGAAATCTTAACAGTGTACCTGTTTGGAAAGTCAATTCTGTATTTGACTCTAGAGTAACGACTAGCTTCCTGTGGGGCCCAGATGTGGCCGAGCAACAGCGACTCCGTTCTGTGTTCACAGATTGCTTTGGCCGTGTTGCAGAGAATGCTGCTCTGTGAGTGCCCTGCCCTGCGCCCAGACTGTATGGCTCCACTTGCTTTCCAGGAGTGTCCTCAGTTTCTCTGCCTTTCTGTTTCACGTATTTTACCTGTTGTATATTTCTCCCTATGGAGTCCTTGTACCAGAAAACCCCTTTTTTGGTTGTAGTTTGGTATAAACTTAGCCTCCGCTTTTTCTCCTGGCTCAGTTCCTCCAGAGCTGTGAATGAGTGATTCTGTTTAATGGTGAATTCGGGCACATTTCATTGTCTACACACTTTGATTGGTTTTAAAGGCTTCACGGAGATGCTTGGAAGCCTGAAGGCCTTGTGCTGTCTGTGGGGAGGGCTGTAACTTGGAAGTGAGGGGCTCCTAACCAACGATGAAATGCCTGCCTTGCCCAGAAACACATAGGGGTATTTTTGATGGACTGTGACTATGTACTGTCTGTTTTCTGCTTCCGCGTTCTCACATCAGTCGCACTTGAAACCTTGGCTGCTGGCGTGCAGGAGGAGTCCTCAGCACACAAGGCGGTGAGGTGCTGGTACGTTCCTTGGGGGATCCTGGAGGTGGTTCCCCGCTAGGTTAGAGGTCCTAGGTATTTCAGACACTCTGAAATACAACAGGTGAGTCCTGAGCACACTTCCTCTGCCATCGTGCCGGCGCCAGGGCAGGTGCCAGCTGGGAAGCCCTTGAAACTCCCTGGCCTGCCCGCTTCATCTGAGATGAGGCAGGGGGCCAGGTGCCCCTCTCTGGGCTCCTCATTTCTCTAGGCCCAGGCTCCTGCTGCTGATGGTACACCCCTCTTTCCTCCCAGGGTGACCATCTCACTGGTTCTCTGTCCCTTGTGCCTGCCCTCTTGGCCCTCTGCAGGGCTTCCCGGAGCACATAGCTGTCAGTTCCCTCCACCTGCCCCAGGGCTCCTGCTGAGACCCACAGTGGTCCTGGTTTTGCCACATTGGCTTTTTCTCTCTTTGGCTCTGGAGCTGCACGTGGACATGCTGAATTGGATGTTGAGGGGTCCAGGTTCACTTCAGTCAGACGTGTGAGGACAGCCTAGGAGTTGGCTCTCTCTCTGGGAAACCCAGAGAATCTCCCAGCATTCTCTGTCATCGTTTGCTCTGGTCATCCACACATACTTCCTAGTCCTCAACTGTGCTATGTAATCCAGTGCTTTACTTACACAGTGAAAACACTGCTTTGTTTTCTAAATTTTATGCATTTTTGTAATATGCCTAGATTGCTCAAACTCATGTCCCAAGAGTCAGATAATGATCATCAGTCTGTTTCTTTTTAAATTTTTTTTTTTTTTTTTTTTTTTTTTTTTTTTTAAATCTGTTTTTATTTTTATTTTTTTATCCTCACCAGAGGACATTTTTCCATTTTTTTTTTTTTTTTTTTTTTGTTCAGGTAGAGTGGGAAGGAGAGAGAGGAACAGAGAGAGAGAGAGAAACATCGATGTGAAAGGGACACATCGAGTGGCTGCCACCCGCACGACCAACCACGGCCAGGGACAAACTGCAACCGAGGTACATGCCCTTAGCGGGAACCGAACCCGGGTCTCTCAGGACCGCAGGCTGATACTCTAACCGCTGAGCCAAACCGGCCAGGGCTCTTTTTAAATTTTTTAATTAGTTGCCTATACTTACAGTGAAATCAGATATCCTCTAATCAGTGCAGTGGCACACTGGGACCCTGCTACCCAGGAAGGAGCAGGGCCTGTGGGCCCCCGGGTCCTCCCTCAGCCTGACGTCCTTGTCATATGTGACCCTGGGGCAGTGCACATAACTGCTGGGACCCTTGGTTTTCTCCCACGAGGAGTCGGTAGGGCTGACCCTGTCACACACCCCACTTTAGCCCTGGTCATCCTTTGTCCCTCCTGACCTGTCAGTGACGCCTGCTCCCTCTGAGGGGTGGTTTCTCCTTCCCTTCTCGTCTCAGGACACTGTTGGCTTTAGGAACAGTTGCTGAGTTTCAGCCCCTATGTGTGCCAGGTGCTGCGCCAGACACTCTGTGCAACACTTGGCACAACCCTGCTGTCCGATTCCTGTTTCACAGATGGGGAAACCAAGGCTTTGCAGCACTGGCAGTTTTCTGGGCCCTGGCCCTCTATTGGGTCCAGGCCAGCGGTTGCGGGGCTTTCATCCCACTGTGGTTCTGCAGGCCCAGCCCTTGCTGATCTTCATCTGACCTCTTCCCTCCTTTTGGCTTAAAGGATATCTCTGTTGCCTGCTTGTAGTTTTCTCTCTTGTTGAAACTACACTTACCTGAACTCTGTGTCTAGCCTGTGGTGTGGTGGCCTTGGCAGAGAGAGTTTCAAGGTTATGGAAGGGGCAAGCCTGTGAGCCCCTGACTGGGAGTCGGGGACCTCATGGTCCAGGGCTGCTTTGCTCGACAGAAATCTCTGATGAGCTGTCTGGGTGTGGGAACGATGGACCAGCTCGTATGGTGACATTTGGAACACTGACGAGCATCTTTTTTCCTGAGATCCTTTTTCTGGTTCATTTGCAGGTTCAGCGGATTCAGTGGACATACGTTCCACGGTATACTTTCGACAGATTCTCCAAAGAGATTTTCCAGGCACACGCTGACTCAGATACTTACTTACCAGCCTGTGCTAAAAGGTGGGTTCTGGGCCCGTTTGTTTGGGGAACCGTTGCCTCCCTTGATGGGAGCATGGGGGCCCTATGTTAATGTTCAGATACTTTGAGATCATGAAGGACACTGTATCATTAACCATCTTCATAAAGAACATTAAGGATCAAAGGAGCATGGAAAGAAACACTCATCCGTCTCGTCACCAAAGTAGAAATATCTTTAACATAAAATCTTCTTGTTTTTTCTAAATAGATTTTTGAAAACATAGTTATATCTTTAAATTCAAGGTTCTGTTTCAAGGTCACTTAAGCACTTTCTTATTTAGTTTGGTTTTCTTAAGTGTTTAATGCTCATGCATCTTTTACTGGTGAGTGTCCTTTGGTTGCTGTCACCATCATGAACACCACCTGCAGGTGTTCACTATTACTAATGGGGTTGACATGCACACCCTGCCCACTGAGCCGGCTCTGCTGTGATCTGTCCCCAGGAGGGTCCTCAGGTGGGACCCGGACACTCCGGACAGAAGCCATTGTCCTTCCCCTAGGACCTGCGCCAGCCCACCGTCTTTCACCACCGTCCTCACTGAATGCTTATTGACAGTTAATGTTTAAAAGCAGCCAAACTCAAATGTAGTTGATGGGTTAGAAGACATATATAGCAAATATGATAAAGGATCACCAGCAGGTAACTGGGCCAGAGAGACATTTTATAACATAGAAATGGTCAACAAGCAGGGAAATGAACTTCACTAACTGAAAAAATGCAAATTATGACAAGGTAGTTCTTTGACATTGGAGCTTTAAAACACAGATTTTGGTGGTTGCTGACTTGATATTTTTGTCTGTTGTTCTTCCTGGTGAAGTCTCCAGTGCTGTTCAAATGCAGAGGGACTGGAGCTTTGCGAGGACCCACCCTCTGCTCACTGGCCTGTACCGCAGGGTGAGTCTCTCGGGGCAGGCCCAGGGGCCATGGAAGATCTCCCACAGTCGTCAGCCAGTATTGACTGCTGCAGAGGAGACCCGGAAGTGTCCTGTCTCAGCTCTGGGTTGTGTCCTGCTGGAAGTGGGAGGGGTGAGGTCCAGTCCCTGCCCAGCAGTGGTTTGCTCTGACAGCCCAGGACACTGTTTCAGCTCTTCGTGTTCCTGAGTCCAGAGGAGTTGGTTGGCCACTTAGAAGAAGTTCTGGAGACGCACGAGGTGAACTGGCAGCACGTGCTGTCCTGTGTGTCCACGCTGGTGATCTGCTTCCCTGGAGCACAGCAGCTGGTGACTGGTGCGCCTTGGGTGTCCTGGGGGTGTGAGTGTGTGTGTGTGTGTGTGCGCGCGCGCACGCGATACGTATATTATTGTCCGCAAAGCTCCAAGTTTTAGGGTGAGCCCATGGGCAGAATCACAGTAGCCATCTCAGCGAAGGTGGAAGTCCTCACCTGCCCAGAAGGTGCCCTGCATCCTGTGGACTGTGCCCTCTCAGGCTCTACACTTGCTGCTCATCAGCCTCATGTAGTTGCTGTGATCAGTTTACAGTCCCTTGAAATTGGCGTTGAGCATGCAAGTTGTAAGGGCAACACTTGCTCCCCAGCAGAATGTACACATTATTTTATTTTATTTATTTATTTATTTATTTATTTTTTAATCCTCACCCGAGGATATTTTTCCATTTTTTGTACAGATAGAGTGGGAGGGAGAGAGAGGAAGGGAGAGAGAGAGAGAAACATCGACGTGAAGGGACACATCGAGTGGCTGCCACCCGCATGACCAACCAGGGCCGGGGACAAACTGCAACCGAAGTACGTGCCCTTAGCGGGAACCGAACCCGGGTCTCTCCGGACCGCAGGCTGACGCTCTAACCGCTGAGCCAAACCGGCCAGGGCTACACATTTTTTTTTTTAAATATTTTTTTAAATTTTTTTTTAGAGAGAGAGGAAGGGAGAGAGAGACAGAAACATTGATGTGAGAGAGCAACATTGATTGGCTGCCTCCTGCACACCTCCTATGAGGGATTGAGCCCACAACCTAGGCATGTGCCCTGATTAGGAATCAAACCGAAACTTCTCAGTCCGTGAGATGACACTCAGTCAATCCACTGAGCCACACTGTTGGGGCAGAATCTACACATTTCATTCCTACTGGTTATTCTTGCCTAGATTGGGTGGCCCGTTTGCTGGCCCGTGCATTTGAGAGCTTCGACCTGGACAGCATGATCACCGTGTTTCTGGTTGTGCGTCAGGCTGCGCTGGAGGGCCCCTCTGTGTTCCTGTCCTACGCAGACTGGTTCCGGGTGCGTTACCTCTGCTGACTGGCCAGTGCTCCCAGTAGGGAGTTGGCATATCTCACGACTCACTGTCATAAGAATGAACATGTTCTGGGGTCAGCTCTGCAGAGATGGCCCCAGACAAACCCTCCTGCCCAGGGCCTGGCCCCTTTCCAGATTGCTGGATCTCTCTGGAAGGAGTGAAAACTCGTGACCACTGCTTTTTGGAGACTGGAGACTGTCCGTTGTTTTCCAGTTAGTCTGGGAATGGGCTTTTTAGGGTCTTCCTGGGGTCTTTCTATCTCTTTCATGCCTGCAGAATCCAGGCTTCTAAGGGAGCCTGGGAGAGCCTAGACCATGCCTGGGTGAGAGGGAGTGTTTTCATGAACATTAGCTCAGGAGGTGTAGCACGAGTAAGTCTGTTATTCTTGTAAAGCTTTGGGTGGAGTAGGTGTGCCTCTTGAGAGCTCACCTGCCTGAAGTTACTAAGGAGAGCCACTTTGCACAGCTCCACGGGGGGCCGGCTGCTCTCTGCCTGGTGTTAGTAGAGGACGGGTCTCATGGTGTTCTTTCTTCATTGTTTTATTTGCTGAAGTTCCTTCTTATCGACTTGTGCTCCCAGGGATGTGCGTGCAGTCGACGGTAGTGTTCTCAAGGTGCTGAGGGACTTTCCCCAGAACCCCAGCACTTTGCTGTGTTTGTACATCTCCATCTGCTGAGAGCTCTGCTGGGGTGATTTGGCCCCAACCAGTTGTGCCCAGACCTTATGTTTGTTCCGTTTTCAAGACAATAGAGGGCAGGAGAAGAATACTGCAGTGCCGTGTTGCGGGTATTTTTCTGGTTTTGTTTCTCCTTCCTTTTTTTTTTAAATTCTCAACTGAGGATATTTTTCCATTTATCTTCAGATAGAGTGGGAGGGGGAAAGAGAGAGAGAAAAAGAAACATTGATGTCAGAGAGACACATCGATTGGTTGCCTCCCGCACAACCCCAACCAGGGCGGGGGACCAAAGTGCAACCGAGGAATGTGCCCCTGACTGGAATCGAACCTTCAACAGTTCGGTCCGTGGGCCAATGTTCCAACCACTGAGCAAACCAGCCAGGGTCCTTTTACCTTTTTAATTCAACTTTATTGAGATATAATGTATATAAAATAAAATGTACTCAATTTCAGTGAATGGTTAGATGTGTTTTGACAGGTATTTATGCATGTGTTCAACATTTGAAGAACTGTTTAATCTTTATTTTCAATGATGTCAATGTAAATAGACCAATATGATTGCAAATTTGAGCCTCTGGGGTTGGGAATATATAGCTCTTAGCTCATCCCAGTATGTGCTTGGGTGTAACTTTTCTAATAATGAAAAGAACTGCCTTTTTCCTGGAGTGACACTAAGTGCCGCTGTTACTTCAATCTGGGGTGTGTGTTACTTTCAGTGTGTGTTGTTTCCAGGGAACTGTAGATCTGCTGTGGGGCTTTGTTTCTGTTCCTGTCTTCAGTGTAGCCAGGCTTCTTCTCAATTGAGTGGAACCCTTCTGTGTAGATGGATTAAATGGAGGCAAATGATCCCTCTTGAACTTGGCTGGGAGGGTGTAGAGTGGGAACAGAATGGTGATGTGGGGGCTGCCCTTTTCATCTAATGGCTTCTGCGTCTGTCCACCCATCGAAATGATCAAAAGAATCACGTTCTCTTTGCAGAAGAGCTGCAGCGGGTCTCCTGGTGATTAAACAATGACTCCGCGTTTAAGGGGCTGTGACAGGGCTGGGCTGTGGTGTGGGCCTGGCTGTAAGACCTGAGTTTGGGGCGAGGTGTCTGGTCCCTGCTCTCTGGCAGTGTTCAGGGCCAACACTTGTTAAAAACCTCCCTCCTCCAGTCACCCCAGGCGCTCTCAGTTCCTCGAAGGTCCATTCGTTCTGCTGTGATCGGGACTCTCAGTGAACTGAGGGGCCACCGCCTCCCCTGTGTTGATCTTGTCCACACAGACGAGTTTGGAAGTTTGTTCATAACTGTTGAGAAGTGGCTTCACTGCATGGAAGGAGTGTACTTGCCGAGGAGAGCCCTTGTTAGGCAGTTAGTAAAATGTGCCTCTGATGTTCACAAGTCACCATGGTTACTGTTTCATCTCACATCTTTAGCCAAGGCTTCCCCGTAACATTCAGAAATTTATGAACTGACTTTTAGAGTGGAAGGGATGGCGGCAGGGAGAGAGAGAGACAGAAACATCGATATGAGAAAGACACATTGATTGGTTACTTCCTGCATGACCCCAACTCGGGCCAGGAATCGAACCTGCAAAGTACGTGCCTTTGACTGGAATCAAACCCGAAACCTTTCGGTCTGAGGGCCGGCGCTCTAACCACTGAACAAACTGGCCAGGGCTGTGGTTTCTCTTTTCTTAGTAGTAGTTTCTGTTTTTGAAGCGCTGGGTTGACAGGTCCCTGTGTGGGTAGCAGGGTGCCTGCTGCCTGTGCCTCACGCCCATCTCCCTCCAGGCCTCCTTTGGGAACTCAAGGGGCCACCACTGCAGCAGCAAGAAGGCATTGGTCTTCCTCTTCAAGTTCCTGTCTGACCTTGTGCCCTTTGAGGCCCCCCGGTACCTGCAGGTGAGAAGCTGGCTGCTGGCACCTTTGCTTGATGCAGACCTGACAACCAGAGGTGTCGGCATGCCCTTGGTGAAAGTGTTGGTGATGATAAAAGGCCAGAAACCAGCCCCTTGCTGTCCCTGGGCGGTGGCCTCGCAGGGAGCTCTCCCAGCCCTTCCATGAAGCACTCTGAAAGCTGACTCAGGAGAACATGAGTGTTGTATGATTCCATTTCTGATCCATTGTTATATTGAAGGAGAAGAATCTGGAAGAATATCCCCAGACTACCAGTGGCCATTGCTTCCAGGTGTGGGAAATGTTTTTTATAATAAGTCTGTATGAATCTCACAATTAGAATATGTTTGTTTCTGTAAGCCTTCTTAGATAGCTGTACCAGCATTTGTTTTTGGGGGAAGGGCACCTGGAAACTGATTCTGACCTTTTTTCTGTTTATCCTAACCGGAGGATATTTTTCCATTGATTCTTTTTAGATAGAGTGGAAGGAAGGAAGGAAGGGAGAGAGAGAAACATCGATGTGAGAGACACATCAGTTGATTGCCTCCCGCATGACCCCAACCAGAGCAGGGGATCAAATTTGCAACCCAGGTACGTGCCCTTGACCGGGAATCGAACCCACAACCCTTTGGTCTGTGGGCCGACACACTAACCACTGAACCAAAACGGCCAGGGCAATTCTGATCATTTTTTTAACTAAGACATTTGCATTATATTCCAAAGAAACCAGGTGAGATAATAGGTAGAAGAATAGAACAAGCCATGTACCCATCATAGGGTGAAGCCCAGAGCGCTGCTCACACCTCTAGGCCTCCCCCCACCTGCCTGAATGCTTGACCGCCTTGTCTCTCGGGTACCCTGGGTGAGGCCTCAGCTGGCAGCCTTCAAGATGGAAAGGTGTCTCGTGATTATAGGCGTGAACAGCAGTGGCTGCCTTGGTGCCTTCCATCTGAGGAGAGAGGTTTGCAAAGGAGCGCCCTGGTCCTCCTGCAGGACCCTTGCCCACCCACTTCTGAAGGAGCACCCTCAGGCACATGTGGAGACCCTCACCAGGATTTTGTTTGTCCCACTCCAGCTTTTGTCCTCCTGGTCTCTGGCTAATTCTCTGACTTCCTGTCGTCAATATGAGCGTCTCCTCAAAGTCAGGAGCGGCCGACAGGCTAACACCCTGCTGTGTTTTCTCTATAGGTGCACATTCTCCACCCACCCCTGGTCCCCAGCAGGTACCGATCCCTCCTTACAGACTACATCGCACTGGCCAGGACACGGCTGTCTGACCTCAAGGTGAGTCCTGACCTCCCTTCCTCCCCTTGATCTTCAGCCGCCTTCACCTATCTGGTCCTTATGTTCTCGCTCATGTCTTCTCTGCAGGTTTCCATGGAAAACATGGGACTCTATGAGGATTTGTCTACAGCCGGGGACATCATAGAGGTAACTCACCTCGGTGCTGCCGCCTTGGGTGTGTCCCCATGCTCACCAAGCACAGTCTCGTTTCCTGTGACTGAGTTGAGCATTTGAGCCTTTTCTGTCTCTGGGGCCTGGTATGTGTGGTGCAGGTGGAGCCTGACAGTTACCTTAAGCTTGTTCTATAATGTCACACTATTCAGAACAGGAGCGAGACAGGCACGACTTATAGGAAGGGTTGTCTTTTGGAAGATCTCCGTCCACATGGGTTTGAGTGGACAAGGTGTCATGCTTTTTCTAGGAATGACAGAAAAAAGGGTTAACTACAATTATTTAAATTAAATGTCAGATGGCTATGTGGTATATATTTTTTAGAAGATCCTTTTACGTAAAAGTTGTGAGTTGCTTGAAACTGTTAGAGTTGCTGTTAAAGTGAATATTTAGAAATACTTGCCCTGCTGGTGTGGCTCAGTGGTTGAGTGTTGACCCATGCACCAAGAGGTCACTGGTTCGATTCCCAGTCAGGGCACAAGCCCAGGTTGTGGGCTTGGTCCCCAGTGGGGGACATGCAGGAGGTGGCCAGTCGATGTTCTCTCTCATCGATGTTTCTATCTTCCTCTCCCTCTCCCTTCCTCTCTCTAAAAATGAATAAATAAAATTTAAAAAGTCTTTAAAAAAAAGAAAAGAAATACTTAACGTAGCCTGGCCAGTGTGGCTCAGTGGATTGAGTGTCGTCCTGTGGACTGAGAGGTCCTCATTTGATTCCTGGTCAGGGCACGTGCCTGGGTTGTAGGCTCGATCCCCAGTAGGGGCATACAGGAGGCAGCCGATCGATGTTTCTCTCTCATTGATGTTTCTATCTCCCTTCCTCTCTTTCTAAAAAAAAAAAATCAATGAGCCCAGGCCGGTTTGGCTCAGCGGTTAGAGCGTCGGCCTGCGGTCCGGAGAGACCCGGGTTCGGTTCCCGCTAAGGGCACGTACAGTACTTCGGTTGCAGTTTGTCCCCGGCCCTGGTTGGTCGTGCGGGTGGCAGCCACTCGATGTGTCCCTTTCACATCGATGTTTCTCTCTCTCCCTTCCTCTCTCTCTCTCCCTCCCACTCTATCTGTACAAAAAAATGGAAAATATCCTTGGGTGAGGATAAAAAAAAAAAAAGAAAAAAAATCAAATTTAGTCTCTGTTCCTTCACACCTGAAAATCTTTAGTGGAGCCCTCGCCTGTCCTAGAGAGGCAGCAGAGGGTAGAGGCAGGAAGGACACGGAGATGGGAGGGTGGCAGTGGCTTCCTTAGGGGCCGTGCTGTTGCTGGGCTGCTTGTTGGTCTGACTTGCTGAGGGCAGAAAGAAAGCCATTGGTGCCCTTCCTAGTTCTGAATTCCCAGTGTGCCATGCATCGAGCTCAGCGCCTTTTCCATAAAAACAATAAGCCTTCTCTTTTTTTCCCTTCCTCCTGCATGGAGTCAGCCCCACAGCCAGGCGTCCCAGGATGTGGAGAAGGCTATCCAGGTGTTTGAACACACAGGGAAGATTCCTGTTGCTGTCATGGAGGCCAGGTAGGGTCATGCTGCTGGAGTTATCCCCTCATCTGCTCTCAGAACCACATGCAGCAGGTCAGTTGTGTTCGTGGGGAGACCAGCTGTTAATATGAACGTCCCGGTGATGGTCCTGCAGCTGGCTGGTGTGGAGCCCTTGCCATGACATATGTTTTCTTTGGAAAAGCACGCAGCACCCCAGAACAGAGCCAACAGGTGGGGCAGAGCAGAGCCACACTGTTCAGAGGGATGATGATTTTTATTAACTTCTTCACTGGTGACCAGTGTTGACCCAGTACAGGGAGTCAGGTTCCAAAATTGTGTTGAATTTGATGTGATCCCAAAACTTGTTAAATTCTGGCTGCTGTGAGTTTGGGGTAGCTTTATTAAGGTGTTGCTTCCGAGAAATGTCCAACTTCTGGGATTTCTAGATCTTCTCTAAGGAGAATGCCCACATTGACCTACTATGACCCTTGTGGCCTTGGATTGACCCAAAGCCATGGCCATGCTGAGGGGGAGAGCATTGTCCAGATTCCCTAAGAGATAGGTTGTCACCAGCACAGACTACCCATTGCATGAACTGGGTCTTAAAAATATGATGTAACTTCATAGCCATGAAATGAGATGACCCACCCAGTGCCACTCTGAGTGGAAACTGACCTTTTTGTTACCTTCACTGAGCTGTCCTGATGCTTCTGCTGTCTGAGCCTGCTTTTCTTTGTTGCAGCATATTCAGGAGGCCCTACTATGTGTCTCACTTCCTGCCCGCCCTGCTCACACCTCGAGTGGTCAGTACGCATCTTCATGAACTGGGATCGAGGGGCAGAGAGCAAGGATGTTTCTGTCTGCATCTCACTGGAGTCTCATGTTTCCTCTCACAGATTCCGAGAGCACCTGATTCCCGAGTGGCCTTCATAGAGTCCCTGAAGAGGTGTGCAAGGACATCTGTTTCTTTCTAGTAGGGCTTTTGACAATGAAGAGAATTCTGGTTCCTTTTGTAGACATGTTTTATCACATACATGTTTTATTTGTAAAACGTTGTCTCAAAATTAGTTGGTTAAGATTTTCAAAAGAATTTCTTTGCTTCCGAATATTGCCACTTTGCATCACTTTTCAACAAATGTGTAGGAGATTGATCCGGGAATGAAAGTAGTGTTATTGGTACAAAATCACTGTGAAGGGAGGAGAATTAATCTTTTTTTTTCCCGGTATTTGGCATAGCTTAATTTTTTGACATTTATTTCTAGTCTTAAGAAACGTTTTGTCGCCTGGCCAGTGTGGCTCAGTGGTTGAGCATCGACCCTACAACAAGAGGTCGCCTGTTTGATTCCTGGCCAGGGCACAGGTTGTGGGCCAAATCCCCAGTGTGGGGCATGCAGGAGGCGGCCAATCGATGTTCTCTGTCATCGATGTTTCTCTCTCGTTTCCTCTCCCTTCCTCTCACTCTAAAAATCAGTAAAGAAAAAAAATTTTTTTTAATTTAGAAAATGTTTTTTTTTTTATTTTTTATTTTTTATTTTTTTTTAATCTTTATTGTTGGATGTAAAATGTATTATAGATGTTCCGCATTTTTCCCCCATTGAACCCCTCCTCCCCACTCCCGCCCCCTTCCCACCTTTTCCCACACTATTGTCTGTGTCCATTGGTTATGCATATGAGTTCTTTGGTTTATTTCTTCCCACCCCCCCAACCACCTTCCCATTGAGGTTTGTCAGTCTAGCAATGAATTTGTACTTCTTAATCTCTTCACCTTTTTCACCTATTCCCCCAACCATGCATCGATGTGTACCTTTTACGTCGATGCCCCCCCCCCATCTGAACAAAAAATGGAAAAATGTCCTCAGGTGAGGATAAAAATATAAATAAATAACAGTTTGGTGGTGATGAACAACTTTTTCCTTGTCTGGGAAACTATATGGCCAACGATTCTAAACAACAGCTTTGCAGGATAGAGTAATCTTGGTTGTAGGTTCTTGCTTTTCATCACTCTGAATATTTCTTGCCACTCCCTTCTGGCCTGCAAAGTTTCTTTTGAGAAATCAGCTGACCGTCTTATGGGAACGGCCTTGTAGGTAACTAACTGCTTTTCTCTTGCTGCTTTTAAGTTCTCTCTTTGTCTTCAGCCTTTTGCATTTTGATGATGATGTGTCTTGCTGTGGGCCTCTTGGGATTCATCTTGTTTGGGACTCTCTGTGCTTCCTGGATTTGTATGTCTGTTTCCTTCACCAAGTTAGGGAAGTTTTTTACCATTATTGTTTCAAATAGGTTTTTGATTTCTTGTTCTCTCTATTCTCCTTCTGGCACCCCCAAGATGTGAATGTTGGCACGCTTGAAATTGTCCCAGAGGCTCCTTACACTATCCTCATTTTTTTGGATTCTTTTTTCTTTTTGCTGTTCTGATTGGGCATTTTTTGCTTCCTTATATTCCAAATTGATGGTTTGCTTCTTGGCTTTACCTACTCTACTATTGAATCTGTGTAAATTATTCTTTATTTCAGTTAATGCCTCCTTCATTTCTGACTGCATCCTTCATTTCTGACTGGTCTATTTTTATATTCTCGAGGCCCTCACTAAGTTCGTTGAGGTTCTCACCAAGTTCATTGAGCATCCTTTTTTTTTTCATCCTCACCTGAGGACATTTTTTTTCCCCCCATTTTTTGTACAGATAGAGTGGGAGGGAGAGAGAGGAAGAGGAAGAGAGAGAGAGAGAGAGAGAGAGAGAGAGAGAGAGAAACATCGATGTGAAAGGGACACATCAAGTGGCTGCCACCCGCACGACCAACCAGGGCCGGGGACAAACTGCAACCGAGGTACATGCCCTTAGCGGGAACCGAACCCGGGTTTCTCCGGACCGCAGGCCGACGCTCTAACCGCTCAGCCAAACTGGCCAGGGCTCATTGAGCATCCTTATAAGCAATATTTTGAACTCAGCATCTGTTAGGTTGCTTATCTCCATTTCGCTTAGTTCTTTTCTTGGGGTTGTGTTCTTTTCTTTTATTTGGGACCTGTTTCTTTGTCTCCTCATTTTGGCTGCCTCCCTGTGTTTGTTTCTGTGTATTACTTAAGGAGAGGTATGGGGTTATCTGAGACCAGAAGCTTGTTTGAAAGAATTTAGGAAAACCTGAAGCAGGATCCAAGACAGGCCAATCCTATTTTTCAGCAACCTGCAACAGCTTGGGTGGGCCTGAAAGTTGGGTGGGGCAGGGCCTCAGGGAATCACCAGGGCGGGGCAGCCAGTGTGAGCCAGGTTGCTGGAGTCCCAGGGGAGGGCTCACCAAAGGAACAAAGGCCTCTGACAGCACGTTTGTCCTGGAGAAAGCCCCTTCTCCAGCCCTCGCTCCCATGCCAAACAGCTCAGTTCTTTCCCCTCGAGCTGCCTGGGCTCCAGCCACCTCAGCCTCCCTGAGCCTCAGTTCCCGCTGGTTTTTCCAGCCAGAAGTTATGGGGATTCTCTTCCTGAAACTGGAACCCTGAGTGGGGCACCTGGTGTGGGATGGGGACCCCTCAGTTCTCAGGGAGGACTTTCCCAGCCCAGGTGTCCTCCTGATTTTTATCTGCCACACGTGGATGTGGGACGAGCCTGGCCACCTCCACCCTCCTACCTCCTACCAGTCTCAATGCAGCTGCTTCTTTAATTCCGTAGTTGTAGGACTTCCATTCAGCTAGATTTCAGGTGGTTTTGAATGATAGTTGTTCTGTAGTTTAGTTGTAACTTTGATGTGGTTGTGGGAGGACATGATACCGCGTTTACCTACCTGCCATCCTGACCGGAAGTCTGGTTTCTATTTTTTAAGCTAAAAGCTTTCCAGTTCCTGGTTGGTGGTGGTCCCTCAGATTCCTGCTCTCCAGGCTGTTTCCTGCCTCACTCTGGTCCCCTGATAGGACCTCACTCTGGAGCTCAGCTGTGTCCTCCTCTGTTTGTGTGGTCATGGTTTGCAGTACTGGTGGGTCAGGTGCCCTCATGCCTCGTGGCTCACCTGGAGGCTTCTTGTTCTGCAGGCTGTGTCACTGTCTATACGTCCCGTCCTGGGCTGCCGCTCATGACTCCTCTTCTGAGGGTCACTCCATGGCTCTGGTCCTTGGACCTGTCACTGCCCTGAGACAGTGCCAGCCAGGGTCTGTGCCCTGCAAATACCCTGTGTCTTTATCACAGGACTTACTCTATAAATGATTCCAAGTTTTTTGTATTTTTAGTCACATTTGGTTTTTTTTTTATGTCAATGTAATTCATTAGAAGTAATATAAGTTCCTTTTTAAAATTTGGAAATTACCAAACCTTGATTGAGAGAAGTAAGAACCATTTCTAATCTCTGTGCCCAAGGACACCATTGCTGGCAGATGTGAATGCATGACATTGTGAACCAGTAAGAACCGTTTGCATGTATAGTTGTTTTTCTAAAACGGGGTTACAAAGTACAACGTTGTGTAATTATATTTACTGTGTCACGTGTTTTGTGATAGTGTTTGGAATGGTAAGCTTGAGAATTAGCTTGAGTTATAGTTGACCTGATTTTAATGTTTTGTTTTGATCCAGAGCCGATAAAATCCCCCTGTCTCTGTACTCCACCTACCGCCAAGCCTGCTCTGCTGCTGCAGAGAAGACACCAGCAGGTAAGGGTAACGGGTTCTCGGTCACGAGATGCGTCAATGACACCTTGGTTAGTGCTGTCTGGTTAGGTCGTGCTGAGTCTGACCAGAGCTTTGGGGTCAGAGACTGCCCAACACCGGTGCCAGTCCTGGACTGGGAGGGCCAGAAGTGATGCCGTCAGCTTACAGGCTCTAAGCCTGGAGGCCCTGACGCTACCTGAAGGAGCGCAGTCCTGAAGCAGTGTATGCCCTACAAACGCCACTCTGTTGTTCACGTGCCCTGCTGAGGGGTAATGTGGTTTCTGTTTGCCTGTTTTGAATTCAAGCTTTAAATTTAGGTGACTTCTCAGACTCAGCGGGGCTCTAGGCTTGTATTGTTTCTGGAGTCTCACAGGGCCTGGTCTGTGACATCTTTTTTTGTTGTTAATCCTCACCTGAGGGTATTTTTTCATTGATGTTTAGACAGAGTGGAAGGGAAGGAGGGGCGGGGGGAGAGAGAGAGATACAGACAGACATATATTGATGTGAGAGACATCAGTTGGTTGCCTCCCGCATGACCCTGACCAGGGCTGGGGATCGAACCTGCAACCCAGGTATGTACCCTTGGCTGAGAATTGAACCTATGACCCTTTGGTCCTTGGGCTGACGTTCTTTCCACTGAGCCAAACTGGCCAGGCAGGTCTGTGACATCTTTCTGACCATTTGGACAGTTTTCTTCTGTGGTGGTTTGAAAGGTCTTTCTGCTTCTAGGGAACAGTGATGTGGACCTAGGTCACATCTGAAAGGATGAAGAGAAAACGGCTGTGCTCGGAGCATCTGGGCAGACTCGTCGGCGTGTCTGTGCCCACTCTGGCCATTCACGAGGCAGTGCCAGCAGGCTGGTTTCTCAGCACTGGCACTTGACAAGGAGTAGGAGCCAAGCCGCTGACGCAGCTTGTGTTTGCTGGTTTCAACCTTCTGACCTCTGCAGGGCTATGTAGGCTCATGGGGTGTCTGTCTGCTAGAACCCCCTTTCACTAGCCTGGATAACTTGTAACAGATGGAGACCCAGAACCCCTAAGTGGGCAGTGAATGAAGGTCTCAGATCTCACAGCTGTTAGATCCAGTGCTGAGATGGCAGCCTTGCTGGGGGTGCCATGTGCGGCCTCGATCCTCTTCACCCTGCCCTGGGTCCCATTTTGGGGCCTTTTAGAGTATCTTCTGCTGTAGGACTTTGTGTGATGGAGCTCATCAGCAGAGGCCTTCTGTTCTGATTCCTGGTGTTGCTGTGGGGGCCTGTGAGGCTCGCTGTGCAGTGTCTTCCCCAGGAACACTGGAATTGAACTTGGTTTGCTCTTAAAACACTGATTATCTTTTTTCTTTGCTTTATCTTTTTTTTTTTTTTAACATCCCATGGTAAACAACAATATAATGATATTGCTTATGGGTGTGAGAAATGGGGAATAAGTCATTCATGATTCTGCCTCCTGCCCAGCCTCCCCCGCTTTGCCTCTCATCTTTTTTCATCAGGCACATGCTTTTTGCACTTGTGGCAATGGGTTGGGTAGACCATGCTTATTCTAAAAGTTGTTTATAAGTGTGTTGATTTTTGATATGACAGCATCCAGCCTCAGGATGGTTTCACTTCCCTCTCATGGACAGAAACCATGGGAATGAGCAGGTCCATATTCAGCTTGTTTGTGTTTCCTGTGTCGCTTAATTGTTAAAATCACTGTTCTCGGTCTCTCAGATGTATCCCTGGGAGTGAAGGAGGAGGCAGAACCTGACTGGGTGGAAGGCTCCCTGAGACTGCTCACAGTTGCACTTCAAGAGCTCAGGGCCACCATGACAGACCCCACCCAGTACGACGGTGAGGATGGGCTGTGTGCAGCACTGGGTGGGGCTCACTGGTCCACTCCTCCTTCCTCAAGGTGTTAGTGTCTGGTACTTACCCCTGCAATCCAGTGTTTGGTACATTAGCCTGACCACAGTGCTGACAGGTGTCTAGGAAGATGGGAATCTAGTCACTCAAGCTGTCACAAACCCTTGAAGGTGACTGTTCTGCTCTTTTGCATCCAGTAGAGAGGATGCTGGGCAGTATTGCTCGGTGTGGGGTTTTCTTTTGTTTGCTAACGCCTGAGTGGCTGTGACTGAGCCTCTGCGAAACCATGAGCCTTCCTCTGGAGCGGGGCTGGGACAGCTCAGAGCCCGCAGTGGTCACGTGAATGAAATCCCAGCTGCCAGCACTTACAGGCTTTGTCCTGGGAAGTGCAGAATCCAAAATAATAGTCCACTTTTTACCTACTAACTGTAACAGGCTTTATTTAGTATGAATTTTTTTTTCTTAATCCTCATCCAAGGATATGTTCATTGATTTTTAGAGAGAGCGGAGGGGAGAGAGAAAGAAACAAAAAACATCAATGTGGGAAACATCGATCAGTTGCATCCTGTGCACACCCGACCAGGGATTGAACCGCAACCTGTAATTGAACCTGAAACCTTTTGATGCATGGGGCGACGCTCCAACCACCTGAGCCACCTGGCCAGAGCTATTATGAATGCATTTTAGTCCAGTTTGAAAAGAATAACCTGGGAGAGCCTCACTGAGGAAATACTAACAAGGCCACCGTAGTTCCGCTGCTTGCTGGGTGCCTGCAGGGCCTTAGCTGCGATCCTGTGAGTGCTGGGTGGGCGATGGTGGGAGCGTGGCCTTGCAGAGCTGTGCTCCTGTGACATGTGGCGTCAGGACCCGCGGGCCTGATGGAACCCCAGAGCTCCAGCAAGATGACCAAACGGTCAAGTCAGCCGTGCTTCCAAAGACAGGAGACCTTCCTTTTCCACGCACTGTGTTTGGCCTACTTTCTACCTGCCCAACCTCTGGTGCCCAGAGGCTGTTCCTCTTCACCATCCACAGACACAGTGGCGGCTAGGATGCCAGCTTCTAGCAGATGTTATAGTGTGGGGGAGAGCCGACACGTGATTCAGATGAAGACTTTAAGTAAGCGGTGAGGTTTGTGATGGTAGCAGAAAGGAATGCATCAGCCCTCACACGTACAGGACAGGTGTGGATGGCAACTGTCCCCTCTGCTGTGTCACCTGCTCTCCACAGTCTAGTCACTGCTACCTGTAGTGAGTTGGCCCTGGTGTGCAGTCAGGGCGGTGGGTAGTTTCTGCACCCCATCAGCCCCTCTGCACCTCCTATCCACATGTCTGCTCACCTGTCTCGGCTCTTCTATTCGCAGTCTTGTCTGCTCAGATCGCGGTGGTTTCTGAAAGGTTGAGCTCTGCCCTGGGCCTCAGGGAAGACCACAGCAGCTCTGAGGTCTCGAAGATCCAGCTCATTGTTCCTGCTCCCAAACTAGAGCTGCGAGAACAGCAGGTGTGTGGGACGTCAGAGATTACAGCTGTCGCACCTGCTGGCTGTGCTAAAGAATGAAAACCCTTCTCCTCACTCTTGCTCTGCTACGTGAAGTAGTTTGTGGAGCCAAGGCAGTCAAGGTACTCGGTACCGGGTCCGCTGGCCCCGCCTGCGTGTGTAAAGAACATGCAGCAGAGGCCATTTGTGGCCCCAAAGCCTAAAATATTCACTCTCTGGCCCTGCTCTCTGCTGTAAAATTTCATGACAGGAGATTGGGTGACAACACGTGGCCTATCATGTTTCCAGGATTTGAGAGTGAGGATTCTTGTACCAGTTTGCTTTGGAGTTTCTTCTCCAGATGCAAGCCTGTCAGATTTTTGTAAACGATGCAAGATCTGGCTCACACATGGTCCCCTCTGGGACGTCTCTTCTCTCAGGTTGTGGATCTCCTGCTGACATCTTTCTGTCAGAACCTAATGGCAGCCTCCAACTTTGCCCCACCGGACAGGTAGTCTGGGCAGTTTTTCTGGGCAATTAGAGCCATTCTGTTGACAGCCTGGTGCTCTGGGGGGCCTCCCTGTGGAGCAAAGCTTCTCCCCATGTTTTATGATTACAGTAGCCTTCAGTTCTCAGTCCTCTCGCTTCCTGCTGCGCTGCTGGTGGGGGGCTGTGCTGGCTTATCCAGTGGGGATGTGGCAGAAGTTGAGCATTGCCACAGACCCCCCTCACTACTTGGGGAACTGCCTGGTTTTTGCTGAGGCCTCTTGTGCCTGAATGGTCATCCCCAGCCCCTGGGAAGGCTGTGCAGGACTGGGACTGGCCATGTCTCTGCAGGCAGGGATCCTGGGCTGCCCGCTTTGTGACAAGCACCTGTGGACAAACACTCCTCCCTGCTGTGCTCTCCAGGCTCTGCCAGCTTCTCCATCACCAGGTTAGTGCCATTGCCTCCCTCCAGCTAGGAAGTGGGCCCTGCACCCTCCCTCCTACAGAACCAGTTTTCTGTCCCATTTTAGAGTCCGAGCCTGAGTGCCTCGCACGTGCTGGGGTTGGCTGCCCTGGCTGTGCACCTTGGTGAGTCCAGGTCTGCGTTCCCAGAGGTTCATGTAGGTCCTCCTGCTCCTGCCAGGGGCCTCTCCATCCCTGAGTTCTTCAACAGCCTACTGATGTGTGGGTCCAAGGAGTCATTGCTCTTCTGCCTCAAGTGAGTTGCTCCCTCTCATCCTCAATCACTTGTCTCCTCTGTTGACAACAGTAACATGTGCCTCTCAGACGATCCCTGGTTAACGTGTTGGTGTATATCCTTCCAGAAGCTTGTTTGTGTGTATTTATGTGAGAGTGTTGGTTTCTTTGATTATAAAAAGGCTGCACTAAACTGCGTGTGAGATGTTGGCATCAGACTTCAGTGCCCTTGCACATCACTCAGTCCTTGGGCCTGTGACAGCTGCTCGGTTTTGTCTCTGGGTTGTGGCCTCTGGTTAGGTCCCTGGTTCTGAGCAGCCGCTGCAGCTGTTTCTCCAGGGTAACTCCCTACCTGTGGAACAGCCCTGTCCAAAGGCAAATTCATCTTAAAGGGCTTTGAGATCCATCATCCTTTAAGTCTGGGCCAGTTTACACCCCATGTGTCCCATAATGCACCACTGTGCCAGGCCCTGGGATGGAGCCCATCCCTGCCCTTCTGTTCAGGGACTCCTGCTAACTTGACAGCATGAAGCATGTGGGGTGGCAGGTGCTGGGGGCAGGTGGGCAGATAGGGGCCAGAGTGGCTGCCCTGGGAGGGCAGGGCTGTCTGTGCTGAAGCGTCCCTGTGTGATGGGGTCTGAATTGGGAGCTGTTGGCTGGGACTGGGGTCGAAGTTTATTGATGAAGTTGACAAAAGGCATGAGGAATGTAAGCAGCAGAATAGATGAGCACGGGAAAGCCTGCCTCTGTCCACTGTCCACCCAACATCTGCATTGTCCACACCAAGAGGCAGATGGCCTATCCCCCGTCTCCCTCGTGGACTTTTGGCAACATCAAACAGTCCCCATTAGGGGTCAGTCGGTTTTGGTTGGTCTCTGCCTACAGCATGGACAGAGTTCAGACCGGATGGCATAACAGGGGCTGCTTCTCCAGTGCTCGGGAGCTGAGGCCAAGGACGGGTGCTCAGACTCTGATTTCGAAGGCACTTGGTTCACTTTGTGAGGTTCACACTTACTTGTTTTTCATCCCTGATTTCCATGAATCACATTTCTATGTTACAATCTCTGTTTTCTATTTTCAGATTTTGTACTGCAGCAATTTCTTACTCTTTGTGTAAGTTTTCTTCCCAATCAAGTGATGGTTGGTACAGCTGTTTATCTCCAGGCCTTATAAAAAAGGTGGGTTCTCTTAGGTTCCTTTATTTTGTTGTCCTGAGCATCTGGCTTTTCTGTAGGAGTCGGAAGCTGATGCTGCCTTTTCCTTTTGTTCTGAGTTAAAATCAAAGGGTGAAAGAAACTTCCCACTCAAAGAATTCCATTTCCTCTAGAGAGTTTCTTTTCATGAGTGCTTGTTAGGAGACAAGAAATTTAAAGTGTGTCAGAAACCTGTAGTGTCAGCTGAGCAGGGGATGTTGCTGCTCCTTTGGTAGAGATTTAAGGAGCCTCCCTTGTGAGCTTTAAACCTGCTTTTCAGTCCAGGGTCCACGTTAGGATCAACTGAGAATCTTTAAAAGCCCAGCCTCCTGGGCCTGACAGGTAGATTGGTGTTGGGAGCAGCTGGGGGCCTCTCCTCAGGAGCTGCCAAAGCTTAAACTATGGAGGGAAGAGCAGGAAGAGTGGCCCCAACAAGGAAATCCTGAGTCACACTGTCTAGTCTCGATCCCTGTGTGGTCCAGCCTACAGAGGAACTGGGGAACAGCTGACTTCCTAAGGTGCAAAGGGATACAAATTAACACATCCCCGATAGGCTTTGTTACCCAGTGTGCACTTCCTAGTAAAGACACCCGTGCTGGCCAAGGCCTGGGAAGACAGCACCACCCTGTGGAGGGTAGGCCAGGCTCAGCCCTTCAGCTTCTAGGCATCAGCCAGGAAAACCCTCCCGTGTGCACCAAGGTTAAGTATAGGACTGCTCACGGGGATGCCGTCTGTACTTGGTCACTGGGTGACCCACGAGGGGAAGGCGAGGCCACTGCAGGTGACACAGAGTCTCTGCTACCCTGCTGTACATGGCCAGGTTACATATTTTCTGAACCTCAGATGTGTTGCTGTCTCTTTTCAGTTTCAGTTTGTTGTGCTCAGATTGTTCTCAGAAGCCCGAGACCCTCTGTATGCAGAGGACACAGCCAGCTTTCCCTGGAGGCCCTTGTGCCTGCCCTCTGCAGACTGGCGGCGAGCCGCTCTCTGTCTGTGGAGACAGAGGGCCTTCCGGGAACTGTTGAAGAAGAAGGAATTTCATGTAAGTCCCACTGTCCCTCCCCTTGTTTCTCACCTTGTTCTAACTCCTGGGGTTGTGGGTACAGATCTGGGGCCTGAGGGTGTGATGTGTGTGCAGGTGGGCTGACCCAGCACTGTGCAAGCAGCACAGACGTGGCTTTGGTTGGCACCATTATTGGGACCATTGTAGATTCACATGCAAGTGTGAGAAACCAGACAGGTGCCTTCTACTCTTTTCCCAGTTTCCCCCAACAGTAACGTGCAGAGAATTTTAAGAGTGGATAAAAATGCATTTTAAACATCTGCCAGGCTCCGGTTTGGGACTAGGCTTCTCTGAGCACAGTCCCTGGGAGTCTTGGCCACTTGGCCAGTTGCCTGTGTTACTCGTCTCTGCTTTCTTTTCAAACTTCCATTTATTTCAGGGATGTTTGCCTGCTTGTTTGGTCCTTAGAGAAAAATTACTATAGCTGCTTTATTTATCTTTTCAGTTCTTATATTGTAACTGTATCACGTATACAAGAGTAGGCCTAATGGTCTGTTTAATGTAAGGAGCAGTGACCCTGGGAAGGGCCGTACCCACTGGCAGTTTACTAGATGCCTCCCCTGCGCCTCGGGGTCACCATTCAGGCCCTGGAACATCGTAGCCCTGCCCAGGCTCTACCACAGGTGCATCCCTGAGCACCGCACGGCTGTGTGTCGCCTGGCTTTTGTCCTTACCCTGTTGTAATGTGCTGCAGGCGTGATTCTGGGAGGTGCTCTTCTACACCCCACGTTAGGTTCTGAGATCAGTCCAGGTTGATGTGTGACATTTTTCTAAGAATTTGAAAACAAGAAATATGCTACCATGAATGTTTGAAGCATTTTATTGTATCAAGCTTATTCTTCGGTTACTCACCTAGCTCCCGGGAGTTAGAAAGTGAGCAGTGACCTGAGAGGTTTGCAGATGCCGATGCCACAGGGTCACGGCTCACGCCAACAGTGTGCTGGAGAACTCCATTCATGAGTTCCTGCTTTCCCGTTTTGGTTAGCTTCACTTTCAGAGTTAGAGTAAGCAATAGATCAGTTCTTCACCAGGGTTTGGGGCTGACACCTCCGTCCAGTAATGGGAAATGGTGTGAGAGCAGAAGTTACTCTGACCACATGAGGGTGCTGGGCTGTGGGACTACTGAATAAACTGGACCTGTGCCTCCTGGGCCCATCCTCGCTGTGGCACTCAGCCGGGCTTCTCTCAGTTAACTTACAGAGACTGGGTACAGCTGGAACTGGAAATTCACCCTGAAGTGGATTCTCTTTCAGACATAGAAAGGTAAGTGTTTAAAGGGTTCCACTCCTCAAAATGTTTTATGGTTTTCTCCATTATCTTAAAGTCTTGAGTTTTGTCATTATATCCTTAACTTACTGTTCAGTTTAACATATCTGTGAGCACAATTTTATTCACTCCTTTATTCAAGAAACCTTGAGCTGTTTACTAGACACTTCTAGAATGTTCTAGCAGCCAGGGATGCCTCGTAAATGGGACACACCTGCCCATGTGCACAGAGCTGACACCTGTGTGGGCCTGAGGACAAGCATGTAGACAGAGTGGAGTAGGAATGTGCTCTCTGAAGACACCAGACAGGGCCATGAGAGCAGTGGCCCGGAGAAGGGGCAGCAGGAGGAGCAAACACATTTCCCAAGGTGGGGACAGAGCAGTCGTGTGGTGAGAAGCCATGGTGGGGCCTGACCAAGCATGTTCTCAGCTAGTATCTGCTGGCCCTGCTCCCGCCTACCATGTGCGAAAAGCCCATGCAGCCCACTGAGGAGGCAGAGGGCTAGGTGCCCACGGAGTGCTGGCTGTGGGGATGGCTCCATGGTGGGCCGAGCAAGGTCTGAAGGCTGATTACTGACCATCGGGAGGTCCGACATGCTGTTCAAGCAAGTGGGCTGCTGGTAGGGCCCATGGATTTGGGGGCTCAGAGGTCAGGGAGGGCATGGGAGCCCAAGGTGGCAGCTGAGGGCAAGGGAAAGGGTCCTGGAGCCCCACTGTGCTTCGTGAGGTCAGAGACCTTCCCAGTCACATGGAGGGCTATCTGTTCCCACACTGGTCTTGTGGTGTCAGATTCTAGACGGGATTAATAGAAATAATAAGAAAAAGAGAAGCCTGTGGCAGTGAAAAGAGCAACTGGTTGCTTTTTCCGACAAAATGGATTTTCATTTGCTTGCACCAGGCCAGTTTGGGGAGGGCTTTGCACATGTGCTCGCATGCCCCGGGTCTCTGCTCTTCCTGACCTCTTCCAGCAGGAAGAGAAGGGTTCTCTGGTGCCCATGACCACTCAGCTCACCCTGAGCCCTGCGTGTGGATGCGGTGTTTGCACCTGTCCAGGGCTGTCCTTCCTGAGAGGGTCTGCACGGGTTCCGATGGAGAAAGCACGAGATGATCGTCGTGACTCCTTGCCTGCTCGTGCTCGGGTTTGGCTCCTTTTTCACAGGTGCCAGTTCCTGTGGCTCTGTGCTGTTTGCAGGTTGTCCTCAGACCTTCTTGTGGGCAATTGGCCATGTCTGCACACCTGTGCTGAGGACCTGGGGCAGCTCACAGGCACCCTGGGGGGAGTCCTGAGCCTCTGTCCCCAGCTTAGCAGCTGTGGGTGGCCCCTGAGGGGTTCTTCCATGGTGGTCGAGGGCCTTCCTGAAGTCCCAGGCCCCTGATCCCACCCCACCATGCTGTGCCCTCACCGGGGGCACACTTCTCACTATGGGAGCTCCTGCTTGCAGCCATTACAGCACAGGCTTGATGTTTGCTGTGCAGGTGGGACTTCCACCAGTGGGCCATCCGTGAGCATTTCCTCCCCAAACCCTCCGCTGCAGGGGGCTGCGACGGAGACCTGGAGACAGCGTGTACTATCCTTGTCGACGTGCTGATGGACTTCTGCCAAAGGTCAGGAGTGCTGATGCCAAAAAGCATCTTTCTTTTAATTTGGGTAGTTCTAAGAATATTTCTATTTCCCTCAGTCCAGTTTGTATTATCCAAAACATGATTGAACATATTTTGATAGCAAATCTGAGTCTATTTGAAGTAAAGGTAAGCTTCCTGAACCACTTTCCTTTGTGTACGTTTGCCATTGGCAGCAACTCTGTCGTGCTTTGCCACTCGGAACTCAGGGCCAGTGAGTGTGAAGAGTGGAGCAAGTGGCAAGTGCTGCGTGTCACCACCCAAGGTGCAGGGAGCAGCAGCGTGGCCCAGCTGCCGCGGAAGGCAGGGGTCCTCTAAGCTGTGCTGGGTGTGTTTCTGCCAGGGGGTCTGCTTTTGTCTCTTCATGCTCATGATTGCTGTATAAGGGGTGAGGTGAGAGTCCTTGTTCGACATTTTAGGTGACACATTATATTATTGAACCACAGGAAAAGAGTCCTGTTGGGACACAGGCAAATGGTTACTGAAGACACAATACAGGACAGATACCTTTCTTTGTTCCACTGTCTCTCTGTCCTCCATGAGAATCTGTAAATGTATGTCCCTGTCAGCACAACTCTTACACTCATACTTTCAGTACAATCAGTGTCGGCGTTCTTCCTACTAGCGTATGGTGGCCAGGAACAGCTCGTAGGCCAGTGATCTCGGCCTCCAGCTTTCCCACAGGCTCTTGAACACAGCTCAGCAGGGTGCACGCATGTTTTCTGTGTATGGATTTATCGATTCTGGGCATTTTGAGTAGATGGAATCGCAGTACGTGTCCTTTGTGTCTCGCGCACTCAGAAGAATGTTTTCAAGGCTCATCTCGTGGCATGTATCAGTCTCATTCCATTTTGTGACTGAGTAGCCCATTGAAAGGTGTACCACTTTTATCCATCAGTTGATGGACATTTGGATTTTCGCTTTTTGGCTTTTGTGAATAATTCTATGAATTTTTGTGTGTAGGTCTCATGTGGTCCTTTTTTTCCTCTATTTTTCTTGGGCATATGCAAGGAATGGAATTGCCGGGTCATGCTCTGTGTTTTAACTTTTTTAGGAACTACCAGGCTGTTCTCCAAAAGTATACCATTTTGCATTCCCACCAGCAGTGTTGAGGTGTTCCAGTTTCCCCACATGATCACCAACATTGTTGTTACCTAGCTTTTTTATAACATTTGTCCTGATGGGTATGCAGTGGTATATTTCATTAGGTTTTTTATTTGCCTTTCTTTGATGGCTGATGACATTGAGCATCTTTTCATTTACTTACCATTTGTGTATCTTCTTTGGAGAAATGTCTGTTCAGATCCTTTGCCTGTTTTAAAATGGGATTATTTGTTTTATTGGGTTGTAAGAGTTCTCTATGTGTTCTAGATACCAGAGCTTTATCAGATGCATGAATTGCACATATTTTCTCCCCTTCTATAAGTCATCTTTTCACTCCCTCAATGGAGTACTTTGATGTATAAGAATTTTAAATTTTGTTGAAGCCCAATTCATCTATTCTTAGTTTTAGCTCTTACATTTAGGGCTTTGATCATTTGAGTTAATTTTTTTATATGGTGTACATTAGGGATCCAACTTGATTCTTCTGCTTGTGAATGTCCAGTTCCCCAATTCCCTTGTCGGAGAGACTCCCTTTCCCATTGAATGGTCTTGGTGCTCTTGTCAAAAATCATTTGATTGGCCCTGGCCGGTTTGGCTCAGTGGTTGGAGCGTCGGCCTGCGGATCAGAGTCCCAGGTTCGGTTCCTGTTAGGGGCACTACCAAAAAAAAAATCAGTTGATTGTACATGTGAGGGTTTATTTCTGGATTCTCTTTTGTTGATCTACAGGTCCGTCCTTATGCCAGCCTCACACTGTTTTGATTACTGTAGTTTTGTACAAGTTATTGTGAGTTGTCCAAGTTTGTTTTTATTTATTTTTTTAGAGAGTGGAAGGGAGAGAGAAAGAGAAACATCAATGTCAGAGAGACACATCAATTGGCTGCCTCCTGCATGCCACCTACTGGGGATCGAGCTCATAACCCAGACATGCGCCCTGACCAGGATTCAAACTGGGACCTTTTGGTCCATGGGAAGACGTGAAATCCACTGAGCCACACTGACCAGCAACTTTGTTCTTTTTTAAAAAAATAATATAAATCGAGCCACTTTATTTCTTTATTCTTACCTGAGCACACATTCGTTGATCTTCAGAGAGAAAGAGAGAGAAAAACATCGATGCAAGAAACATTGATGGTCTGCCTCCCATAGGTGCCCCAACTGGGATCGAACCTGCATCCTAGATATCCCTGACCAGGAATAGAATCTGGTATATTGGTGTATGGGATGACACCCCAACCAACCAAATCACACTAGCCAGGGTCAACTTTGTTCTTTTTTTTGAAATATGTTTTTGTTGATTTGAGAGAGAGAGAGGAAGGGAGTGGGAGAAAGAGAGACACATGGATGAGCAAGGAACACCAATTGACTGCCTCCTGCATGCCTCCTACTGGGGATCGAGCCTACAACCTGGGCATGTACCCTGACCAGGAATCCAACATAGGGTGATGCTCAACTAACCGAGCCACTCAAATTTGTTCTTTTTCAAGACTGTTTTGGCTGTTTTGAGTTTTTTGAAATTTCATCTGAGTTTTAGCATCAGCTTCTCATTTTCTACAAAATTAGCTAGCATTCTGATAGGGATTGCATTGTCTTTGTAGATGAATTTGGGGGGCATTGCAATCTTTTTTATTAAATTTATTAGGGTGACATTGGCTAATAAAATTACATAGGTTTCAAGTGTACAGTGCTGTAATACGTCGTTGATGTGTTGTCCTGTGCGTTCACTGCCCCAAGTCATGTCTCCTTCCATCACCATTTATCCCCCTTTACCCTCTTCTACCTCCCCCGTAGTATAGCACTGGGTCTTCTATTCATGAACATGGGACGTCTTTACATTTATGTAGGCCTTTTTCTTCCAACAGCGTGTTACAGTTTTCAGCATATAAATCTTGCACCTCCATGGTTACATTTATCCTTAAGTATTTTATTCTTTTTAACACTATTGTAAATTAAATTAATGTTTTTACTTCATTTTTTATTATTCCTTAGTATTATATAGAAATACAACTTATTTTTTGTTCTTGTTGTTAATCCTCACCCAAAGATATTTTTTTCCATTGATGTTTTAGAGAGAGTGTAAGGGAGGGAGGGAAAGGAAGAGAGAGTTGGTGGGGGGAGAGAGAGAATCATCGATGTAAGAGAGATTGGTTGCCTTCTGCATACGCCCCAACCAGGGCCTGGGATCGAACCTACAACCCAGGTACATGCCCTTGACCGGAAATTGAACCCATGACACCTTTGGTGTGTGGGGCATCACTGTAAACAGTAATTGAGCATCAACCCATGCACTAAGAGGTCGCTGGTTCGATTCCCAGTCAGGGCACATGCCCAGGTTGTGGGCTTGATCCCCAGTGGGGGTCATGCAGGAGTTGGCCATTCGATGTACTCTCTCATCGATGTTTGTGTCTCTCTCTCTCTCTCTAAAATCAATAAAGAAAACAAACAACAACAAAAAACAGTGAGCCACACTGACCACGGCACACATGATTTTTGTATATACGTTTCCTATCTTGCAACTTTGCTGAAGTCATTTATTTGCTCTAATAGCCCCCCCTCCCTTATTGATGTTAGAGGAAGGGAGAGGGAGAGCGTTAGAAACATCAATGAGAGAGAACATCAACTGGCTGCCTCCTACATGCCCCCCACTGGGGATCAGGCCCACAAACTGGGTATGTGTCCTGACTGGGAATCGAACCGTCGACCTCTTGGTACATGGGTCGGTGCTCAACCACTGAGCCACACACTGGCTGGGCTTCAGTAGTTTTTTATTGTGGATTCTTCAGGATTTTCTATACATAAGATCATGTCATCTGTGAATAGAGATGGTTTACTTCTCTTTCTGGCTGAGTTGTCCTGGCTAGAACTTCCACTGTTGTGTTGAACGGAAGTGGTGAGAGGGGACATCTTTGTCTTGTTCCTCATCTTAGAAGGAAAGTTTTTTGTTTTTTATCATTAAGTGAGATTAGCTGTGTGATTTTCACAAATGCTCTTTGTCATGTTGAGAAAGTTCCTTTCTCCTAGCTTGTTGATTGTTTTTAATCTTGAAAAGAGTATTGAATTCTGTCTAATGCTTTATCTACATCTATTGAGATGATTACATAGTTTTCACTTTTCTATTGATATGTATATTATATTTATTTATTTATGGATGTTTAACCAACCTTGGGTTTTTGAGATAAGTCCCATTAGGTCATGGTACATAATTGGTTTTCTATGTCACTGGAGTGGAGTTGCTGGTATTTGTCACAGAAGGTTTTGTTGTTTGTCGATCCCTATGACCACATCCACTCTGGAGGCAAGAGGAGAAGCAGCAGCTCCAGCACTGTCCGGGGATTCTCAGCGGCTTGCGTTGTGTGTGTTTCAGTTCGAGGAGGTGCGATGCCCACTCAGAGAATGATTTGGTTCTTGGAGGCTGCACAGGAAGTCGGGATGTTTTTTCAAGACTGCAGGTGAGTTAGAAGGTGCGAAACCAGTGTGATCACTGCATTAAGCCTTCTGTTGTGAATATCCGTAATGGGTCCTAAGGCAACTGGGCAGAATGAAAACTCGCATCACAGACACAGTGGCAGAGACCCAGAGTAACAGGTGCTCTGTGTACGTGCCCTGTGCACATCACAGAAACATGGAAACCAAAGCTGTGATGTTAGAATCATCCCCAGGCTATGGGACATTTTTGAAAATAGAGGCAGTTAAGAAAATACCGACTTTGGTAATACAACGGTTGCCACCCCACTGTTTTCTGCTTTACTCTTGGTGGCTCCATTTGGATGCCGGGCTCTGAGAAGGGATGGCAATGCCTCTACCTGGTGGAGGATCAGCTGTTCACGGGGTGTCACAGGGTCGGTGGCACCTCCCGGCAGCTGGGCTCTTTCAGAAGCACTGAGAGCAAGAACGGGGTGGTCAGCATGCCTGCCCTCCTCAGACCTTCCCAGGGTGTAAAAGTCGGGCCCTAGGCCCCACCTGCGTCCATGTCCACATGTCCATGGTGATCTGCCTTCGGAAGTGCACGGCACTGTGTGGATTTCATGCTTCCTGGTGGCGTTTCTCCTGCCTCTCAAAGTGCCTGGATTTAGAAAATGTGGGGAATGGAAGGGAAACCATGGAGGCTGTGACTTGGAGCACTGAGGAAATTTACTTACAATGAGTGCAAATCTCACAAAAAAGAAACCGGAGTGTCCCAAACCCTCATCTTGACCTCTTGCTCTCCACACCCATCGTGACTGATGTGGAAGGAAGAGGGACTGGGGAGAACAGACACGGCCGAGTCATTTCAGGGCAGTGATTCGACAGGCTGCGTGGCTGCTTCTCTGCAGGCACCTGAGTGTGTCGAGGACACTGTTCGTGTGTGTGCTTAGGCATTTATCAAGTGCCTGCTGTGTAGAGTCCTTACCTGTGTAACTGACCCCGCATTATGCCCACACACTGTGCATGCAGAGTAAGAGCAAGTGACAAATGGTGTAAAATGTCAGCAGTAGCAAATCTGGGTAAAGGTGTTCTTTGTACTAGTCTTATTTTTACAAATTTTTGCAACTCTCTAATGATTTCAAGTAAAAAGGTTTGTCCCATTTATCCTTCCGAGCCCCTGTGGAGATGTCTCCCCCAAGCTCATTTTAGGCTCCTCATTGGGGTGGAGAGCTGAGCCCCGAAGACTTTCTGCCTTCACATTTGGGGGCAGAACCGCTTGGAACCAGAGATGAAAGCTCATGCGAGTCTTGGCCTTGCTTTTCCAGGAGATGGCTGCTGACCTGGAACAGGGCCCGGTGATGGCCCAGGGCCACGCTCCCTCTCGGGGACACTTCCTCTTCGGGGTTTTCTGCAGACGGTTCCAGGCTCTGGCAGGCGGGGGGGATGTAGCCTCCCACCTTCAGAGACAGCGGGAGCTACTCACATGCAAAAGGTAACAGCACCAGAGCCTGTCATGCATTTCTGTCTCTCCTGCCCCTCAGCCTGGGATGGCATCTTGTTGGGGTTCCATGTGGCTCAGGGCCTGGAGGTGTGAAAAGTTCTTGGGAGTAAAGCTTCCTGCTCAGACTCAGCATCCATCTGCTGAAAGACACGGCTAAAAAGAATTCATGTCAAAATGAGGAGGACCGTGTGTGCTCAGTGTGTCGATCATCATGTGAAGTGCTAGACTCCTCCAGTTACAGCAACCTCCTAGCCTGTGCCCTGCTTCTTATGCAACTTACATTTTGGTTTTGGGTCACAGATTTTGAGTGTCTCTGGGGCGGGGGGTCCAGGTGCTCTGCCAGTCCCAGGCTGGGCACAATGGGGGCTGCAGACCAGACACTGGTTCCAAGAGTGATTTGGGAGGGTCCTTGCAGCCCCAAGATCTGAGTTCTGGAGAAGCAAAGTTAGGCTGTATCTCCACCCTTGACTCATTGCCTCCTCTCTAAGGATCCTCCTCGGCCTCTCTCCGTCTGTCCTTGTTGGTAGCCCCCGAGCGGCCCAGCCCACAGCCCCCGACTGCACTGAGTTCTTCCACTTGGTCAACTCTGAGCTGGTAGGTGCCATGCAAGTGACTTCAGGACCAGGGGACAAGGCGCGATCTGGTCCCTGAGGGCTGGCTCCTGAACTCATGAGTGTGCCTGGTCAGTTGGAGCTAATTGCCTCGGTGTGGGTCTTGACCATGTGGGATGTGGAGCCGTTTTGGCTGGAGCAGGGTTGGCAGTCCTCGCCCACTGCCAACATGGTCCAGCAAGATGCAGGCACGGGCTCACTCCCTCGTCCTCCTCGGGACTGCCCTCAGCTTGAGTAGTTTAGACCTGTGAAGGCTGCAGACCACTCGCTCACCACGCACCTCTCCAGTTTTGACTCTGGGTGATGCTGTGACCACACCGTCACGCACCAGGTGGCCTCATTTCCTTCCATTTTACAGGCAGCTCGGTGTCGGGCTCCGATCTTACTAGGCGTGCCCCCTGCACACTTCAGGGTATAGCTTCTACCCTGGAGATGTTATTCTAGTGTTTGGAAAAGCACAGGTATGACTAGAGATTGAACTAAGGCTCCATCTAGCATACAGAGCTGCTCTCCTGCCTTACTGGGCACCTGGCCTCCTGGAGCCACCCCCCCTGCCATGAGAGCCAGAGCTGCTGGCAGGTGGGGGATCTGCTTGCTGAGAGGAGGCGTGTGGAGTCAGTGAGCAGGAAAGGTTCTGGGACAACACGAAGGTGCGCAGAGGCAGCCCTCCGGGGTCCACAGTGGTGCTGTGAATGGCAACTGTCTTCACGGCTCAACACTGTCATGCTGTCCCCATCGCTCCCACCATTGGCTCTTCTCTCACTGGCCTGGCCTGTTTTGCAGAGAAACTTCTGTTCCCACGGAGGTGCCCTGACGCATGACATCACCATCCACTTCTTCAGGGTAATTCCCTTTCCTTCTATCCTGCCTGGCTGAGCAGACTCCGGGCCAGATTTCTGTGTCTGGTGCTGCTTGGAAGCCATGGTGCCTTCCAGGACCTGGGTTCACGTGCAGACCACAAACTTCTGGCACATTCTCTCCTGTAGGGGCTCCTCTACGCCTGCTCCCGAAGTAGAGACCCCGCCCTGACAGCTGACCTGACCCTGACTGCCTGCCAGACCGAGTGCCCCTTGGTTCTGACCTCTGCTCTGGTAGGCCCAGCTACCCTCCCGGAGGTGTTGTCTGTTTAACTGAACTCGCATCCCAGTTACTGTAATTCGAAGGGAAAAACTTTGGGAGAAGTGAGGGTAAGGAGAACCTGTTAGGACACAGTTGGGGTGACAGGCCGTGGGCAGCACAGAAACCCGCAAGTGCGAGAGGAGTAGCTCTTCCCGCCATGTCTGGGCGCTTGTTCAGTCACCACCCCTCTGCTCTGGCTCAGGCTGGACAGTGGCAGCCTGTGCGCCTCCGTGGGTGTCACTCTGTGTTTGCTGCATCTGCCGTCTTGGCTGCCTTCTCAGGAAGGACAACGGAGGCTTCCTCAGCCCCTACCAGTGGCCTTAGTGGGACCTTTGGGTGCCTTTGCTGGCTTCCTCCGCACCCCGGCAATGCGGCTCTCTCACTCCCTCCCCGTCTCGCTGACACTGACTGTGGGGTCTGAGCTGCTTCGCAGGGCGGAGGTGGCGTCTCACCTGCTCAGTGGGTGGCTGTCCTGTGCCTCAAACACGAGCTCTCAGCGGGGATGTTGGGGGACCCGGTCGAGCACTTGGGCAGTGTGGCTGACCACACACGGCCATGTCCTCGGGCAAGGCCTCTGGTCTCCGTCCTGTGTTCTTGGCACAGGAGGATGAGTGCCTCAGGGGCCGGCTCGGTCTTCCAGCAATGGGGCATGAGACCCTGCCCTTGACTTCACGCAGCACTAGATGAGTGTGAGACGGGCTTGCGGGTGTTGGCGGGCAGGGTGCACATCTCTTGCCCAGCCTCACCCTGACCTGTTTACTCGGCCCTTTCTCTCTGGCAGCTGTGGTGGCTGCGCCTGGAGCCTGAGCTGCGGTGCCGGTGGGGGTGCTTCCAGGGCCCGCTGCCCCGGGGGCTGCAGGGGCTGCGTGAAGCCTGGCAGTGTGCCAGCAGGTAGGGCTGGCAGTGGGGCATGAGGAGGAAGCGTGGGTGTTTTTAGGACCTGCTCTGGGTTATCTCTGTGGACACTTTGGGGTGTTTGAGGGCTGTCTTGTGGGCAGGCTCGGCAGGACCCGTGAGAAAGGGAAGCAGCAGAACTGATCGGACAGGTCCCTGAGGGAGAAGTTCAAGAATGTTTTGGGGAAAGACTTATTTCAGCTGAGAGATTAATTAAAAACCCTGCTTATGTTTCTGGACCTAGGCCAGTGACCTGGGTTCACCTACCCTCTGGGTTTCCAGTATCCTGCTGGATGGAGGGAGGTCATCAGAAGGAATCACAGGTCTCCATCCAGCCTCCTTACATTTCTGTGACTTGAATTTTTTTTTTTTTTTTTGTTACAGATGTTTCTCCTTTTTTCCCCCATTGTGTGTGACTTGAATTTTTATCCCTGATGCAAACCTGTGTCTCCCTCAGGGTCAGGGCACTTGAAATCTGTTCAGTAAACAAGGAAAGCAAGTCCTGCCCACCAACCTAGTTCTACAGAGCAGATAAAGTTTCTTAAGCTGTTGGATTACATCCCATTATTGATTTCCAGCTGTTAACCTGCTGCAGAACCTTTCTGAGCAGCACTGCAGTCAGAGTAGGGTCCAAGTTGCAGACTGGGCCACGGGCTTCAGTGTCCCACAACCTCCTTTCAGAGCTCAGGCAGCTGGGGACAGGTGCCCTGGTCAGGCCCCACCGCTCATGTCCAGGGCACAGGCATACTGAAACCAGAGGTGACCCTAAGCCAAGTATGAGCCCATGACAGGCTTAGGCTCCGAAGACTGTTTCTGACTCAGCCTGTCATGGTCACCCTGAGGTGGGTGGGGTCTGCACTGTGACAGTTTGGGGAACAAGGACCCTAGGGTTACCATGGTGGCTTGGTTGCCAGGCTTCTGTGACGATATGTCTTTCTTCCTCCCAGTCTCCTGTCCTCCGACACAGAGTCCTCCGACACAGTGCTCCCCGCCCTGAGCCCAGCCTGGGTCTCTGCTGCTGCACTACACTTTGCGATTCAGCAAGCTGGGAAAGGGGGCCTGAGGAGAGGCCTGGAGAGGCTGCACTGCCCCAGAGAGGAGGCAAGGACTGCTTCTGACCTTCCCTCCCCAGTAGGCTTGTTGTCCGTGTTCTGGTCAGCGGTGTTTCTTGGAGCTCACCTGATTAACAGCTTTTCCAAACACAGCGGGAGGTTTAGAGATCCTGATACTTTATTTGGAAGGAAAAGTTTCTGGGTTTAAGATTTAATAGACTTTGATTCTCAAGTTTATTAGTAAAAAGAATACCTTGTTTCATTTTTGAAGTGCTTGCATTTATCTTTTTCTTATCCACACCACAACCCAGAGCAGGGTGCCAGCTGTCCAGTGGAATGAACCTTGTGTCTGTTTTCACAGCCTCGGTTCACATGCACCACAGTTAGGCACAGGCTGAGACAGGGTGGGTGGAGAAAGGTGCTCCAAGTTGCAGGCTGGCACCTTGAAACGTCCCCACTGGGAGCTGTGGGACCCATCTGTACCCAGGGCGCCCGCCCACCTGTTACAGAGCCATGGTCCACCTATCAGCTCAGCACTGCCACCTGCTTGGCAACAAGATCACTTGTTGAGCCAAGGTGTGCTTGGTAATTATAATTTAAAGTAAAACGCCTATAGATGTGATTCGTCATTGATTGTTTTCAGGTTGTTCTGTTGGGATTTGAGTGGCTCCAAACCTGCAGGCCTGGTGCACTGAGGGGACCAGGTCCCCAGAGACACCACCCAGCCCAGTGCACCAAGGGGACTAGGTCCCTAGAGACCTCACCCAGCTCAGTGCACCCAGGGGACTGGGTCCCCAGAGACCCCACCCAGCCCAGTGCACCAAGGGGACTAGGTCCCTAGAGACCTCACCCAGCTCAGTGCACCCAGGGGACCCGTCCCGAGAGACCCCACCCAGCCTGGATGCGCCCTGGGGCCAGGGTTGGGAGAGACAAGATGGACCCTGTGAGCTTATCTTCAGTGTTTTACAAGTACTTCTGGGCAGGAAGCTGGGGAGCGAGGCTGAGCTGGTAGCTCAGTGCCTGTGGTGGGGAAGCTTATACACCAGGAGACCCCTGGCAACAGTGGTTTAAAGACAAGCACAAAAATGACCCAGTCAGTAATAATTTAATGCAATTAAATTATCTGTTTAAAAGTGATTGGAAATGTTTCTTTCTGAGAATACCCACTTAGAGGAAAGGCTTGTGCCCTGGACTCTGTGGGAGCAGCACTGGTGGTCTCACTGTGCAGTGACCCTGTTTGTTTTTGCAGCTGCTGGTTGTCCTGTTTTTCTTTTCCTTGATGAACCTGCTGTCATCACATCTAACCCCACACGTACGTGATCCCTCATCAGCTAAGGGGGCTCTACTCCAGGGTGCTTGACACTGCAGGTCCCCAGGAGCCCCCCAGCCCTTGAGTCAGGGTGGGCGAGGAGTTACGGAATCTTCCCCTGGTAACTTAGGAGTCCTGTGCTCACTGGAATGGAAACCCCTCGGCTGTGGGCCTCTGTCTTACTTCAGAACTTGGGTGCCCTGGGTCACGTCTCCTCCTGCCTGAGCTCCCTCCCTCAGGCCTTGGGTTACTCTCTGTGACAAGGAAAGGCTCCCCTCTGTGAAGAGGGTCGTCCCTCCTCCCTGTGTGCCCAGCTCCAGTGAGCAGTCGGCTCTGCTGCAACTGAGCCACCCTTCCCCTGCTGTGGCCACAGGCTGTCGACTTCCCGACAGCTCTGGATGTTTGTGCCGAGATCCTGGGGTGTTTGAAGAAGAGGAAAGTGTCCTGGCTGCCACTCTTCCAGTTGACAGAGACAGGTAAGAAATCCACTGGACCTGACGGCAAATGGGTGGCCTGTGTCTCCTAGTCACCTGCCATCGGCTAGGAGCACAGGTGACCCAGTAGGGTCAGACTGTGACTCCTGACATTTGAGTCTTTCTCTTCAGAAGCAACTTGCAAAGAGTTATCTTGTTGCAGAGCATATGAAACCCTAAGTTTTCATCAAGACAAAAGCAAGAGAAGCTCATATAAACAAAGAATGTAGTGGAGTACTGAGGACCCCAGGGTGGCACTGGGCTGTCATTGTGAGGGGTCTGCCTGCCTGGCTCCCAGAGGCACACAAGGCCCCCTGAAGACACCGGTCCTGCGGGGAGGCATCCAGGGCTGACTGAGTCCATTGGGTTGCAGATGCCGGACTGGGGCACATCCTCCTCCGCCTGGCCCCGGACCAGCACATCAGGCTGCTGCCAGTCGCCTTCTACAGGTAACTCCCTGTTGTCGGGCCACAGTGCTGTCCCTCCCAGGAGGAGCACACACACATGGGGCCTTCCCGTGGGTTTTCCTCCATATGGGAGAGGTGGCCTGTAACCTCCTGTGCTGACTGCACTTATCTCTGGGAGGTCTTGGTGTCACCTGGCCTCTCGTCTTACCTTTAGCCTCCTCTCATACTTTGATGAAGACGCCCTCCTCCAGGACGGTGCCTTTCTGCACGTGGCTGTGGACATGTACCTGAAGCTGCTCGGCCTCTTTGTAGCTGGGGAGACAGGTGCACTCTCGACTCTGTCTGGCAGGAGCCAGGAATCCCAGGCAGGTGGAAGAGTGGGCTGTGTCCAAGCAAATGGCACATCCCACAGGCCCATGTCGCAAGCTCTCTGGGGCCTGAGCCCAGTGACAGCCCCTCCTGCATGTGTGGGCACCCTGACCGTGGCTCTGCCTATCCCCTCTCTAGGGCGACCCTGTTGGCCTGATAACAAAAGCTCGTCTTTTTCTGCTACAATTGATACCTCGGTGCCCTGGGAAGAGCTTCTCAAACGTGGCAGAGGTAACACCCAGATGTTCACCTTGGTGATTTTTCTCCTTGGTTTTAAATCCAATTCACTATGTGAGGATGCAGAGGCCAGCACTTGGCCTGTGGCTGCTGGCCACTTTCTGGTAGGCTGTGGTCACCAGCTTCCCTCCCCAGGCCCCAGGTGCCGTGTCTGTGCTGAGCATGGTGTTTTCTTGCAGCTGCTGGCCACTCGAGACCACGACCCAGAAGTGAGTGCCGCCCTCCTGAGCAGGCAGCAGTCCCAGGAGCCCTACCTGTCCTGACGACCCGCACAGGCACCACTCCTTTGTAAATAATTTATTATGAGCGTGACACAGAGCTCCGGTTGCACTAAAAAGTGGATTACAAATCTCTTTGATTGCTTTAGTGGGGAATCAATTATTAAAAATTTGCATCTGGCCCCAAGTCAGTGTTTATAGGAAAATAAACTGCTGGTCCCAGAGTGGACACAGGCTACCTGGGCTTTGCACCAAGCTCCCCGCCTTCCAGCACAGGTGGGGTTCGCATGGGGGCTCTCAAGAGGGAGCAAAGCTGTGCCATCGGGTCTCATGGGAAGAACTATGAAAATCGTCCTTCAGCCTCATCTACCACCTGGCGAGTTCAGATGCTGGTACACCTTCAGGTAGGCTCTGGCTTCACAGCCTGACCCTCCGTGGTCCCAGGTGGTGGCTCCAGGGGCAGGGCCTTGTCCTGGGTCTGTGTCAATGGGTGGACCATGGACATGTGCACATTTAGGTTGTGAGCCTTTTCAAACCGCCGGCCACACTGGTCACAGGCGAAGTCCAGCTCGGTCTCGGCCTTGTGTTTGGTCATGTGGTACTTGAGGGATGCCCGCTGCCGGCACTGGAACCCACAGACTTCACACCTGAGGACAGAAGGAGGTTAGCAAGGATCTGGGTGCCCGTGTGTGCGCGGAGGTGCCAGCCCACACTTACTGCAGAGGCTTGGCTCCCGAGTGCCGCATCTGGTGGACGAGGAGGTGCTTCCGCTGCTTGAAGGTCTGTCCACACTCGTCACAGATGTAGTTCCGCACCTCTGAGAAGAGGCGAGTGAGTACAGGCCCCAGAAAGGCCCACCCTGCTAGGCTTCCTACACTGAGTGCCCAAGCAGGGGACCTTGCCAACCTCACTTAAGTCAGATGAAAGACAATTCTGATACAAATCGTTAGAGCCCTCCAACCAGTGACTGGGGCTTCCTCAGAATCCACTGCACATTTGAAGACCGTTTTCTTAAATGTCTTAGAAGGCCCTCTATTCACGAACACAAATTCTTAAGAGGAAGGCACATCACAACGTCTCGGCTACTCCAGAAATTACCCCACGTTGGACTCGCCACGGGAGCACCCACTTTGAAAGTCATTTTCTTACAGTCTTGAACAAAAGCTGAATGGTCAAACTCTACCCCACCAATTCCCCTGGATGTGCACCTGGGCTCAGCCACATGCTTCTGCTCGGTGTCACTTCACATCCCACCTGCTGTCTAACATGAACCAGTCCCCTGAGTCCACTGAGACACCGTCTGGAGACCCAGCCTCAGAACGATGTGTCAGGGACTCGACAAGCAAGAACACTCAGCAGAAGCCACAGGGAGACAGTATTCATTTGAAACAGGAGTGACCCAGCAGTGAAGTGGACAGACCTGAACGAAGTCAGTCATTTTTACAAAATCTACAAGCAAGCAAACTACTAAACACTGTCTCAGGAGGTGCTGGCTTGGAGCTGTCTCCTGGGCAGGAGCAGCCGAGAGGCATGTGGGGCAGAGGAGTGGCCCTCGAGTGCTGACGGGGACAGCGGCACCCGAGTTGTTATCCTCACCATCTTCACAGTGCACGTGACACTTCCTCTTACCCCAAAGAGCCTTTAAAAATTTTTTATTCAACACCACAGCCCTGGCCGGTTTGGCTCAGCAGTTAGAGTGTCAGCCCACAGACTGAAGGGTCACGGGTTTGATTCCCAGTCAAAGGCATGTACCTGGGTTGCAGGTTCAATTCCCCGACCTCAGCAGGGACATGTGGGAGGCAGCCAATTGATGTCTCTCTCACATTGATGTTCCTCCCTCCCACTGTATCTAAACACTGATAGAAAAGTATAGGGTGAGGATTAACAAAAAAAACAAAAAAGAAAACGCACAGAAAGGCACTGGGATTTCTTGGCTGTCAGTTCCTGCTGAGCTGACCTGCCAACACTGCAGCCCAAGGACAGGCCCACAAGGCTGAGGCTGTTCCCAGGGACGCACCTGTGTGGATGAGCTTCACATGCCGCTGCAGGTAGCGGTCGATCATGAACACCTTGTTGCAGCCGGGGTGGGGACAGGGCCTTTCACGGACCTCCTCGTGGTGCTCCTTTATGTGCTTCTGCGGGGACAGCAAGGCCCTGAGCACCTGGGCTCGGCCAAGACAGAGCTTGCCCATCACGTAGCACCTGCCCAGCACCCTTGAAGGAACAGACCCAACCATTCCTCACTCAAGATGGGTGCTTTCCCAAGAGCAAAGGCTGGTGCACCCCCCCTGTGGACCATGGCAATGGCGGGGCTGCTTCGCATCTCCATCTCCCCAGCACCCTTGGGTGTCTGCACCTGGCGCCTCACCCGGGCCCGTGGACTCCCGCCCTGGCTCCAACAGGACCGTCCTCACCTTCATGCCATCAGCCCCTCGGTACACGGCTGTGCAGCCCTGGTAGGGGCATTTGTAGATGGTGGGCAGCTCCTCTCTGCAACAGAGCACAGTGTGGAGCTGCTGCCCTGCCACTGCCTGGCAGTGCAGCCCACACCTAGCCTTGCCTTTAAGAAAGATTTTTCTGCCCTGGCCGGTTTGGCTCAGCAGTTGGAGCATCAGCCTGTAGTCCGGAGAGACCGGGTTCGGTTCCTGCTAAGGGCACATACCTCGGATGCAGTTTGTCCCTGGCCCTGGGTGGGTCATGCAGGAGGCAGTCACTCTATGTGTCCCTTTCACATCAATGTATCTCTCTCTCTCTCTCTCTCCCCCTCCCTCCCTCTCCCTCTCCCTCTCCCTCTCCCTCCCACTGTATCTGAACAAAAAATGGAAAAATGTCCCTGGGTGAGGATAAAAAAAGTTTTTTCTTTATTGATTTTAGAGAGAGGAAGTGAGAGGGAGAGAGAGAAACACTGATGAGAGAGAACATTGACTGGCCGCCTCCTGCACGCCCCCCACTGGGCACGTGCCCTGACCAGGAATCGAACCGGGACCTCTTGGTGCAGGGTCCACGCTCCACCCCTCAGCCATACCGGCAGCCTCACCTTTCACAGCGGAGCTTGTTCTTCCAGCCTGGCTTTGGCCCAGGCTTCTTTCGGATTTTTGGTTCTTCAGGCTTCTTGGCGTCTTTGTTTCCATTCTTCTTACCAGAGACCCTGGGGAAAAGGAAATCAGATGCAGTGACATGTCTGGACTCGTACCTCTGTACATGGTTCTCGTTTTCCTTCCCACTCTCCTCCAATATGATTCAAGCTTCCAGGGAACCTGCTTTAGTCTCGGTGCTAACTGGGGGTCCTGAAATGGACCCTAAGCCACCAAAGCCAGAACAACTCGGGGCTGATACCCGGTACAGGGACCATGAGCACAGTGACGACAGGAGTGGGTGTTCAGGACTACAGCCGTACCCCTATTCTAAACATCGAAACCAAACACTGTCAGGAGACACCATGGAAAACGGCGGCGTAGGGAAGCTTTAGGGGTCAGTCCCTCTACCAAAACAACCATTGAGCTAGAAAAAAGAACAGATGAACAGTTGTGGAACTCTGGATCCTGATGGGAGACTCAGCAACCAGGGAAGCCCTTGAGGGGTAAGTGCTGACTCAGAAGAGTGCTTTGTGCTTCACCAGCTGCCACCCCCACTCTTCAGCCCTGTTGCTGGGGCCAGAGTGGGTTGTGGGGACCCTGTCCCCCAACAGTGTGGGGAATGAGCGCAGGTGCAGCAACATCCAGTAGTGTCTAGCGCAAGTCTCGAGAGATGCACACACTTGTTTTCCTTTTTGGATCCAGACACTTAAGGAATTCTGTCAGAAATAGAAGAGAGCATCTGGGGCCACATGTGACAAGCCACGGCTGACATCATTCTCAATGCTTAGAGCCTGAAAGCCCTCTGAGGTCAAGAACAAGAAAATAGTATTGGACATCCTAGCCAGAGAAATTAGGCAAGAAAAAATAACATCCATCTACATTAGAAAGGAAGGAAAATTAACTATTCATAGATGATGTCTTATACGTAAAAATCTCTAAGGAATCCACGTACAAAGTACATTCAGCAAAGTTGCAGGGCACAAAATCAACACAAACATCAGTCCTATTTCTACATGCTAACAGTGGACCACCCAAAAAGGAATTTAAGAAAACTCATTTGTAGTTGCATCAAAAAGAATAAAGTAGCAATAAATAATCCAGAGGTGAAAGACTTGACACTGAAAACCACAAAACTCTGATGAAAGAAACCAAGTCTTAAATCAATGGAAAGACACCCGTGTTCATGGACCGGAGGACTGAGTGTTAACATGGCAGTGCTTCCCCAAAGCAATCTGCAGATTCAGTCACTGTCAAAATCCCAATGGTGTTTTTAGCAGAAATAGAAAATCCTAAATTTCACATTGAATTTCAGGGGATGCTGAATAGCCAAACAATTTTGAAACTGCTGGAAGATTCACATTTCCTGATTCCAAAATTAACTACTACAAAAGCACAATAATCAAAACAGTATGGTACTGGCATAAAGAAAGACATGTAAACCAACTGAATAGAACTGAGAGAACAGAAATACTCTCATGAGTACAAGCAGCTATTTTTTTTTTTTTTTATCCTCACCCGAGGATATTTTTCCATTTTTTGTACAGATAGAGTGGGAGGGAGGGAGGGAGAGAGAGAGAGAGAGAGAGAGAGAAACATCGACGTGAAGGGACACATCGAGTGGCTGCCACCCGCACGACCAACCAGGGCCGGGGACAAACTGCAACCGAAGTACGTGCCCTTAGCGGGAACCGAACCCCGGTCTCTCCGGACCACAGGCCGATGCTCTAACCGCTGAGCCAAACCGGCCAGGGCCAAGCAGCTATTTTTGACAAGGGTGCCAAGACTTCAGTGAGGAAAGGAGTCTCTCCCTCAAAGGCGCTGGGAAATGATACCTGCACACAGAAGGAAGCTGGACCCTAATGAACACCACACACAAAAATTAACTCGGTCCTGCCCTGGCCAGTTTGGCTCAGCGGTTAGAGCATCGGCCTGCGGTCCGGAGAGACCCGGGAAGTTCCCGCTGAGGGCGCGTACCTCGGTTGCAGTTTGTCCCCGGCCCTGGTTGGTTGTGCGGGTGGCGACCACTCGATGTGTCCCTTTTACATTGATGTTTCTCTCTCTCTGTTCCTCTCTCTCCCTCCCACTCTACCTGAACAAAAAATAGAAAAATGTCCTCAGGTGAGGATGATTTAAAAAAAAAAAAAAAAATTTAACTCGGTCCTGGCCAGTCTAGCTCAGTAGTTAAAGCGTCAGACCAGAGATCCGTGGGTTTGATTCAGGTCAAGAGCACATATCTCAGTTGTGGTTCGGGCCCTGGCCCTGGTCAGGGTCCGGCAGGAGGCAACCAGTCGGTGTCTGTCTGTCCCCCCCCCCTCCTCCACTCCACTCTATCTGAAGATAAATGGAAAAATATCCTCGGGTGAGGATTTAAAAATAAATAACTCAAATGGTTCAAAGGCCTAAATATGAGCTAAAACTAAAGCTCTTAGGAGAAAACGGGTAAATCTTCATGATCTTGGATTTGGCCATGGTTTCTTAAATATGATACAGAAACACAGGCAATGAAAGAAAACACAGGTAAACTGGACTTCAAGTGAAAACTTTTGTGCATCAAATGACATTCCCAAGAGAGTGAAAGGGATAGCCCATGAATAGGAGAAACTATCTTACAACTCAAGTGCAAAAAGGCAAACAACCTAATTAACATATGGGGGAAGGACCTGAAGAGGCATTTCTCCAAAGAAGATAAAAGCATGGAGCCCTGGCCAGGAAGCTCAGTTGTTCAGAGCATCGTCCTTATATCCCAAGGTTTCAGGTTTGATCCCAGGCCAGGACACAGACAAGAATCAACCAATGGAACAACAATTGATGGAACAACAAATTGATGTTTCTCTCTAAAATCAGTAATTTTGTAAAAAGATAAGCATGTGAAAAGATGTTCAATATCACCAGTCATTTGAGAAATGCAAATCAGATGACAATGAGATACCACTTCCCACCCATTAGGATGATCTTTTCTTTTTTTTTAAAGAAAATATTTCAAGGATGTGGAGAAATCAGAACCCTTGTTGGTGGAAAGAGAAAATGGTGCAGCTGCTGTGCGAAACTGGAGGCAGCTCTTCAAAGTTAAATGTGGAGCTGCCATGGGCCCAACAGCTCTACTTGTGGGCACGGGCCCAAGGAATCCGAAACAGGGCCTCATGCAGACACCTGTGCACCAGTGTTCACAGCGTCACTCACAATAACCACGAGGTGAGGCAGCCCAGATGTGGTCTAGCCACACAGCAGAGCATTATTCTGCCACAGAAAGGAAAGAGTTCTGACACACGCTGCATGGTGCATCTCAGAAACATGATGCTGGCGAAAGAAGCCAGTCACAAAAGGACAAATATTATATAACCCTACTTCTGTGACATCCCTAGAAGTGGTACCTAGATTAGAGGTTGTCAGGGCCTGGAGGGAGGAGGAAGGGGAAGTCACTGCTTAATGGGCACAGAGTTTCTGTTCAGGATGGCGAGTTTGGAAATAGTGATTGTTGCACAACACTGTAAATGTATTTAATGCCACTGAACTATATACTTTAAAATGTTAAAGTTTTGTGCCCGGCCTGTGTGGCGCACTGGTTGAGCATCCACCCATACACCAAGAGGTCACCAGTTCGGTTCCCGGTCAGGGCACACACCCAGGTTGTAGGCCCAATCTCCAATGCAGGGCATGCAGGAGGCAGCCAGTCGATGTTCCCCCTCATTGATGTTTCTATCTCTCTCTCCCTCTCCCTTCCTCTCTAAAAAAAATAAAAATAAATTTTTAAATGGTAAGCTTTGTTACGTGTACTTTACCACAATTTTATTATTTTTGGTACATGTCCCTAGCGGGAACCAAACCCAGGACTCTCTGGTCCTCAGGCTGATTCTCCAACCGCTGAGCCAAACCAGACAGGGCTATTTTACCACAATTGAAAAGGTTTATAAATAACTATCCTCCTCCTTGAAGAGTCTATTAAAAGAACCTTTTGGTGACTACACAGGCTTCTCCTCTCCTCGTCTCTAATAACTGTTCTTTGAGACCTGGCTGCGTGTCTGCTGCTCACTGGCCTCCACCCTCTTCTGAGTGGCATGTACCCTATCAGAGCCACACTGACCAGTGACTCGCCATGTCCCCCCCACCCTGGAGCACACGTTTGCTGAGAGCAGGAGGCCTGAGATCCTGTGGGTTTCACAGGTGGTCCCTGCAGGAGGGAGGCTGTGTGGGGTCTCTGCCCAGGGCCGTCTCCTGTCCTGCTCCCTGTAACCCATGTCAGAACTAAAGGACGAGAAGCCATGACTGCCCCTCCATCTGCACTTTCCCTGGCTGTGGTGCGCTCCTGATTCCGCTGTGCTTACAATGCTGAACACACTGCCCACGTCGGGCCCCCACGACTGGGAGGGCTTGGGGCGTCCTGGGCACAGGGTTGGGAGGAAAGGGACACATAAAAATGTCCCTGCCTGCCAGAGACAACAAAGTCTTTGAAAAGAGAAGGTCAAGACAAGGTCATAGAAGTGACTCAACAAGGAAGTAGCATAGAAATCGGCATCAGGCTGAATCCGAGCCCCGGCGACTCATCTGAGAGCAGGACCAGAGGCCGGCAGGGTGGACACCAGTGGTGTAGCTGTAAGCAGCGCGGGCCCATGGGGCTCACCCTAACAGGGCCATCTGCTGCCTCCTGAGTGACACAGGCCGAGTCCCACAGCTGAGCTGGGAGAGGCCTCCACGCACTCAGAAGCCACACTGCACTCCGCTCAGCAGGTGACATGAACCCTGTGCTGGGTCACCTGCCGGACACCACCCCAGGCCGGGGCACCTGCACCAAGACTGTGCCCTTACTTCTTCTCTGGGTAAGGCTCAAAGGAATCATCTGACGACTGGGTATTCTGCTTCTTGTCATTGTCATCTTCGCTCAGGAAGTCCCTGGGACAGAAGAGAGAGCCTTTAGAAAGCCCGGGGCGGAGACAGATCCGATGCGACTTCCTGTCTGAAGACCACACCAGTCCCCGTGCTCCATGTTTCAGTTCTCCTGAAAAGGTCACAGGAGACCTAAAACCCCAAATCTCTGACCCCATCTCCTAATGGAATATTCTCACACCAGGACCCCAAACTCAGGAGCCTCTCCTTGGGGGCCCCAGGCAGGGAATAAGTGGCGCTCAGAACATCACCTCCCTCTGAGCACCTGTCAAGCTGACGGCCAGCTGTCAGCCAGTTCAAAGGTTACAAAGGCCAGAAAAGTTCTCCATCTGTAGCCTTCGCCCTGAAGTACGAATCACTACTCACTCTCTGTTGGCTTTGGCCTTCCTCTGTGGGCCGCCACAGACAGGAAAAGGCTTGGGGCTGGCTGGTGGCCTGAAAGACAGCCATGCCCCCCTGGCCCCAGGAGTGCTTCTAGCACACGCACTTGGGTTCTTCCCGCACCTTGGCCACGGGCGCCCCACTACAGTTGCACTAAAGACTGTTGTACTCTATGGACTAGGGTGCATCTGCATTCCAGCCACGGCTATGGGGGTGAGGTGGAAGGGTGAGTGGTTCCTGGCTCAGTGATAGGGGTGGCCCAGGAGCGGACAGTTACAAGTCACACTCAGATCATGACAAAGGGCCAGAGGCAGGCTTCCTCTGCTCTAGGGACATGTGGGTCAGCACAGAACTAAGGCCTTGGAGGAGGAGACAGCGGTAGCAGCAGAGGGTGCCCGCAGGACACACACAGGAGTTCCACACTGCCTGGGCCCTGCGGCCTGGTAGCTGCATCAGGGTGGGGTTCCCTCTGGGACCCAGGAGCCCCCAATTAGGACAGAGAAGCCTGGAAGCACCCCTGGCCAGGACACAGGCAGCGAGCCCCTAGGATGGTAGAGTTTGGTTTTCCAAGGAGAAATTTTAGGCTGTTTAAACCCACTCTTCTCTCACCCCTCAGAAAGGTCACTGAACTCGTCTTTTACCCGATCATCCGAGGCTGAAGAAGGAAACTGCTTCTCCCCCAACTGCCCTGAGAAACAAGAACAAGGCTCCTGTTACCAACACAGCGCAGGCAGGGCTCCTGGCCAGGAGGCAGGGCTGTGCGAGGACAGAGCCTTCCTCATGGGGGAGCCTGGGGTCCTCCAGCCTCAAGTTCCACCCACCTCCCAACTCCATCCCCCAGAAGTTCCCAGCACTGCAGAGCCCACGGGGCCACCCCTGTCCCAGCACAGGCCATGGCAGTGCCGAGCGCCAGAAACCCAGCTGACAGTCCGTCTCAGCTGCCCAGCCCCTCCCCAGAGGTTCAGATCCAGCCGGTTCCGGGTGGGATGACTCACACTTCGTGGATGTTTAGGGACATTTGAAAACATCATTGTTATCAAGGTACTGCATGCAGTTTAAAGAGCTGTGTAGCCCTAAGGACCCTCCGACGCAGTCCCCGCTCCCTCCCAGCATCTGAGAATCTCCACCCCTGAGCCCCCCTGGGAGCTGCACTTCCTGAAGGTGCACAGGGGCCTCGCACTCAGGAGCGGCACACGTGCAGCAGATGGCAGGTGGGGCTGGCCTGGCCCTCCTGACATGATGTCCGTGAACAGCTGCACCGCACTCTGTGGGACTGGACCTCAGAAGGGCCTGTGTTCCCCTCCCCACTCAGCAGAGGAGCCTCTCCACACTTGTCCCATTAGGGTGTCACCAGGGTGCTGGCTGAGGCCCAGGAAATGACCCGAAACAGTCTCAGAGGCACCAGCTGCTCTTCCCCCACACCCCACACAAGGGCCCCATTCTTCTCCCCCCTCGGTCCCTTGGCTGGAGCAGGCGGAGGGAGACAGGACAGCGGAGGCTCACGCCCCAGACACGCTGGCACAGGGTCCTCGGCCCTCCCTGCTGCTGGATGCCGCAGGGCCCCACCAGGGCCCATGAGTGCAGACATCACTTCCTGCTGAGGGCCCTGCTGGCTCAGGGACAGGAATCCTGGTCTAACTGCTCAGAGAACCTCCTACCTGGAGCCCCACTCGGGGGCAGGCTTGGCTGAGGCAAGGGACTCGGCCCAGGCCCCAGAGGGCTGCCGTCCGACAGGGGCTGGGCCACGTCTGCGCTGGGCAGTGTCTCCATCTCGGCCCCGGCTGCAGTCGCTCTGCCCTGGGAGCTCGCAGGGGCAGCCCCAGGGGGGTTGGACCTCTGCAGCTGGGTGAGCCGTGGGGCCGTCTCCTTGTCCCACGTCCACTTGACTGCCAACGCACTGTCCAGCAAGAGAGCCCCGCAGCTGGAGTTGGCGTCCATGGTGTAGTTGTGGCCTTGGTCACAGCCCCACACGGCCTGGATGACACCGCAGTACTCGGAGGACAGTGTCCTCTGGAGGCTGGGCAGGGCCCCGCAGCTGCCTGCGTGTCCGTGCACCCACCCCACCAAGCCGCGCAGACCTTCGGGGCTTGAAGTAATCAGGTCCACTGGAAAGGCACAGAGACAGCAGCCCCGCGGCTGGTCAGCGCCCAGCCCACAGCGAGTCCACCCACGCACCACCCTCCATGTACAGGGCACTCACCCAGACACGCTCCCTCCTCAGCCTCTGTCCGGGACTGGGCACCCCCCCTGCAAAGGATCAACATGATATGAGTGGGGTCCCTTCACTGGCCCTCTCCCACGTTCGGGCTGCCCCTGGCCCTTCGTGGCTGTCTCTCCTTCCCCCAGAGCCGCTGAGGCCTCACCTCCACACCAGTGTACTGGGGCTTCCACACATCTGCTGCCCCCACCATGGCCTCCCCACTGCCGGGTTCCCACCAGGCACTCCCTGTGCCGAGAACAGCACAGCACAGCACAGCACACGGGGCTTAGCCCGAGCACCCCCAAATGAATAAAGGAGCGCCTACTGTGTGCAGGGCTTCCGGGGTCCCATCGGGGACACGTTGACTCTCTGCAGGAAGGACTTGAGGAGGCCGTGGCACTGGTAGAACTGGGTGTGGCAGTTCTTGCAGACAAACTGAGACAAAGCTGGGTCCTGGTGGATGGCCACGCCCAGCAGGTGCTGAAAGTCCCTGACGAACACATGGTCCCCTGGGGGTGGTTCCTCTGAGCTCCGCCCAGGCGCCCGGCCAGAGATGCTGCGGAGACTCCGCGCAGAGAACTTCCCATGGCAGAGGCGGCAGTGCCCCATGGCAAGAGCCCGGCCTGTTCCTGGGCAAGCACAGAACATGCTCAGTGAGCCCGCAAGACTGCTTGCTGCACAGGGCATGCAGGACACAGGTCCAGGAGGGGAGCCACTGGCCCCAGAGGAGGTGAGGCCCATGTTCTGCCAGCCTCCCACAGCCTCGAGTAGACAAGAACTCTCCCTGGGGCCTTCCTAGATCCTACATATACTGCCAAAACTCAAGCCCTTGTCTGGGCCAAAGGTAGGGCTCTGGCTCTGAGTTCCCAGCTAAACATATGGCCTTTGGAAAGATGTGGTCAGTGGAGGGCCTTCTGGTCCAGGGAACCTTTCGAAGAATTCTAAATGCCTCCATAACAAGGCCAGTATTACAATGAGACCAAAACCAGACAAGGACACCACAGGAAAAGATAACTACAGACCAATATCCCTGGCGGACATAGATGCAAAAGTCCTCAACAAAACAGGAGCAAAACAAATTCAACAATACATCTAAAGAATCATACACCATGATCCAGTGGGATTAATTCCAGGAATGCAAGGACAGTTCAACATCCACAAATCTATGCAATTCACCACATTAACAAAATAAAGGATAAAAATCATACGACCACCTCAATAGATGTAGAAAATGTATTTGACAAAGTTTAACAACAGTTAACAATTTTAAAAAATCCTCTCATCATAGTGGGCTTAGGGAAAACATACCTCAACATAATAAAGGCTGTACATAAAAAGCCCACAGCTAACACCACACTCAGTGGTGCAAAGCTGAAAACTTGCCTCTCAGATCAAGAGCAGGACAAAGAGGCCTGCTCTCACCACTTCTATTCAACATAATAGTGTAAGTCCTAGCCAGAGCAATTAGGCAAGAAAAACAAATAAAAGGCATTTAAATTGGAAAGAAAGAAGTAAAACTGTATTTGCAGATGTCATAATTATTATATACAGGAAACCCTAAAGGCTTCACCAAAAACAATCAAACAAAAACACCTGTCAGAACTAATAAACAAATTCAGTAAAGTCACAGGATACAAAATCAATATGCAAAAATCAGCTGTAACAAATTATCAGAAACGGAAAATTGTTTCTGCAATTTTCAATTGCATCAAAAAGAATAAAATACCTAGGAATAAATTTAACCAAGATGATGAAAACTATAAAATACTGATGAAAGAAATTAAAGACACAAATAAGTAGACAAATACCGTGAATTTGAAGAATTAATACTGTTAAAATGCCCACACTACCCAAAGCCACCTAAGATTCGATGCAATCCCTATCAAAATTCCAATAGCATTTAGTGAGAGAAAGGAAAGGGGGACAGGGAGAGGAGAGAGAGAAAAACATTGATTTGTTGTCCCACTTATTTATATATTCATTGGTTGATTCTTTTTTTTTATCCTCATCCAAGGACATTTTCCATTTTTTTGTTCAGATAGAGTGGGAGGGAGAGAGAGAGGGAGCAAAACATCGATGTGAAAGGGACACATCGAGTGGGTGCCACCCGCACGACCCAACTAGGGCCAGGGACAAACTGCAGCCAAGGTACGTGCCCTTAGCGAGAACCGAACTCAGGTCTCTCTGGACCGCAGGCCAACGCTCTAACCACTGAGCCAAATCAGCCAGGGCTCATTGGTTAATTCTTTTTTTTTCTTTTAATCCTCACCTAAGGACATGTTTTTCATTGATTCTAAAGAGAGAGTTAGGGTGCGGGGGGAGAGAGAGGGGAACATCATATGAGATAGAAACATGGATCAGTTGCCTTCTGTACACACCTAGACTGGGGATCAAACCCAAAACCTGGGTATGTGCCCTGACTGGGAATCGAACCCATGACCTTTCCATGCTCAGGAGGACGCTCTAACCAACTAAGCTATCCAGCTAGGTCCAATAGCATTTTTAACTAAATAGAACTAACAATCTTAAAATTCATACGGAACCACAAAAGACCCCAAATAGCCAAAGCAATCGTGAGAAAGAAAAACAAAGCTGGAAGCATCACAATTCCTTCGTCACACTGAGTCACAAAGCTAAAGTAATCAAAACAGTATAGCACTGGCATAAAAACAGACCCTTAATATAAGAATAGAGAGCCCAGAAATAAACCCATGCATATATGGTCAATTAATCGATGACAAAGAAGCCAAGAATATACAATGGGGAAATGACAGTTTCTTCAATACATGGTGTTGGAAAAACTGGAGAGCCACCTGCAAAAAAGAAAAATGATACCACTATCTCATGCCATACGCAAAAGTCAACTTTTGCGTATGATTAAAGACTTGAAAGACCTGACACCATAAGATGACTAGAAGAAAACATAGGCTGTGAAATCCCTGACATTGGTCTTCGTGATAATTTTTGGGTTTGACACCAAAAGCAAAGGCAACAAAAGCAAAAATAAGAGGAACTACATCAAACTACAAAGCTGCACAGCAAGGAAACCATCAGCTAAATGAACAGGCAGCCTGCTGATGGGAGAAATTATTTGCCAGGCACTTACCTAAGGGGTTAATATCCAAAACATAAAGAACTCATAGCAAAAAAACACATACAATCTGATTTAAAAATGGACAGAGTATCTGAATTAAAATTTTTCCAAAGAAGATATACAAATGGCCACCAGGTACAGTTAAGTCCTCACTTAATGTTGTCATCAGGTTCTTGCAACTGTGGCAAAACAACATATAAGGAAACCAGTTTTACAGTAGGTTAACTGATATGAACAAGAGTTAAGTTCCTGTGGCACCTCATCCAATTTGTAACAAAACTACACCGATGAAACAATGTTATTCAAGGACCTGCTGTTTATGAAAAGGTGCTCAACAGCACTAATCATCAGGGGAAAGCAAACCAAAATCACAATGAGATCCCACCTCACACCTGTTAGAATGGCTATCATCAAAAACAGAACAAGGGTGGGCAAGCATGTAGAAAAAGGGAACCCTTGTGCACTGTAGGTGGGAATGCAGATTGGTCCTGAAAACATTTAAGATGAAACTGCCTCATGACCTAGTGATTACTTCTGAGTACATATCCGAAGGAAACAAAAACTACATGTGCCGCCATGTTCATAGCATCATTCTTCACAGTAGCCAAGACCTAAAAACAACCTGTGTCACCCTGGCTGGTGTGGCTCAGTTGGTTGGGGAATCATCCTGTACACCGAAAGGTGGCAGGTTCAATTCCGGATCAGGGCACTTACCCAGGTTTTGGGTTCGATCCCTGGTTTAGGTGCTTTTGGGAGGAGTCTGATCAATGTTCCTCCCCCCCCTAAAATCAATTTTTAAGAATCTTTTAAAAAAATCCAACCTAAGTATCCATCAATGGCTGGATAGGATGTGATATAGAAATCTACATATATACATATACAATGAAATATTATTCAGCCATAAAGAAAGAAACCCTGCCATTTGTAGTAATGTGGATGAACCTTAACGGTACTATGCCAAGTAAAATAAGTCAGAGAAAAGCTAATGCCCCATGTTCTTACTTATACAGTATGTGGAATCTAAAAAAAGAAAAAGGAAAAAAAACCGAACACATACACAGAACAGATTGGTGGTTGCCAGGTTGGAGAAGTGTTGGTGAATTGGGTGAAGGTACAAAAAGTACAAACTTCTACTGATAAAAGAAGTAAGTCCTGGGGATGTATGGGCCGCATAGTGATTATAATGAACAACACTGACTGTATATGTGAAAGTTGCTAATAGAGTAGATCTTAAAAGTTCTCATCATAAAAAAAGCTGTGTCCGGCAGTGTGGCTCAGTGGTTGAGCGTGGACCCGTGCCCCAACGGGACACAGATCAGACTCCGGTTGGGACACACGGCCAGATTGTGGGCTCAATCCCAGTGGGGAGCAGGAGGCGGCCAATCCATGTTCTCGCTCACTGATGTTTCTCTCCCTCTAAATCAATAAAGAAAAAAATTCTTTTAAAAAAAGTCATTGTGAGACATGTTAACCGTATTGTGATAACCATCTTACAATACATACAAATATCGAATTATTAGGTTGTACATCTGAAACTAACAATTATAGCTCAATAAAAAAATTTTTCAAAGAAAACTAAAAAAAAAATGTTTTTAAATAAGTGCCTCCACAACTGGTAAGTTCATAAAGGAAGCGGGAACTTCATTCTCTCGCACCGACGCCCTGAGGCCAGAAGCGAAGGGGGGTGTCCGCGCTCCCGCCGCCCCCGTGGGTCTCCTGCCCGCCACTCGCGGGCGAAGCCACCACCCTCTCTGCCCCACCCGCGCCACCCAGGGTGAAAGGAAGCAGCGCGAAGCCGAGGGGCCAGAGCGCACCGGAGGCCAGGCGGGCGCGGGGCTCGGACCCCCTGCCGGGAGGCGCCCTCACCTCCACCTGACCCGCGGGTGTTCACGAGCCGGCAGCGGGGCTCGGGCGGGTGCGCAGTCCGTCAGGCTGCAGACCCCGCCGACCCGCACGGAGACCCGGCCCGCCCGCCCGCAGACCTGCGCCGGGAGCGAGCTCGGGCGGCAAGGGTCAGCGTCTTGCGAAACAGCGCGGGCGCCGGGGAGGCCCCGCCCGCCTCCCGCAGCCCGAGGACGCCGGGCCCGGGGCACGAGCGGGACTGGCCGGGGCGCCGGCCGCACCCACCTGCCTCGTCGGCGCCGTCCTCGCCCGCGTCCCCGCAGGCCCGCGCCGGCCCCCAGCCCAGCCGCGAAGCCACCAAGGCCGCCGCCTCGTCCACGCTCGGCCCGCTGCGGGCGGGGCGGCCCCGGGTCCGGCCGCCGCCCGAGCCCCCGCGCTGCCCCGCCGCCCCGGGCGACAGGAAGCGGCCGAGCCGGTCCCGTTTCATGGCGGCGCCCGGCGCTCGGCCCCGCCCGGCCGCGCTGGGCCTGCTCGGCTCGCTGGGCGGCTGCGGGGCCCGCTCGCTCGCGCTCGGCCCGGAGCTCCCGTCCGCCCCGGGCACTGAGCGCGCTCGTTCCCGCCCGACGGCGCCGCCCGCTCCGCCGCCTGGAAGCCGGGCAGGCGGGGCGCGCAGAGGAGGGGCCGCGAGACGACGCGCGGGGCGGGGCGGGGCGGGGCGCGGGGGCGGGGCGCGCGGCTGGCGTGTCTCCGACGTGGAGCGAGGGCTCGGTCGTTGAGCTCGCACGTCCGTGGCAACGGCGTGAGTCACCGCCGAGCTCCGCCGCGCCGCCCCGCCCCTTCCGCCCTCGGCGCCCAGCTCGCAGGGCGGGCGGGGCAGGCGGAAGCGCGCCGGCGCCGGTCTCCGGTTCCGGCGGTCCGTGGTCCGGGCGGCGCCCGCGCCCGCGCGTTCTTTGTTCCGGCCTCCGGCGTTCTCCCCGCCCCTGGGCCGCCAGCGCCGCCTCCCCCGCCCGGCGCCATGGCCGCTGCGGCCGGGGACGGCGCGGTGAAGCCGCTGCAGTGTGCCATGAAGCTGGCCAACGGGGCCATCGAGCTGGACACCGGCAACCGGCCCCGGGTGAGGCGGAGAGAGGCGCGGCGGGGACGACCCCACGCGCGGCCGGCTCGGGGGGCGTGGGCGAGGGCGGGGCCGCGGGGTGGGCGCCGTCGGGACCCTCCGGCGGCTGCGGGGCGCCGGGAGCGGGCGTCGCTCTGACCTTGGACAGCTCCCAGGCCGGCGGGCTCTGTCCCCGCTGCTCGACCCGTCGGGCGTCGCTGCGGCGCAGCTATTCGTGCGGGGAGACGGGGGGTGCGCGGAGCAGCCTCCGAATAGACCTGGCAAACGCCCGTGTGTGCGGGCAGACGCTGCCGATCGCCAGATTCCGGGGCACGGCACCCCGAAAAGGCCGGCCGGCCGCGGCCCCTGCGTGCAGAGCCTTTGCGGAGCCGCCGCGTCCCGGGCGCGGGGTCGATCGAGGGCGGCGACCGCGGGGAAGCCGGCTGAGCCGCTCCGGCTGCGCGAGCCCAGGACGCGCGCCCCGGTCCCTCCCTCCGCTCCGTCCCCGGTTGGCTTTCTAGGGAAGCAGGTGCCTTTCCCGGAATCCATTTTATCCTAGTCTGAGACGCAGACGAAAACATGAATGATTTGGGAACTGGGACGCAGTGAACACGAAGCACCGTGCGGTGCGTTCCAGATGCCTGCCTGCGCTCTGTCCAGGGAGCGCAAACAGAATGCTCACACCCTGGAACAGCAATATTCTAGGGCTCTAGAACCCCATGTATCCAGGGGCTCGGGAAGGGGATTTCCTGGACCCTAAGCCAGAAAGTGACTCGTAGAGTTGCAACATCACTTCCTCAACCTCCCAGGGAAAAAATTAAAAGCCATGGAATGAACAGCAGAGAAAGGAAACTTGTTGCATAGGGCGAATGACAGCAACTCTGAGTTGAAGGAGAATCTCAGTTCCTTCCTGTGCGGGAGAGAAAGGCAGTGGGAGAAGGGATGGCTACCCAGGTGGGCATCTTCTCCTTCGTCTGGAGTGCCCCAGGCAGACCAGCTAAGCAGCTAACCACCTCAGGCTAGGTGCTCAGGTGCATCTTAGAGATAAGCAGACACCACTGTTCCTGTGTTTTCCACAAGGGCAACAGGCGGGCGTGATGGAGTCCCGTGCCTCCATGGTCTGAGCCCTGCCATTTCTCTTCCCTGGGCACAGGAGGCATATACAGAATACTTGAGGAGCATCCACTATATCTCCCAGGTGCTGCTGGAAGAAGTGGAAACCACCAAAGGTACAGCTCTCAGCCTCACTGCTGCTCCTGGGCTGGTCAAGTCTTGGACACACAAGCCCTTGGTGGATTTCAGGCGTGGGGGCGTCCTGTCCTACCCACTTGCTCACTAGCAGAAGGCGAATGGGTGGGCAGCCAGTAAGCTGGAGCTATCATGGTGTGACATGGAACAGGAAGGGACAGATGCCTCAGGGGAGAAGCGGGGTAAGACAGGATCAGGGAGAGATGAGCTGAGCAGAGGCTGGGGGCAGCATTCCCAGCGGAAGGTGTACAAAAGCCCCAAGCTGAGAGTGGGTGCTGGGTACAAGGAAGGGCAAGCAGGCTGGAGGGTCAGGTGCATTAGAGGCAGGCGAGGCTTTAGGTGGAACTGGAGCTGTTCTCAAATGACGGTTAGCTCGTGGAGGCTCTGTGCAGAGAGGCCAGTATGGGAGCAGAGCCTCCACGAGGTTCTCGTAGTGGGCACAGTAGTGGTGAGACCTCCTGGAGGTAGAAGAGCTTGGGGATGTTCTTTAAAGGTGGACCTCACTAGACTTGCTGGAGGGGGAGATGGTGAGCTGCTTGGGGGGACACTGTGAGATGGGGGTGCAGGAGCAGCCCTGTGAGGAGCAGAGCGCTCCACCATGAGCACACTTTACTTGAAGTATCCAGCAGCCTCGTACACAAAGGCACAGTGGTCGGGGAGAGGTGGGAGTCACTACAATCGGAGTTGCCCTAGGGAGCCAGTGAGTTTAACAGAGCTGTGGGCACCCCAGGATTGAAGACTGGGAGGAGCTTGGTGGTAGTAGCCAAGAAGGTGTTCTGGAGGACAGAGACCCTGAGAGGTTGGGGGCCACAGGGGTTTGCAGGTGGTAGCTCCTTCAGGGGTGTCTGCTGATAGGAGCAGTCTACAGAATAGAAGCCCTGGGGAGGCGCCAGGGTGGGTTGAGCACGCCCAGAGGTTGGGAAATGGGTGATGAAGCTGTCTCTGTGAAATGGCCCATGATTGGTGGCCCACTTGGAGGAGGAGCTGTAGGTACAATGACATCCTCAGGAGAAAAGGCCCTATTCGGTAGAGGGCAGGCTTTGACAGCCCAGCTGAGACCCTGGGACAGTCGGCCAGAGACTGGACTGGACAAGCCCAGAGCCCCAGGGCAGATGGTCAGAGATGAGGGGCGGGTGGGCTGGCCCAGGAGTCAGAGGTGAGCAGACAGCAAACTTGCTCTTGTTTTCATCTCAGCAAGAAAACTTGATCAGTGACTGAGGTGAAGGTAACCAGTCTTCTTGCCCCTTGCCCCCCAGAAGCTGGGGAGACTGTGCCCCTGGATACCTTGAAGATGCTGAAGCTGGCAGAGCAGTGTCTGGAGAGGGCCCAGTCGACAGCTGCCAAGCTCGGTGGGTCTCCAGTCGAAGGTTTTCCTGGGGCATCCCCGCAAGTCTGTCTCCCCTGTGATATGTGGGGCCCTGTGCTGACTTGCGGCTTGGTGTGTCTTACAGGGAAAGCATGCCTGAAGACAGCCATGCCCGTGGCTGCTCCTGTCCCCTCACCTACCAGCCGACACCGCCGGGTGTACTCAGACGAAGGGGGGAAGCTCCTCCCATTTCTCCCACCTGAGATCTTCCAGAGGCTTCAGGTGGTAGAGTCACAAAACTCTAAGAAGTAAGATGGGGCAAATGGAAGGTGGGTTGAGTCTGGGTTTGGAGGCTCGGCAAAGGGAGCTAACCATGGTGAGTTTAGTTAAAATGGGTCCCAGAACAGAAATACCATGTGCCTGGCAGAAACAAATCTAAATTGTCTTTGGAGAAAAACACCTTCAACTTTCATAAAATAAGTGGCACACAGTCCAAGATAACCAAGCACAAACAGAAGTAAGAAACTGAAGGAATGACAGCAGAGACAGACCTACAAAGTCTTCAGAGCTATCAGACACAGCTTATAAAACAGTTGTGCTCTCTATATTCAGAGAAATTAAAAGCAACTATGAAAATACCTACAGGGTGCTTTGGCCGGTGCGGCTCAGTGGTTGAGCGTCATCCAATGCACCGAGAGGTCACCAGTTTGATTCCCGGGCAGGGCACATGCCAGGGTTGTGGGCAGCCAGTTGATGTTTCTCTCTCATGCTGTTTCTGTTTTTCTCTCTCTTTCCCTCTTTCTCTCTTTTTAAAAAAAATATATATTTTCATTGATTTTTTTTTTTTTAGAGAGAGAGAGAGATAGAAACATCCATGTGAGAGAGAAACATCAATTGGCTGCCTTCTGCATGCCCCCTACTGGGGATCAAGTCCACAATCCAGGCATGTGGCCTCACGGGGAATTGAACCAGGACCTCAGCCCACGGAACAGTCAATCCACTGAGCCACACCGGCTGGGCTCTTCCTCTTTTTTTTATCCTCATCCAAGGACATTTTTCCATTTTTTGTACAGATAGAGTGGGAGGGAGAGAGAGGAAGAGAGAGAAACATCGATGTGAAAGGGACACATCGAGTGACCGCCACCCACACGACCCAGCCAGGGCCGGGGACAAACTGAAGCCAAGGTACATGCCCTTAGCGGGAACCGAACCTGGGTCTCTGTGGACCGCAGGCTGATGCTCTAACCGCTGAGCCACGCCGGCCAGGGCCTTCCTCTCTCTTTAAAATCAATAAAAACATATTGCCCGGCTGGTGTGGCTCAGTGGTTGAGCTTCGACCCTGCACCAAGAGGTCGCTGGTTCGATTCCTGGTCAGGGCACATGCCCAGGTTGTGAGCCTGATCCCCAGTGGGGGGCGTGCAGGAGGCGGCCTATCGATGTTCTCTCTCATCGATGTTTCTATTGCTCTCTCCCTCTCCTTTCCTCTCTCTCTAAAATCAATAAAGAAAAATAAATAAATAAAATAAAAACATCTAAAAAAGAAAAAGATATTAAACAATAAAGATGAGTTTTAAAAAATAAATTAGCCCTGGCCAGTTTGGCTCAGCGGTTAGAGCGTTGGCCTGCAGTCCGGAGAGACCCGGGTTCGGTTCCCGCTAAGGGCATGTACCTGGGTTGCAGTTTGTCCCCGGCCCTGGTTGGTCGTGCGGGTGGCAGCCACTCGATGTGTCCCTTTCACATCGATGTTTCTCTGTCTCTCTCTCTTCCTCTCTCTCCCTCCCACTCTATCTGTACAAAAAATGGAAAAATGTCCTCGGGTGAGGATAAAAAAATAAATAAATAAATAAATAATAAAAAATAAATTAAAAAAGAGAAAGAAAATACCTACAGGGAAAAAAATACCTGCAGGGAACAAGAAACTATAAAATCTGACCTACCAAATAAAGAACCTAATATAAATGAAATGAAAAATATAACACTGCCCTGGCTGGTTTTGGCTCAGCAGTTAGAGCGTCAGCCTGCAGTCCAGAGAAACCCAGGTTCAGTTCCCACTAAGGACACGTACTTCAGTTGCAGTTTGTCCTTGGCTCTGGTTGGGTCGTGTGGGAGGCAGCCACTCGATATGTCCCTTTCATGTCAATGTTTCTCTCTCTCTCTGTTTCTCTCCCTCCAACTCTATCTGAACAAAAAAATGGAAAAATGTCCTCGGGTGAGAATAAAGAAAAAGAAAATCTGAGACTGCCCTGGCCGGTGTGGCTCAGTGGTTATAGTGTCGGCCCACAGAGCAACGGGCCTCGGGCAGGCTTGATCCCCAAGCCTGGTCAGGGTCATGCGGGAGGCAACCAATCAATGTGTCTCTCTCACATTGATTCTTCTCTTTCTCTCTCTCTCTTCCTCCCTTCCACTCTATCTAAAAATTAATGGAAAAATATTCTCAGGTGAGGATTAACAAAAAAAGAAAGAAAGAAAATCCAAGATTAACTTAAATTGGTCTCCAAATGCATGATTCCCAGTAGCAGATTGAAAGTACAGTTGAGCCCTGGCCGGTTTGGCTCAGCGGTTAGAGCGTTGGTGTGCAGTCCTGAGAGACCTGGGTTCGATTCCCGCTAAGGGCATGTACCTCGGTTGCAGTTTGTCCCTGGCCCTGGTTGGGTCGTGCGGGTGGCAACCACTTGATATGTCTCTCACATCAATGTTTCTCCCACTCTATCTGAACAAAAAAATGGGAAAATGTCCTCGGGTGAGGATAAAAAAAAAAGTACAGTTGACCCTTTAACTACATTGGTTTGAACTGTGTGTCATTTATATGTGGATTTTAAGTACATTTTTCATTTTAAGTAAAATCTGCATACAAGAGGATCTGCGCAGTTCAGCCCTGTGTTGTTCGATGGTCAACTGTGTATCCTCCAGTAAAAACCCATACCTGTGAACAAAAAGACAAGTTTATTACAGTAGAGTAGACACAGCTAAAGAGAGAATTAGTGACTTGGATAAGAAATCAAAGGATAGCCAGATGACCCACAGGAAGAAAAAAATGACAACGTTTGAGAAATAGAAAGTGTAACATAAGGCTACTGGAGTTCCAGAAAAAGACAAGAGAGCCGCGTTATCTGAAGATATAGTGACATTTCCTAGAACTGATGGAAAAAATCAAGACACAGCCTTGGCCAGTGTGGCAACATCCCACGCAACGAAAGGTTGCCAGTTTGATTCCAGGTCAGGGCACTTGCCTGGGTTGCAGGCTCGATCCCCAGTAGGTGGCGAGTGGAGGCAGCTGATTGATGCTTCACTCTCACATGGATGTTTCTTTCTCTCTCTCTGAAAGTCAATAAAAAATCTTAGCAAGGCCAGTGTGGCTCAGTGGACTGCGTGTCGTCCTGTGGACTGAGAGGTCCCCGTCCGATTCCTGGTCAGGGCACGTGCCCTAGTTGCAGGCTCGATCCCTAGTAGGAGGCGTGCAGGAGGCAGCCAATGGATGTATCTCTCACATCAATGTTTCCATCTCTCCCTTCCTCTCTCTCTAAAAAGAAAAAAAAGAAAAATTAATAAAAACAAATTTCCAAAACACTTTCTTTCACTCTTAAAAAAAAGAAAAGACACAGATGCCAGCATCCCAAGTAGGATAAACAAGAACCAGCTCCTCCTGGCCCTGCTGCTTCCAGCCCCGGGGCCAGTGGCTCCGGAGTTTCCAGGCCTCCTGGGGCAGGGCCAGGCCGACTCCATCCCAGGACAGACTTTCTTCCCCCTCCACCCATGAAAGCAGGAAGAGCTGGGGCTGAAGCTGGCGGTGGGGGGCTGTGGGTGACTGTTATCCAGCAGACATGGTTCCCACGACACAACTGTGCTGCGTCAAGGTCTGTCCAGCTTCCCAGAAAAGCCAGCAGCCCTGGCAGCAGGACACCCACATCTCAGCAGGTGCACTCAGACATCCCCCCTCCCTGATACTTCCTGCTGGACCCCCTCACTACTTCCTCACGTTCTGGTCCCAGGGCTGGGTCCGGAAGGGTCCTAGGTCACCAGAACATTGCTGGGCTTCTTGGGGCTCAGACAACAGCTTGTCACCATTTCCAGGGAGCTGACACCCCTGGAGGAGGCCTCCCTGCAGAATCAGAAGCTGAAGGCCGCATATGAGGCCCGGATGGCCCGTCTGGACCCCAGCCAGGCCCTGCAGAAGACATCGCTGGTGAGCGGCACCCAAGGAGGTTCCGTGTTGGAGGGAGAGGGGGGCAGGCCTTACTCCCTCCTCCTCTCCTAGACCCTGTCCCTGCAGCGGCAGATGATGGAGAACCTGGTGATCGCCAGGGCCCGGGAGGAGACTGTATCCTTTCCGTCCGTCCGTCCGTCCGTGGTGTCCAGAGTAGAACTCAGAATGCGACCTTGACCCAAGAGAGGAGGAGGTGGGGGAGTAAAGGGCACAGGGTCGGGGAGAAAGCCTGGGGTCAGGGAGCAGCCCCTCCCACCACGGGCCCTTGCAAAGGCCGTGCGCCCTCCCAGCACCTCTCGGTCCTGCAAGTCGCCCAGGACTTGCCTCCCCTCCCTGAGCGGGTGCCCATCCTCTGACCCGCCCGGCTGGGCGTACCTCCTGAAGATGCCCCTGCCCGCTGGACCCCACGTCCAGCCCCGCGCTGGGAGGGCCGGGCTCAGCGCGCTTGCGGCCACCAGGCCTTGACCCGCCGCCCAGCTGCAGAGGAAGATGGAGGAGCGCCGGCTGCGGCTGCAAGAGGCCGCCAACAGGTGCGCCCCTCCCGCCTCGGGCAGCTGGGAGCACTGGCGGGGACCCCCACCTCCACGGCCTGGGGCCCCAGCCGGTGCTTCCTTCCAGGAGGTTCTGCAGTCAGGTCGCCCTGACGCCAGAGGAGCGCGAGCAGCGGGCCCTCTACGCCGCCATCCTGGAGTACGAGCAAGACCACGTGAGTCCGCGGGCGGGGGCGTGGGGGGCGTGGGGGGCATGCGGGCGCGTGCGGGGGGCGTGGGGGCCGCGGTGCTGGAGCAGGCGAGGGCCTGATGGCGTCGGGTCTGCCCTGAACCCCGCGGAGGGTATCGGCAGTGAGGCCTGGTGTTTTAGGGTGCAGCCATGGCAAGGGCGGGGAGGAAGGAGGGGCGTCCCATCCTGGGCCCCGACAAGCTCTCCTCCAAGGCCTCCTGTCCTGCAGGACTGGCCGGCGCACTGGAGGGCCAAGCTCAAGAGGAGCCCTGGGGACCTGTCGCTGGTGACCAGCCTGGTGTCCCACCTGCTCAGGTACCGGGTCCGTGGGGAGGACTGGAAGGGCGGGGCCCCCAGGCTGCCCCAGGGCTCCAGCCCCTTTGCCCTGAAGGTCTTTCATTGACCTTCCTCTGCTTTCTTTTTTTTAAATATGTTTTTATTGATTTTTTGAGAGAGAGGGGAAGGGAGAGAGAGAAAATTCGATGTATGGAGAGATACATACATCAGCTGCCTCCTGCATGACCCCCCTGGGGATCGACCCCACAACCTGGGCATGTGCCCTGACCAGGAATCGAACCGGGACCTCTCAGCCCATAGGATGACACTCAATCTACTGAGCCACACCAGCAGGGCCTCTATTATTATTATTATTATTATTATTATTATTATTATTTTGTTTAAATCCTCAGATAGAGGATTTAACCTCAGATAGTGCAGGATGGGGAGAGAGAGGGAGAACATCGATGTGAGGGAGACACATGGTTCAGTTGCCTCCCGCATGACCCCCACCAGGGCCAGGGACTAAACTGTAAGGCATGTGCCCTTGACCAGAATCAACCCCACAACTCTTTGGTCCGTGGGCCAAGGCTCTAACCACTGAGAAAACCAGCCAGGGCTCCTCTGCTCTCTCCAAGGGGTGGGTCAGACTCTATCTGCAACATTCCCTCGAGAAAGAACACGAGATGCTTCTCTGGGCGAGGGGTGTGGGGGGAGGGCCAGCTAGTCAGCCCCCAGGCCAGAGGCCAGCAAAGGGACTGCAGCCCCCCGACCCGCTGGGCTCCCCGAGCTGCGCCCCCACATGTGGCCTCCACTTCTGCTTGCAGTGTTCCCGACCACCCCATCTCACAGCTCCTCAAGAAGCTCCAGTGTGCGGTGTACCGGGCTCTGTACCCCGTCGTGAGCCGGGGCGCTGAGGCTGCCTCAGCCCCTGGCTTCTGCTCCCTGCCCCCTGACGCTGACGGGCTGCTGGCCCCCGGACGCCGGAGGCTCCGGCCCTCCCAGAGCCTCTACTGCATGCTCTCCCCCCCAGAGCCCAGCCCAGCCCCCCAGCCCCCTGACGACCCCCTCGCCAGTCCCCCCACACCCCTGTCCCAGCCTGGGCCCCCCGACAGAGGGGCGGACAGCAGCTCTAAGGGGCCTCCCTCAACCCTGGCGGGCAAGGACAGCTCCTTCGAGGACCTGGAACAGTTCTTGGCCACTTCTGAGAGGTGTGGCCCGGGCTCTGGGGGGCGGGCTGAGCCCCAAAACTCAGGGGTGAAGGAGGGGCCCCTGCTGGAGCAGCTGAGGAGCACCGCGAAGGACATACACAATGCCATCGGTGAGCGCAGCACCCCCGATGGGTGGGGGCGCTGCTCTGTCTCTGAAGCAGGCCAGGAGCTGGGATAGGCCCGGGGAGGAGGGCCTTCCTCTGGACAGCAGCCAGGCCAGCGCTGACCTGCAGGGCCCGTCCCTCCACCCTCCTGTGGCCAGACGTGCTGCTTACAGACAGGCACCCGCCCTGCCTCTGGAGCAGCTGTGGCCTCTCTGGGCTGCACAGTGAGGTGCAGCCTCGGCCCTGCAGTCCTGTGCTTGGGGACAGTCCCCCGACCAGAGCCTCTGGCAGCCAGGTGGCCTGGGCTGTCTCACTGGGGTGGGCTCCACGTCCTTCCAAACCAAGGACGGTTGGGGGTGTGCAGCCTGGTGGTGACGATGGCTCCCCCAGCTTTTTCCGTTTTGAGAACAGTGTGAGCCCAGGGTGGCCAGTGACGTTCGAGTCCCTTCCGAGGAGGAAGGCCTTCAGGGTTTCTAAGAACCAGCAACCGAGGCCTGACAGCCGAGGGCCTTGTTCTCACTGTGGGGCACACGCTCCAGGGGCCTGGGCCGGGTCCCATCCATCGCCTCAGGCGGTCCTGACAGCTGAGGGCCTTGCTCTCACTGTGGGGCACACGCTACACGCTCCAGGGGCCTGGCCAGGTCCTGCCCATCGCCTCAGGCAGTCCCTCTCCTCCCTGAGTGGGTCCCCATCTTCTGGAGCAGGTCTGCCTCGTCCCCAGGAGGGTACCTCGTCTCTTTGGGCCTGAGATTTTTTTGTCTTTGAACTTGCTTCTAAAGCTTCTCTGGGTTCCTGCAGTTGGGGTACAAATCCTTTTCAGAAAGGGCCCATTCTCTGGCCCCCTTCCCATGCTTGCCTCCTTGGCCCTTTGGGGGGACTGGATACGACCCTGTGAGCACCCAGGGATGAGGGTCTAGACTCCCAGCTCTGACCCGAGGCCACATGGACATAGGAGGGGGTGGGGCGAAGGGGAGTGGAGGGAGGGCCAAGCAGACACCCCTCCCCTCTGAGCCAGGGTGCACTGACCCCAGGCACACTGAGGCGGGCTCGGAGGGCAGAGGGAAGGTGGTGGGGAGGGCTCGTCTGGGTGGTGTCCGGGGCTGCCAGCTGGCCCGCAGCAGTGTGTGCTGGCTCTGCCCCAGCAGACAGGCTGCTCTCGCTCACCCTCCTGGCTTTCGAAGGCCTGAACACAGCCCCCTCCAAGGACCGCTGCCTGGCCTGCATCGAGGAGCCCTTCTTCTCCCCGCTGTGGCCCCTGCTGCTGGCCCTCTACAGGTGCTGTCCCAGCTCCAGTCCCCCACCGGCTCCCCAGGTGTCGCTGCCCCTTCTCCACCCGGGGCACACCTGTGACTGCCTCCCCTGGTGCTTTACTCTGAGGCCATCCTCGGCCATGTCGGTGTGTGGTGGTGGCTCCACTGCCCCACCCTGTGTCCCCAGGGCCGGGCCCTGGGCAGCTGAGCCTTTCTTGGCCGCAGGAGTGTGCACCGCCCCCGGGAGGCTGCCCTGAGCAGGAGCATGGAGCTGTACAGGGACGCGCCGCCAGCAGCCCTCGGCATCCCCCCCAAGCTGCTCCCTCGGGACCCTGAGGCCCCCGGAGCCAGCGCCGCCCCCTACGGGGCGGCAGCCCAGGAGCTGGGGCTGCTGGTCCTGGAGAGCTGCCCCCAGAAGAAGCTGCAGTGCGTCGGTGAGGAGGGTGTTGGGAGGAGGGGGAAGGGAACGTGGCCAGACCAGCCAGCGTCCTGTCTCAGTGGGTGACCTAGGGCCTGTGTGCCTTGTCTCTGAGCTGCAGGTCCTCCTCCTGCCAAGTGGGGTGTGTCCCGGGGACATGAATGGTGCAAGTGGTGTCCGTGGGAGGGCTCATCCACAGGACGGGTGTGGGGCAGTGCCGGGTGCTGGGAGCTGTTCTGGCTGCCGAGCTGTCCTGGGACAGGCTCCCCCGCCCCTCACCCAAAGCCTCGCTTCTGTGCTGCAGTGCGGGCCCTGCGGGTCATCTGTGCCTGTGCTGAGGGTTACTACCGGGCCCAGGAGCCTGCACCTGAGGCTAAGCCACAGCCTGGCATGGCTGCCATGTGAGTCCTGGGAGGGCACGGCCTGGGGTGGACACCGGGCACGTGAGGGCTGCCCGCAGAGGCGGGGGAAGAGAACCCTCCCACTCTGTTCAACACCAGGGCCAGGTTTTGTTCCCCAGCAGCTCACCCTCCAGGAGAGCGCGAGGACCCCAGGCTCCGGCCCCATGACCACACCTTCCGCTCCTCTGGTCAGGGTTTCTTAGGGCCAGGGACCTCTGGCTACTCTGATGAGATTTAGGGCTGCTCACCCCGGAAGCACGTGCTTGGTCCCTCCGCTGCACACGAGGGAAGCTGCCCTGGCTTAGTGAGGAGCCTGGTGCACCTGGGGAGGGTGGGGCAGGGGTCTTTGCCACCTGGGTGCTGCAGCCTAGAGCTCTGCTGTCGGTCCCGCCTGCAGTCTCCTGCCCTGGTGCCCCCCTGGGGCTGGTGCTCCCACAGCACCCGCAGGGCTCTGCCTCCTGCCACCCTGCCCCTGGGCCTATCACTGCAGCCTGGTGGGCAGGCACCTACCCACCCCCAGGAGCCTGCGGATGAGGGGCAAGTAGAAATCAGAGCTGAGTGTGAGGTCAGCAGGGAGGAGCTTCACCCAAGGAGAGGGAGACAGATGCACCCCACCCACCCCAGGGCCAGGGTGCTGTGCCTCAGTGCAGGGTGAGCGGGGTTCTGCCCTGGCTCCCACACGCCCCCTCACCAGTACGCCACCTGCCTGCAGGGGAGGCCCTGCGGGAGCACAGTCCGGGACTGGAAGTGTTTCTAGTCAGGCTGAAGCCCTCGCGAGCTCCCTCTTCAGGCCTCTGTGTCCCTGCAGCTGCGCAGTGCGGGGACATGGAGGCACGGCCGGGACAGCTCGGGGTGGGCTAGGCCCCCCAGTCAGACTCAGGTCACAGCCTGCCCCCTGCTCTCCCCAGAGAGCACTGGTCGTGGGGCCCTGGGGTTGGGGTTCTAGGACTCCCACTCACTCCCCACTCAGCTCACTTAGTTGCCTCTTACAGAGGGTCTGGGGTCCTGGCTGGCTGAGCTGTAACACCTGATCTCAGGAGCGAGCAGGCTGCCCGGGCCCCGGGCCATCCCCTCCACTACCCTGCTCCCCAGGCTCGGGCAAGCTTATTGGGTTGCAACCGCCCCCGCCTGTCCACCCCGGGGGCCTGTTTGGGGATGGCCTGGCTGCTCCTAGGTGCTCTGTGCAGAGGGGTGTAGAGTGAGCAGCCACAAACCCAGGGCCCCTCCAGGGGCTGGGCTGGGGCTTCAGGGGCTGGGGACTGAGCAGCCCCACAGGCCCCAGAGCCTCCAGCCAGCTGCCTCTGCCCAGCAGTGGCGCTGACGACCTCCTGCCCATCCTGTCCTTTGTGGTGCTGAGAAGCGGCCTCCCCCAGCTGGTGTCAGAGTGTGCTGCTCTGGAGGAGTTCATCCACGAGGGGTAGGGCACCTGTGCGCATGGCCCAGGACCCTCTCCCCAGCCCCTTCTACCACCCCTCGCTTAGCACACTGCCTAGGTGGGGGCTACGCCTTGAGCAGCATCTGCCTGGGGTGGGCTGTCCCCTGCCCAGCCTCCCTGACAGCCCCATGGGACCTCTGTGTCCAGGTCCTGCCCCTCAAGGGCACCAGGCCTCCTGGCATGCTCCCCAGTGACGGGTGTTGTGCCCACAGGTATCTGATTGGAGAGGGGGGCTACTGCCTGACGTCGCTGCAGAGCGCCCTGAGCTATGTGGAGCTGCTGCCCCGGGGGGCCCTGGGCAAGTAGAGCAGGACAGACCTGCCGAGGGCTGGCCAGGAGCCGCTCCGGGGGCTCTGCAGCTTTCGCCCCACCCAACCCGACCCCTGCCCCAAGGAGCTGCTCCTGGAAGGATGGGCTGGGCTGGATCAGGCCCGTCTCTTTCCTGCTCCAGGCTCCGAGAGACCCCGTGCAGGGAACTGGACTTGCGGGCTCCCCTGGGGGACACAAGGGCAGAGCAAGGGTGTGGGCCTTCTGTTCCCTGGGACAGCTCCCTGAGCCAGTTTCTTGTCAGAATCAAGAAGAGCGTGTGCCAGCCCTCTGCTCTTGGAGGCCCGGGGCCCAGGTGGTTTGAGACTGTACTGCTTATTTATTGGGCACTGACATCCCACTCCCCCCTGAGGCCCAGGCGTCCCCGGGGGACCTTCCCGTGTCTGAGGGCTCTGAGCCGCATCCGCACCCTTGGCATTGGGCATCAAAACCCCCTGGCAGGTGGCTACCCCTGCACATCCCCTTCCGGGTGGGTGAGAGCTTGAGGGTCAGCGCCTGCCTGCTCTGACTCCAGGTGCCCGCAGCAGCCCCTGACCTGGCTGGAAATAAAAGAGGTCACTGGTGTCTCACTCCATGTAGCTTGTTTGTTCCCCACTCACTGTCTGGGCAGAGGCCTAGGCAGGACAGCCACCCCCTCTCCTGACCAACAACAGCCAGACTCCCAGAGACACTGGGGTCCACCACACAGGCCTGCCCCCAGTCCCTCTGCACAGAGTAGGATAACCCTGGAGTGGCCCCAGGGGAGGATGCTCTGGGGGGCCTAGTGGGTTGGCAGGGTTGGAGATCACACCTGGGCAGACCCCGAGTTCAGAGCACTCAGCCCAAAGGGCGCTCAACCGCTTTCTGCGCCAGGTGGTGAACACACGGGCACCCTGAGCAGTGGTACCTACGCCTCCGGGACAGGAGAGAGCATGTGGCTGGGCCCCAGCCATGGGCAGTGCCTGCCAGGGAAGGAGCCCCCCACCCCCAGCCGCCAGGGTGGCCCCAGAGGTGGGCAGCAGGGGCCCGACCACAGCAGGTGCTGGTCCTGGGAGCAGGTTCACGTTCCCTGGGAAAGGCTCCTGCGGAGTAGCGGCAGGTGGCATTTGCTGGGCCAGAATGTTCCTGCCAGGTTTGCCCCTCACAGGAATCCCACGAGGTAACAGCCACGGGCGGTGAAGGCCCTTCTCCAGTCCACATCTCATGGTGAGGGACCTGGGTCTCAGCCCAGCGGGCCAACTTTGAAAGCCACTGGGCACCTGGGTCTCTGTCCTGCAGGATCCGGTGTGGGCTGGAGTCCCCTGCCCACAAGTGCGGCGGGAACAGACAGGCCCGCACCCCGTGTGAGGCGGAGGGCCCGCCCCGCGCCGGGCTCCCAGCCCCGCGGGTTCTCGAGGAGCCTCCGCTCCTGCTTTCCGGCCGGGCGCTCCCGAGGGCCGGACCCTGGTGCCCGCCCCGGCGGACCGCTGCTGGGACACGCCCGTTTACTGAGTTCCCGCCGGGCCTGCGGTCTTCGGCTGGGGGCTCGGCCGTGACTGGCGACGCGGGGACAGGTGGCCGTGCGGGCGCGTCACGCAGGTGCTCGGCGGGCGGGACCGCGGCGGTCCTCCCGGGCCCACCAAGCCCGCTCCGCCCCCGGGAAGGCCCCGCCCTCAGGCCGGCCCCGCCCAGCTCCTCCGGCGGAGGGAGTTGCTTCAAGTCCCGCCCCGAGAGTGACGGCCGAGGCCGACGGGCGGAGCTGGCTCCTGGCGGAAGCGCCCTCCAGGCGAGAGGCCAGAGCTGAGCGGTGGGCGCTTGGGGCCGCTGGGGAAACAGGTAGTGGGGTCGCCTGCGGGGCTCATGGCAGGATCTCGTGGCGAGGGGTTCTCCGTTCGGGATGGGGGGCTCCGCTGGAGGGGCGAGGCGGGTTTCCAGGAAGGGGGTTACAGTAGGTACCGGGGGCCGCTCAGCTGGCGAGGACAGGGTCACCAGGCTGGAGGGGGACCTGTGGATGCTGGTTGGGGGCTCGAGGGGCGCACAGCCGGCGGGGCGGGGTCTCTGGTTCCTGAAACCCTACCCCCGCCCGCCAGGATGGGCAGCAGCTCGCTGTCCGAGGACTACCGCCTGTGCCTGGAGCGCGAGCTGCGGCGCGGCCGCGCGGGCGTGTGCGGGGACCCTTCGCTGCGCGCGGTGCTCTGGCAGATCCTGGTGGAAGACTTCGACCTGCACGGGGCGCTGCAGGACGACGCGCTGGCGCTGCTCACGGACGGCCTGTGGGGCCGCGCCGACCTGGCCCCCGCGCTGCGCGGCCTGGCCCGCGCCTTCGAGCTGCTGGAGCTGGCGGCCGTGCACCTGTATCTGCTGCCCTGGAGGAAGGAGTTCACCACCATCAAGGTAGGGCGCCGGGCCAGGGGCTTCCTTGCCCAGGCGTTGGGGATGCGGGATTTCAGGTCCTCACCCCGGTGGTCTCAGGCCTCAGAGCTCGCTGAGGGGTCCTGCGTGTGTTGGAGCATCTTTGGGTCGAAGTCCCCCTGGGCACTCCCAACGCTGAGAACATGGGGTGGGCGGAGGCCAACCCCCACTCCGGGTGCCTGCCTCCTGGGGGGGGGTGTCCTACCCCTTAAAGCATCACTGCCCTCACCAAAGTGGCTTTGCGGCCCTGCTTGTCATAAAAATTATAGGACAGGCGCATGGGAGGGACTTGAGTTTCCATGGTCACCCTAACTCCCCCAGGTTGTGGGCTGATCCCATTTATAGATAATGCAGACGGGTGCACGCAGGGGTTGGGGTTGGGGGGCCAGGATGGGCACGAACCTAGTTCACTGCTCGGCCTGGTACAGAGGGTGTACTCAGGGCTGCCTGGACCCTGGAGGTGAGCTGCCGGCCAGCAGGAAGGGGGCAGGTCGCCCAGTGCTCAATTCGGAAGAGTGGGGAGGTAATGATGTCACTGGGCACGCGGGCGAGCTGCCTCTGCCGGTTGCCATGGCAGCGGCAGCCTCTCCAGGGAGGTGAGCTCTGGAACCCACTGCTCACAGAGCCCACCAGCTGGTCCGAGGTTCTAGGAATTTTATTCATCTCTTCAGAGGGTAAGAGGTGGAGGGTGGGGGGCCTGCAGGGCCAGGCACACGGGTGGGGGGGTGCTCTGGAGGCATCCTGGGTTTTGGTATTGGACAGACCTGGATGAGGTCTGGTTCTGCCTCCTCCTGGCTGTGTGGCTTTGGGCAGCTTCCCTAATCTCTGAACTCATTTCCCAGTGGACTCGAGAGTAGTGGAGTGTGAGGCAAAGCCCTGAGTGCGCTGCTTGCACACGGAGCCGTCAGGGCCGACGGGGGGTCCTGGCACGAGTCCCAGGGCTGTGGAATTTTAGAGCCGGGGGGACACCTTCTCCATCCTGACGGTGCTCTAGTTGCACACACGGCTTTGCAGTCCAGAAACCACTCACCCCCTGAAACCCAGAAGGCAGCGAGGTTTCTCAGTGCAAGGGCTCTTCCTTTTGTTCTGACTTATGAGCCAGGAGAATGAATTCGTTTCTTATACTGTGATGATGGGCTGCCCCAGTCGAGTCTCGGGATGGCCCTGAGTGTCCGCACAGCCAGGCACCGTCTGGTCACTTGGGACCCGCCATCTGGAGTGAGGATGGCGGCCCCTGAAGCTGGCCAAGGCGGAGTGTGGCTGGGCTGCTGCTGACCAGGCCCCTCCCTTGCAGACGTTCTCGGGTGGCTACGTGCACGTGCTGAAGGGCACGCTGTCGGAGGACCTCCTCATCCAGAGCTTCCAGAAGATGGGCTATGTGCCCAGGGACAACCACTGCCTCACGGTGACTGCCCTGCCTCCCGCCTGCCAGCTGGTGCAGGTGGCCCTGGGCTGCTTCGCCCTGCGGCTGGAGTGTGAGATCCTGGGCGAGGTGTTGGAGCAGCTGGGCACCAGCGTGCTGCCAGCCGAGGAGCTCCTGCAGGCTCGGCGAGCCAGCGGGGACGTGGCCTCCTGCGTGGCGTGGCTGCAGCAGCGGCTGGCCCGGGAAGAAGAGCCTCCACCCCTGCCCCCCCGGGGCTCCCCAGCTGTGTTCCGGGCCCAGCTGGATCTGTACCGGGACCTGCAGGAGGACGAGGGCTCGGAAGAGGCCAGTCTTTATGGAGAGCACTCTCCAGGCCCAGGGTCGCCCTCCTTGGAGCTGGCCTACCAGCCTCTGCTCTGGGAGCAGAGTGCCAAACTGTGGGGTGCTGGGGGTGAGGCCTGGGAGCCCCTGGAGGAGGCTGAGGTGTCGCAACCAGCCAGCAGCCCGCCCTACAGGGCCTTGGGGGAACAAGAGCTGGAACCCGAGGACTTCTCCTTCCTTTCTCTGCACCGAGAGCTGCTGAGTCAGCCTGAGGACTTGGCTTCTCCCAAAGCCCCGGGGAGCCCCGGGCGGGCCAGCCCCCAGCACGGGCACAGGCCCATTCCCGAGCCCCCTGGCTACCAGGCACACAGCTGCCTGGCCCCTGGTGCCCTGCCCACCCTCTGCTGTGACACCTGCCGCCAGCTGCACACCACCCACTGCGCCGTGCTGCCAGCCTGCCGTCTGGGCCACGAGCTCCGCGCGCTGCTCGGAGACACCCAGCAGCGCCTGTGGCTGCAGCGGGCGGCGGTGGACACCCTGCTCTACGACAGCCCTGGGGCCCGGCCGTAGGCCTACCCAGGCCGCGGTTAAGGGCTTCCGGAGTGTGCGGTGCTTCTCTGGCTCTCATCCCTCCTCAGGCCTGGGCCGCTGCTGCCCTGGAGAGGGGTCCCAGGCACAGTGGGAACAGTGCGGAGAGCCCACAGGCAGGAGTGGGTCCTGCCTCCCATGGCGGGCTCCTGCCTCACCCACCCCCACCCCCTTGCCCTCAGACCCATGCCTGAACGTGCCGGACGAAGTCCAGCCTGTGCCCCTGTCAAGGCACCTGAGCCTGTCCCCAGGGCCCAGCGGCCACTCTGGAGCCCTGACCTGCTCCCTGCAGTTGCCACTTGAAGCACATCGCCTCCCGCCAAGTGTCCAGAGGGACCTGGAGGTGACGCTGTGAGCTCAGTGTCTGCTGGGCCTCGTCTGGGGGCTCTGCCGAGAGCTAGGCTGACCTGGCTTTGGAGATCTGGACCCTTGATGTGGGTGTCGCAGGCTAGCACTGAGTACTGGCTGGACACTGGCTACGTGTGCCCCAGCCACAGCTGTGCGTGGAAACCAGGTCCACAGGTGGAGGAGGAGTGGTCGGATCTCACACCAGAGAGGAGGGGCCCAGAGCTCTGGGGAACAGGCAGCAGCAGGCAGGTGCGGACGGAGCCTGGACTGGCTGTCAGTCCACCCCAGGACCAATGGTAAATATCTGGCTGGGCAGACTCCCAAGGCCAAGGTGGGCAGGTGCAGCCCCTCTTCTGGGTCCTGGGAACCGCTAGCTCCCAGGCCTGGAGGGTGTCCACCATCCGCAGCCGTGGGACCGTCCTGCCTGCCGGGCAACCTCCTCAGCCAGCACCTGCCCGGCACCCACCTCCCCTCCTTCCCAGCACTCATCATGTCACAGGACAGAATCTCAAATACATTAAAGAACACTGAACCCACCGCATCTGTCAGGAAAGCTTTTATCTCCGAGTTCCTGAAGCACCAACCACACCCTTCCCCTTGGGGCCCTGCCCCAGCAGGGACCTTGCTCTAGTGTCAGAGTGGTCTTGGCCCAGACCCCAGTCCAACCTACACCCAGTCCCTTCTCCCCACAGAGTCCCACCAGCGCTGCCCCAGGCAGACCTTGGTGACCAAGAGAGGGCACAGCATCCATGAGCGGTCTGCATATCCCAAGCCAGCAACACCCAGTGGGCACTTCCTGAGCTGCTAGGAGCCAAGGGTGTGGCAATGGGCAGGACCCAGAAGTGCTACTAGATGGTGCCACCACAGCCCAGGTAGGGCCAGCCTCAGGATGTACCCCCGCACGCATCACCCTGCGTCCACGCCCTGCTGTTCTGGGGCAGCACCGGGCAAAGGCAGCAGGAATCCGTGCCGCCAGCTGAAGCAGCTGGTGCGTCCCAGCTGAGGGTCCAGTCGGATCTCATGGGCCTCTGGCGTCAGGGCCGGCAGCGCTTGCTCTGGCTCTCAGACGTGGCCGCGGCGGCCCGCTTGTTGCGGTGGTGGGGGAAGGTAGGCATGAGCTCCGGTTCACAGGCTGCAGGGAGGGGCTGTCAGCACTGCGTGGGGGTCTGAGCCCTGCTCTGCATTCACAGCAGGCCCCGGGAGCCCCCCACACCTCCTGCTCCCCTGCTGTGACCTGCAGACTACGTGTGGCCAGAGTGTCTAGCTGCCACCTATGCAGGGCCAATACCCCACCTGGACTGGGAGCCCCCATACACACACCATGGGCTGGGGGCCTGGGGAGCTCTCTGAGGTTGTCCCAACACGCCCACCCTGGAGAAGGCCGCTGGCCGAGAACTCTGCACACTGAGCCTGAGGGAGCTGGGGACTCACGCAAGGGCTTCTCCTTGAAGTAGGAGCTCTCCAGGCCGTCCCCCGCTGTCGCCCTGGAGGACACTGCTGTCAGCCCGATCCTGGGTCTCCGAAGCTCCTCTCCCTCACACCTGCCCAACTCCGCAGCCCCAGGTTCGGATTCCCCGACAACAGGGGTGGTGGGAGGGAGGGGCCTGGGGCCTAGACGCTGCTGGGAAGCTCAGAACGGGCTCCAGGGACTGAGTGGACAGAGACCACAGCTGGGCACCCGGCCTGCCGTGCGTGTCTGGGGAGAGAGCACCTTGGTGGTGGCATGGTCCGTGTTCCGATAAACCTTTGAAGGGCTCAGGCTGGCCCTGGCCAGTTTAGCTCAGCAGTTAGAGTGTCGGCCCTCAGACCAAAGGGTCACGGGTTTGGCTCCTGGTCAAGGACACCTACCTCCCCGGGGATGTGTGGGAGGCAACCAACCAATGTGTGTGTCTCCCCCTCCCTCCCTCCCACTCTATCTCGGGTGAGGATTAACAAAAACCACAAAAACCAAGCTCGAGCTGGGGGTGCCCCAGCGCCACGGGCCGCACCTCTTCCTCGGGTCATACATGAAGAGCAGGTTCAGCAGGCGCAGGCCGGCCTCCGAGAGCCACGGGAACCTGTGCTTCAGGTTGTTGTACGGCTGCTTCCTCAGGCTGTACTGGCTGACCAGGGGCAGCTTGGAGAAGCCCTGCGGGATGGGGGTGGGTGTGGGAGCCGGAGCGGCAGGGCAGGCCGGTAGGGTGGGCAGGGTGGAGGCTGAGGACTCACTGGCCAGATGTTTTCGCTGGGTGTCCCCAGCAACTGTACGATCAGGTCCACCTGGTGGATCTCAGAAGTGCCAGGGAGAAGGGGCTTGTGGGCCAGCAGCTCAGCCAGGACACAGCCCAAGGCCCTGCAGAGCAGAGCAGGGCCTCACCTCACACACCTGTTAGGGCCACTCCAACGAGACCCCCGGAGGCCGAGCTCTGCCCTACGTCCCCCATGAGCCAGGGTCAGGCCAGGGTGGAGCTCCAGAGAAGGTCGCATGGAGGCCACTTGACTGGGCCCAGCGGGTTCACTGGGTGGCCACGAGGGCAAGGCCGGCATCCTGTGGACCTCAGTGCGAGGGGCCCGCGGTGCTAAGCTCTCCCTCTCCCTTCTGGGACCCAGGCTTAGGAGGGGAGCTGGAGGAACAGCCCCGCTCTGGCCCCAGACAGCAGCTCCCACAGGGCCTGCACTCCACCCCTCTCACCACATGTCAATGCTGGTGGTCTGCGTGGTGGTTCCCAGCAGCAGTTCTGGGGCTCGGTACCTGCCAACAGAACCACCCACCTCGAGTCCAGCAGTTCCTGGGCCCCCACAGGGCACAGCAAATGTGTGCAGCCCGCCCACCGGCCACTGGCCTTCCTGGGACCCAGACGGTGGACGGCAGGACCACTGACACCACCGTTCCCGTGAAGCCCTGGCCGAGTGCATCAGGGTCCTCAGCGGGGCCTACACCTTCCCTGGTGATAGTTGGGCCTGAGTGACCCATGGCAGGAGGCACCTGACTCCAGTGACCTCCCCTTAACCACACCCCACCTTCCTGTAATAGTAAGCAGTTACAGGAAGGCACTTGGACCAGCAGCTCGGCCAGGACACAGCCCATGGACGTAGTCCAGCCGCCCCTTCCCGAGAGCCCAGGGCCAGGCTGGGCGACCTGCTGTCAGGAAGCTGCCCCAGACCCAGCCGCCCCAAGTGTGTGCGGCTCAAAGACCTGCAGCGACACCCCAACCCTTCCCTCCACCAGGTCACCTTGTCCCGAGGGACTCACCACAGAGTGACCACCTTGGGCGTCATTGGCTTCACTGGGATGCCATAGGCCCGAGCCAGGCCAAAATCCGCTGTGACAGAGGCAGACAGAGGAAGGGTGTCACCCATCCAGGGCCAGCTCTCAGCCTGCAGGCCCCACCCCCGCGAGCTGGCGTGCCCAGACGCCCACCTCAGAGCCAGCACCTGCACCCACCTGTCTTCACGCAGCCCTTATCAGTCATGAGCAAGTTGGAAACCTTCAGGTCCCTGCGACAGAAAGGGACTGTCAGGGTAGTCCTGTCACATCAGGGTGACACTCAGCGCTCCCCATGTCTCCTCTTTGAACTTTCTATTTTCTTTAGTTTGTTGCCAATGTTTTACAGACGAGGGCAGGCGGCGCGGGGCACGTGGGCAGGGCCACCAGTGCCTTTCTCGGAGCAGCAGAGCCAGGCCTCCGGCCCACAACTCAGGTCCAGTCTTGCCCGAGCTCCCCACCCGGGCAGCACAAACTGCCCCAGGACGCAGGGAGCTGCTGTCTGTAGTTCTGCTCTGGGCTCAGAAGGCCCTCCCCTCCAAGTCTCTGCCACGAGACTCCAAGCAGGCTCTCCACTGCAGGACTTCTCAGAGCCTTGACTAACTCCTGGACCCCTCCCCAGGAGCATCATGAGAACTTCCACTGCACTGGGGCTGTGCCTGCTTCTGCTCCCCTCCTGGACCCCGGGCAATGATGCACTGGAAGCCAGGGGTCAGTAATGGTGGTCACCCTTCCCCGTGTCAAGAACAAGCACAGCCCTGGCCGGTTTGGCTCAGCGGTTAGAGCGTCGGCCTGCGGTCCGGAGAGATCCGGGTTCGGTTCCCGCTAAGGGCACGTACCTCGGTTGCAGTTTGAACCCGGCCCTGGTTGGGTCGTGCGGGTGGCAACCACTCGATGTGTCCCTTTCACGTCGATGTTTCGCTCTCTCTCTCCCCCTCCCATTCTATCTGAACAAAATATCAAAAAATGTCCTCAGGTGAGGATTAAAATAAATAAATAAAATTAAAAACAAACAAACAAAAAAACCAAAAAAGAACAAGCACAAATGCTCGAGGCCCTGCCCTCTTCCAGGCTGTTGCCATCCCAGCACCCTGAGGCCCTGCCCCCATGCACACCAGCCCCTGGTTCTCCAGGGCTCCCAACCTGTGGATGATGAAGTTCTGGTGTAGGTACTGGAGGCCCCGGAGCACCTGCAGCACAATGCACTTGACCTGTGTGGAGGGCGGGCAGTCAGGGCAACCTGCTCGGCACAAATATGCTGGATAAGGACCCGAAGACCCCCCCGTGCCCTGACCTCGCACCTGGGCCTCAGAGAAGGGCGTTGGCATGTTCTCCAGAAGGCTGGCCAGGTCTTGCTCACAGTAACCCATCACCAGAAAGATGCTGGAAGAAGGGAAGACACATGCCACCTCGCACCTCCTTGCCTGTGGAAGCTAGGCAGAGTGGGCCCAGCAGGGCCCAGCATGGAGGCCAGCGGACTGCTCACCTCTCCAGGTGGTTCCCCACAACCACCTCCTTCAGCTCCACGATATTTGGATGGCGAAGGCGGAGGAGCAGCGTGATCTCACGAAGGCTGCTGATGGGGACCCCTGTAACCGGACATGCCTCAGCAAGCCCACATCTGGAGATAGGACCCCTTCACCCAACCACCTCAGCAAGCACCCCAGGCCCACATCAGCCCTCAGTGACCCCCACCCTACACTGTCAGGGCTCTGCTCGTAGCTCAGGGAGAATCGAGGCCATCCCAACAAGCACCTTGAGCCCTTCCTTCCTTCATCATATGCAAGGCAGCAGCTCTACACTGACCACTGACCACACAATGGGCAGGGCTCTGTGCAGGCAGCCAGGGAGGTGTGGGGGTGGTGAGCAGGGGTGCATGGAGCACACAGGGGCTGCCAGGTCTTTGTAGGGGAAGGCCCTCTGGGGGGTGAGAGCTGAGAAAGATGAGACAGAGCAGGACTACAGCCCAGAGGGTGGGGATGACGAGCTGGAGCCGAGACCAGCCCCCTTAACCACCACGCAGATGCTCTTGGGAAGGCCACCACGCAGTCTCAGCACAGAAGGTTCTCTCCTAAGCGAGCCCCAGTCAACCTGTACCTTTCTGCCTCCTCCCACTTTGAGCTGGAAGTGGTCCAGCATCCCCACCTGCTCACCATCCTTCTCCTTGTCCATCCGTACTTTCTTCAGGGCGACAATCTCATCTGTCTGGGTGTCCCGAGCCCGATCTGGGATGGAAACTCATCTGTGATAGAATCCAACCTGCTCCTTGATCTCACACCCTTGGGCCACAGAGGGGCTCTTCCTGATATCTGGGGTTCCCTTTCTCTTCTTTGAGAACCAGGTACCCAGTGACACTTGTTCTCTCTGTGCAATCCACACCCATGGCCCCACTGGACACGTGTTCCCGGGGAGTCTCTGTGCTGGGTACAGGGTGCCTAGTTGTAATAAGCTCCCTCTAAGATTCCCTCTTAGATCACTGCTTGGTGTTCTGTTGTTACTATGTTCTAGCACCAAATCAGGTACTTTACCTAGAAAAAAGAACCCTTATTTTGTGCAAAGATGGCTCCCCACAGCATTGTGCTGATCTGTGAAGCCTCCAAATGTTTAGCATTGGGAACCACACCGATGTTGCAGCTGCTGCAGCTCTGGCTGCTTTTAGAAGTTTTGCACTTTGCGACTGTAACAGCTACAGCACTCATGGTTACAAGTTAGCGATCCGACGCTATGATCATTCACACAGGTAATCACTTGTCTGGGCTTTTGCCCTGGCTCCTTCCCGCCCTATGATGGCTGCTGTGGGACTTTCCTGAGCCCCTGGCCTCCCATCTTATTCACTCACACACGATGCCGTAGGTGCCTTCCCCAATGCGGTTCAGCTTCTCAAACTCCTTTACGCTCCGGCACTGTCCCAGCTGAAAGAGAGAGGTGCTGGCAGTGCGAGGATTTGGTAGCTAATGGGCAGCTGAAGACTGCCATTTCACATTTAATCTGTACCACGTACGTCTCACCAAACAGAAAGGTAATCACACACTTGGCTTATCAGATGAGAAAAGGGGGGTGATGATACTGGGCCAGATACTTCTAATGTAAAACCAGAGACGTCCTAACCACTCTCCCTTTGTCCCATGGTCCAGATGTACGCTGTCTAAACAAGTAACCACCAGCCAACCGTGGTTAAAATAGAAGTTTGCTTCCTCAGCTGCATTACCACGTGCTAAGTGTTCTATGGCTCCATGTGGCTCATGGTGACACCAGATGGTTCAGGAAACAGTACAGTTCCATCATCACAAAGTCTACTGAGCAGCCCTGGCCTAAATTATGCTCTGCGGATGGCAACAGCTTCAAGATGAAATATCTACCAGGGTGGAAATGTTTCTGTGGCAGAGACTGACTGTCCCTAACATGCAGACACTACTCCTTCCTTTGAGCTATGAAACGCTGCCCAAGGGCATGCAGCCGCACAGTGGGTGGCCGTTTTCCCCAGCCTCCCTTGTGGCTAGGTATGAGCAGGTGACTAAATTCTGGCCAACAAGAGACAACCTGGCACACTCGTAGGTAGACTGAGTTGAACACCTTTGCTTAAGGCCAAGAAGCACAGGGAGCAAGGTTCGAGCTGAATTCTAACAGCCCCTCTTTGGCCTCTGCCTCTATTTTCTTACCAACCCTTACCCTCCAACTCTACTTTCTTTCTTTATAAAAAAATTTTTTTTCGCCCAGCTGGTGTGGCTCAGTGGTTGAGTGTGGACCCTGCACCGAGAGGTCGCCGGTTCGATTCCCCACACGCCCAGGTTGTGGGCCCGATCCCCAGTGTGGGGCATGCAGGAGGTGGCCAATCGATGTTCTCTCTCATCCATGTTTCTATCTCTCCCTCTCCCTTCCTCTCTCAAAAAAAATTTTTTCTTTATTGATATTAGATCGGGCCCACAACCTGGGCATGTGCCCTGACCGGGAATCGAACCGGCGACCTCCTGGTGCAGGGTCCACGCTCAACCACTGAGCCACACCCGCTGGGCACCCAACTCTGCTTTCTAACATCTGGGGAACCACGCGGCCTGAAGAAGCCCCTCCACGATCTCCGGGCAGGCTCCCTTTCCCGCCTAATTTCCCTTCTCCGTGACCGCTCCTGCCACTCCCTAAGTCTGGCCTCGTTTCTGCGTGTACAGCTTCTAGTGTCACGTCCTGGCCCAGAGAACTGTCACTGCTTCCACAATCTCTTCCTGGCCCCCAGGAGAAGACAAGTCTTCCCCCGAGGCGCCGGTGGCTTCGCCTTGGAGCCCTGCTGTGGCGCCTCTGCACTGAGGGTCGGGGTGTGTGTCCGCCGCCCTTGGGGCGGGGTTCCCAGCGCGGTGTCGGGGCGCAGGGGCTGCGCCCCGCGGGGCGGCTCCGGGGGCTCCTGCGCTCGCTCGCTCCAGTCCGGTGACATCCCGATGGGTCGAGACTCGGCCTCCGGGAGCACCGGGTGCAAGTGCAACCCACGCCGGGGCTCCGGCCCGCCGTGGTGTGACCCTCTCACCCCGAAGCCTCCCCTTCCTCGTCTCCCCAAGGGGGACCGTGGGGGCGCCTGCGGCGAAGGCACAGGGCACGGGCGAGGGCCCGCGCAGAGCGAAGAACACATGGAAGCGGCGGCCGCGACCCGGCCCGGCCCATTCCCGACCCAGCGGAGCCCACGGCTCCAAGGGTTCCGCAGGCACACGTCCGCCGGCCCGGGGCAGAGGCCCTAGGAAGTGGCCCCTGGGAGCCTGCAGCCGCTCCCCACGCGCAGGCCGGCGGCTGCAGAGCCGCCCGCCCCGCGCCGCCCCGCCCCGCCCCGCGCCGCGGTGGGACGCCGGCCCGCGCCTGCCGCGAGGAACTCTGGGACTGTCGTTCCCGCCCGAGCCGGAAACCTCGGCGCCGCCGCACGACACTGAGGCCGGGCTCTTTCGGCCCCGCCCTGCCGCCGGCGACCCTCGGATCGCACCCTGTGTTCCGGGGGCACCGTGAAGAAGCCTTCCTTACGGACACACTTCAGGCGGATCTGCTCCGGCTCCGGCTCCGGCTCCCCCATGCCGAGCGCTGCACCAGCCGCCCCGCTGCGCAGGCGCGGGCCGGGCTCCTCGGCGCAGGCGCGTTGCCACTTCCGGGGCGTTCCCTGTAGCGACGGTTACCAAGGGGACCGAAGCCCTCAGGACCTCAGCTCCCACCGTGTACTCGGCCTGCGGAGGCTCGCGCCGTGTTTCGGCTTTAACATGGCCCCTGGCCGGGCGGGGGCGCCGGGCGACGGCCGCCGGAGGAAGTGGAGCCGCGGGAGCCGGGCCTCGGAGCTCGGACCTCGGGAGGGGCTTGGCGCCCGGGGGCTGGGGGCTCGGACGGGCCTGCGGGGACCGCGCGGCGGCAGCGGCGGGACCGGGCGGGACCAGGGCCACCTGGCGCGTGCGCGCTGAGCGCCTGCTCGGCCCTGCCCGGCTCTGCGGGGCGGGCGGCTCGGGAGCTGCGCGGCCGAGGGGCCGCCGAGCGGGGGGGCCTCCTGTGCCAGGGGACGCGCTGCTAGTGCCGAGCCGCTGTCAGCCCGTCTCGGACATTGCGGAACGAGGACGTGAATCAGTTAATGCGTGGAAACCTTGTGTTTCCATTTAAGCTGATTCGTTCTAGCCTAACATTAAAACTTTTTTTATATTAATTTGCGGTATAAGCACGGTGGTTAGACATTCGTATAACTTACAGAGTGATCCCCTGGCAGGTCCAATACCCGCCTGGCACCATCCATCCGTAGTTATTACAGCGTTATTGACTGCGCGGTGCTGTATTTACCCGACTGTTCTGTAGCTGCCAATTTGTACTTTTTTTTTTTAAACAGAAAGCATTTCTGTTTACTTTAACCAAAATCCAAACACCTAACATAAGCATTTGTATGACCCTTGGGCTCACAAAAGGGAAGAACTTTCTGACCCGATCCTTAAAAGACCGCCCCCCCCCCCCAACCCTCTAGATTCTATTTTATAAAAATATGTGATGAAATCCAGAAGGTACTTCTATCTCCTAACACCCATACTAGAAAATTAATCTCTGCGGTCAGTGTCTTGTGGTTGGGGATACGTTTGAGCCCAGCTTTGGATCTTCTCTGGTGAGGACGGACACCTGTTCCACAGGTGTGAATGCCTGTTTGGTTTTGCCCAGAAGACATCTTGTCCAGAGCTTCACATCCTGTCAGATCACAGCCAACAGCTCTGCGGCTTCCTTCCGTTTCAGCTTCTGCTCGTCACCCTTGTTCACACGTTTGTCCCAGAGAGGTTCCCAATCCCTACTTCTCAATCCCTTTACCTTTCAATCCCTTTACCTTGTCCACCCAGCCCCCAGCCCCCACTCTGGCAACTCTCAGTTCATTCTAGCCTTTTTGAATTCGTTCACAAGCTGATAATGAGGTTGGAATTAGTGCCATAGTAAGTGCAGTTTTTAGATTATTTGAGATGCTCGGGACAGGCATAGGAGGGCAATTTGTAGGTCCAGTAGAAATGTAATGGCTACTAGAAACTTATGGAGAAGGGTAGGCATACTGACCCTATGGATTCAAACCTACATTTGTATGGACTTGATTTGTCTGTATATTTAGTTGTGGCAGTCAGAATGCCTAAATATATTGAGTAATGTCAATAGTGTGTCAGTAAACAATGTCAATATGAGAGTTATTACTTTTCGTGTTATTCCAAAACTTAACTGATTGGAAATGAATTGTACTGTTTAATACTAAAAGAACATACTCTTCATCGACAGAGAAATAGGAACTGTGTGTAGAGCCTGCTGACCATTCTAGGAACTAAGGAAGCTCACACAGACTAACGTGAGACCAGCCTGAGTGGGGCCTTCTCTGCAGCTTGGCGAGGGTGGAACAGCTGAGAGTCCCCTGGAGGGCCCCCGCCATAGGGATCCCGCATCCTCAGCCAGAAAAACAGGACCTGTCAGCTCCACTCTCCTCTTCCTGGGGTAGATATGACAAGGCCACTTCCAAAGTTCTGAGTGTGTGGCTGCTCCCCTCCCCCCACCCCCCACCCCCATTCCACATTCTTCTTTTGAATCTTAATGCCCAGGATCAGGCTAGGAGCCCTTAGGCCCTGCACGGAACATGATACCTTGGAGTTCAGTGCTCAGAGCCCCACCTTCTTTCCAAGTCGGGGGGGACACCCCATTCACTGCAGCTGCCCACGCTCCTTCTCCTTTGGAGTGGGCCGAAAGAACTTGAGCTGACGTAGGAGATGCCACCTGCTGTCTGTTCATCAGTCTGCACAGCCAGCCACTTCCAACGGGGGGAAATGATTTATTCATTTAAACCCACGTAAGAGTCACTCTTGCCCTCAGCCAAGCTGCCAGCAGCTCTGGGGAAGGGGAGACCACCATGGTCACCCAGGGGTTGGGGGTCCTTGTCTCCTGAAGGGTACCTGCAGCTTCCACAGGACAGATGGCCCTTCTGCCACCATGGCTGAGACACCGCAGTGAACAGGGACAGCTACTTGGGATGCTCCTTTATGCTTTGGTCTGAAGCATAGGCATCTACTGTACTGGGGTTCCTGTGCTGGGCGTAGGGGCCACAAACTCTCCTCTCCTCAATGGTTCTCTGCTCTTCCCATCCAGTGGAATTGTAGCTGGTCAGAGTCTCATTTGAGGCTCCAGTGATGATGATCTTTGGAATAACAAGTTTCTTCGTCGACTTTACCTTTCTGTCAGGTTTCTCTAGAAGGAAGGAAGCATCCAGGTATTTAGAAAGTCTGGAAAAACAGACAATGTCTGTGTTAGGGCCAAAGCACAGGGACTACATTTGTGGTTCAGGAAAAAGAAACAGGTGAGGTTGAAAGCAGTCAAACCGCATGGATATTCCAAAGTTTAAACTAGACACTCTTTTAGGACGAAAACAGGAGACACCTGCCATCCATCCACTGTGGAGACCCAGAGCTGCCAAAGGCTCAGATAATACACCTGGAAAAGGCAGGTGTGCCTCAGGCAAAGGTTCAGGTGCAGTTTCCAAAGGGTTCCAAGTCTGGTAAAAGCTTTCTGTACAGAACTTTGTCAGAACACTGTACAAATGGACGTTTCTGATGTTGGCCACATTTTCTTAAACTTGTTAACGTTACAAGGAATACACAGAACCTGTGCAATGCTGAGTTTGTCAAATGTTACAAAAGCATCAGGCCCTGCCCTGCTTCCACCCTGGGGTCACCGTTTGAGGGACATCCCTGCAGCCTCTGTCAAAGTGCTCTGGAGAGGTCTCTCTGCGCATGCACGTGCATGTATGGTTAGAATGTGCACACCATCATATCCTTGCACCACATGACTTTGCAGCATGCTTTGTTCTTCACTTAACACTCACAGACCCAGTCACACGGGACAAATAATTGCCCATTCTGAGCCCTAGAGTGATGGCAGTGAATAATGAATGACCCACAGCAAGCTTCTGAAGTAGGTCCTCCTATGACTTAATTTTACAGATGAAGGAACTGAGGCACAGAAAGTTTAAGTCACCCACCCAAGGCTGGCGGCAGAGGGAGATGCTGGAGCCTGGGTATCATCAGGTCCAGAGGTCCCTTGAAGGTCAGTGCTGCATCCACAGCCTTAATATATATATATTTTTTGTTCAGGTAGAGTGGGAGGGAGAGAGAGGAACAGAGAGAGAGAGAGAGAGAGAAACATCGATGTGAAAGGAACACATCGAGTGGCTGCCACCCGCACAACCGACCAGGGCCGGGGACAAACTGCAACCGAGGTACGTGCCCTTAGCGGGAACCGAACCCGGGTCTCTCAGGACCGCAGGCCGACGCTCTAACCGCTGAACCAAACCGGCCAGGCCCACAGCCTTAATATTTTAACCAAATGACCTCAGCCTGCACTGGGCACTGAGATTTTCATTCCTTTTGATCATGAAGCCAAAAACTTGCATTTCATCATATTCTCCATTTAATTTCAATTGGGGAGTTAATTTTTTACATTGATTTATACAAGTTTTTTATACATTAAGACTACTTAAAAGGCTATGAATACTTAATTTAAAATAATACATGTCAATTAAAAATTGCACATGAAATGATTCTTCCCCTTGCAGGACATGCAAGGTGGTGGCCACTCACAGGACTGCTAACTGACACAGGCTTCTGCTTGACATGTAGCAGCCTCTGGCTGGAAGGCTCAGAGATGGGGGACAGCTGACTGCAGCACCTCCACCAGGGGGCAGCTCGAGGCTCCAAGCCCCAGCCAGTATTCCAGGAAGCTTGTCCTGGCCCAGCCTTAGAAGTCACTTCTGCCACATTGTATTGGTGGTTACAAGAGAATGTTGAGCCTACAGTGACTTAAGGAGGGGCACAAGACCACATCCAGGTGAGAGGCGTGTCAAGGACACATGATGGAGCACATGGCGGGAAGACTTGGGTTCGTCTTTGGGAAACACCAGCAGCCACACATATACACCTTCACTTTGCAGCAGACCTCAGACACCATGTCCATTTAGACCTAAAGTATCTGGATGCAGATCTCACACAAGGACTTGCCTATATCCTATGCTTCTTTGAGGCATAATCTACACAAGATAAAATGCATAGTTCTTGACTGCTCAGCTGGATGAGTTTCCACAATTTTATACAGCGGTGTAACCACCCAAACACGATGCAGAATGTTCCATCGTCCCACAAAGTTCCCTCAGGCCTGTTTCTGGTCAGCCAGCATCCTCTGGTCAGCCAGCATCCTCAGCTCAGGCCAGCAGTCCCCTTGGTTTCTATCCCATAGTAGTCAAGCTTACTTTCAATACTTGGATAACACACAGATTCTTGACTTGTTGGAAGTCTCCATTTCCCTGAAGCTGTTATGGTATTAGGTTAACTAAAGAAACTAGACTTCCCAAAGATCTAAACTTTTCCAAATCTAGTAAGGACATTCCTTAGCTTTAAGATACAGATGTAGCCCGGCCGGTGTGATTCAGTGCTTGAATGTTGACCCTGCACCAAGAGGTCACCAGTTTGATTCCCCGTCAGGGCACATGACCAGGTTGTGGGCCTGATCCCCGGTGGGGGGCAAGCAGGAGGCGGCCATCGATGTTCTCTCTCGTCGATGTTTCTATCTCTCCCTCTCCCTTCCTATCTAAAATCAATAAAGTAAAATAAAGTACAGATGTGAAAGCAGATGTCTCCATCCTGGTTCTGCTGTTCGTCCTGGTGGACTCCACTAGATTCCTGGACACGGTTCTGCCACGGAGCCTGGCGGCTCATTCTATGCAGCCTTGTCTGGCTTTCCTCGGTCTCTGTGCAGCGCTGAACACTGTTGACTGATTTTCCTTTCTTCTTAACAGCTTTATTGCAGTGTAATTTACACATCCTAACATCCACCGGTTTAAGGCATGCAGTTCAGTGATTTTAGTGAACTTCCAGAGCTGGGCAACTGTCGATCCAGCTTTAAGACCTCTTGTTCCCATCTGCAGCCAATCCCCATTCTCGCCCTCATCCCGGGCTTCCCGCTCTGTACATTAGCCTTTTCTGGACATTTCATGTAAATGGAATAATAATACACATGGTCTTTACGTGTGGCCCCTTTCACGTCACGCTGGCTGTAGAGACCCCTGCGGTGTGGCGTGTGTCAGTACCTTGCCCGTTGCTGAGATGCCACCTTGCAAGAGAAACCACACTTCACCTTTTTAAAGCTCCATCCTCACTCTTTTTAAAATTTATTCCTCACCCAAGGATGGTTTATTATTTTTTAGAGAGTGAGGAAGAAGAGAGAGAGAGAAAAAAACTGATGTGAGAGAGAAACATCTATTGGTTGCCTCCTGTTCCAGAGATCAAACCCACAGCCTAGGTATGTGTCCTGAGAATCGAACCCACAACCTTTTGGTGTACTGGATGATGCTCCAACGAGCCACACCAGCCAGGGCAACCATTCTCCCTCTTGCTCTCTGACCTTTCCCCATCTATATCAATCTTCTCTTCGCCCTCCTGAAATGACAGTGTGACAGACAATGTTGGTGCCTTTCCAACATGCAGTCGCCTGCCCACAACTTTCCTTGCAGGCAGAGGTCCAGCCCTGTAAGATTCAGATGAGCCCATCCTGGAGATGCCAGGCAGGTGCTGCCCACCTGGGAAAGGTTCTTGCTAATACAAAGAAAGGAGAAACGCCTCTCATGGACTGTAGAGTCCTGTCTGCTTGTGACACCTGGAGCTGTCCAGCAGTCTGGGACCACATCCGGAGGGTGGCAAAGTATAGGTGCTCACAGTCCTACCATGTCCACCTGCTGTGCTGCTGAGCAAGCTACCTGAGCGCTCTGCCTCTGACCCCTCCTTACATGGGAAACATCAAACCCTCGGCAGTAAAAACACCTCTGGTTGGCTTTTCTGTGACTTGCAGCCAAAAGCCTCCTGAGACTGGCAGCACTCTCCAAACCTCCTCCCTAGGACTCTGGCCCCTCCTTCGATCTTCCAACCCCAAACGAGGGTCCCTAAATTGGGATTTGAAGTTCAGGCCTTGCTCCCAAGCCCGACACCCTCATTTCAAACTGCTTCCTTCCCTTCCTGACCCTACAGATGCTTCAGTCTGAACCTGCCTGAGCCCAGCTCCTCCTGACCCAGCAACTACTCAGTCTCTGGGTCACTGCCGCCACCCTCCTGCCCCTGGTTTTCCGCACATATCACACAGCAGGTTGCGCTGGTTCTGCCTCCTGGGTCCTTTGTATTTCCCACGGCCACTGCCTCATTAGTTCCTACCTCCTGGCAGGAACTGTGGGCCTGTGACAGGTCTCTCCGCGGCCCCAAAGAGCCTTGATGCTGGAGACAGATTTTTCCAGGGCACAAACCCCATCACACGTCCCTTGTTTTAATTCAGGTCCGTTTCCACAACCCACACGATAGAACTGATAGAAGACTTCATCTTCCGGCTGCTGCTGTGGCCTCACCTCTCACCCACATGGAAGGGTCTGGCCACAGGGGTGACGTGCAGCCATTTGCCAAACTGTTGCAGCGTTTGTGCCACTGAGGCCCCTCTTACAGGTGACTGCTCCAGCTTGTTCCGGTCTTGAGGTTGAAGAGCGGCAGTACGTCCACCCTCGGACAACAGCGTGTGCCCCGTGTCTGCGCACTGCGCCCGCACTTGATTATCTGTCACGCGTGGATCGCTTAGCAACTTCACGGAACTTGTTCTCTCCTATATAAAGGTCCTGAATCCATCCAGGAGGGCATGCCCCTTGCTGTCAGCTGTTTACCCCATCCCCAAACTCCCTGAAGCTGCAACTCCGGCTCTCCCCCCTTCTGCATGGGTCCTCCCTTCGATCTCGGGTGACGGCCCCTGCTGCCCTTCGACCGAGAGAAGCCCGCAGGCTTAGTGTCTGGAGGCTTCTCAGAGTCCTGGGAATACCTCTCCATCCACCTCTCCTTAGGCTTTGGGCCTGAGGAGGTGCACCCCTCTTGCTCCGCATCTGGAGTATACGGATGATTACTTAGACCTATGACTTCCTGACTCGGGCAGTGGGTCCGTTCTTCAGTTGCCTTCTTTGGTTCACAATGAAATGGGTGGCTTGACAGACTTGGGTCGCTCCATCTCCCTAAACTGGGTATTTCCATGGAGGGAAACGTCCCGAGGCACGGTCACCGGAGAGGACTCGGGAGTAAGGGGGGCGGGTGCCCAGCACCCCAAGCCCCAACAGGTGCGGCTGCTCCTAAGAGACGGCCTGCCGGCGGCGCTTTACCTTCCCGGGACTTGTGTTTGCTTCTGCAAAGCCCCATGGGTGAGCCTGCTCCCGGCCGGCGCCCGGACACCTGCGCTTCGCGGGCGGCCGCGCCAGTGACTCACAGAAGCCGCTGCTGCGCGGTCGCCACGGCAACGCCTCCGCTCGCGGGACCGGCCGCCGTCCTCTCGCGAGAGCGGCGGGCCGCCGGAAGTCGGGGGCAACCCGGAAGTTCCCGCCTGGCCGCTCGACGACCGCTGGAAACACCGTCCCACCGCCGTTTCGAGGGCTGCCGCCGCCGGACTGACCATGGACGGTAAGAGCCGCGGCCCTTCGGGGCGCAGGCGGGCGCCCCAGGCCTCGTCCTCGGCCCCCGGCCCCCGGTCCAGGCTCCAAGCCCCCGGCCCAGGCCCCCGGTCCTCGGCCCGAGGCTCCAGATCCCCGGCCCCCGGCCCTTTTGGGCGTCCGGCTGCCCCCACCCTCCAGCCCCGGGGCCTGTGAGGGACACGGGCTTTGGGGCCCTGGGATGTCAGGTCAGAGGGCACCGGGAAAAGAAGCGGGGGCAGCGCGGCCCAGGACCCCGCGAAGAGCCTAGGAAAGCCCAGGCCGGCCCCCGGCAGCCCTCCGGAGGGGCCTCCTCCTGCAGATGGGACCGGGGGGCTGCCTGCCCGCTCAGCACACCGGCAGGGAGGGGCCGCTCGCTGGGTGCTGGCGCCCCAGGGGGGTTTGGAAAACCTCTTCCTGACAAGTGAAGAGCCACCAACCCCGTCGTTCAGTGAGGGGAGTTCTGCACAGGTGGCCTGGGAAGATGACATGTCACAAACATACACACAGACACACTCACAGTCACACTCACAGACACACTCACACACTCAGACACACTCACACACACAGACACACACTCACACACTCACAGATACACACACACTCACAGACACACTCACAGTCACACACACACAGACACACTCACACACTCACAGACACTCAGACACACACTCACAGACACACTCACAGACACTCACAGACACACACACTCACAGACACACACACAGACACACACTCACACACTCAGACACACTCAGACACACACTCACAGACGCACTCACACACTCACAGATACACACACACTCACAGACACACAGTCACACACACACTCACACACAGACACACACTCACTCACACACTCACAGACACATTCACAGACACACTCACACACTCAGACACACTCACAGACACACTCACACACTCAGACACACACTCACAGACACACACACTCACAGACACACTCACAGACACACTCACAGACACTCACAGACACACACACTCACAGACACACACAGACACACACTCACACACTCAGACACACACTCACAGACACACTCACACACACTCTCACACACACACACTCACACACACTCACAGACACACACACTCACACTCACACACGGGATTTACTCCCTGGGTGGGCGCTCAAGGGAGCTGGCTTTGCCTGCCCCACTTTCTTCAGGAAGAGAGATTTCCTTGGCCAAGTGTTGCTCTTCCAGAGTCTCCCCACCACTCAGGCCCAGAGGAGAAGGCCAGGGGCAGAGGGTGCTTTAGCAGCAGGGCCACACCCCGGCCAGCCCTGTGTCCCGTGTGAGAGCACCCGCCTGCACGGTGCCAGCCTAGCTGTGGCTCCAGTCACCGCCCTCGGCCCTGGCCAGGCCTGTGCTGGGAGAGGCCCCTCAGCACCCTGTCTGGTCACGGGAGGCGATGTCTTCGTTCTGAGCTGCTGTGGTGCAGTCTTTCGGGAGTCAGTCTCCAGGCTGAGAGATGGAGTCAGTTGAGATGGTTTTAAGATGCACTCGAACCTCCCTGGCCCTGCGCTTTAGTGAGTGAGCAGCGAGTCCCCCCCGTTGTCAAGGCAGTTAGCCAAGGACACACTTAGGTCTCCTCGCTCCTCAGTGTGTGCGGTGAGGCGCCTCAGCCGGATCTGATGGTGTCAGAGGCATCACCCTGCTGTACCCATCCATTTACTTTTGGGGAGAAAGTGGATCAAAAATAGATTGTCAAGTATTGAGCCTTGTGAGATTGGGAGAGAATTCCAAAGGACCTTTGTAAAGTTGCTTTAATGACAGACCACCCCCTTGAATGTTCACTGTGGGCCACACACTGCCCGCACACCAACCCTCAAGGTCAGCTGGTGCCTCCTTGTGTCACTGCTGAGCAGTTGGAGGTTCAGGAGGCCCTGCAGTTGCCCAGGCCCTGCGGCAACGAGGGAGCAGAGCTGCTACGTGTTGGTCCATCTCCTGAGGCCCTGTCAGTGCCGGCCACTCCTGTGCTCTGCTCATCTCTGCGTGTCTAGAGGGTCTGTGATCCTATCTGCTTCTTGGAAGTATCACTTGTCACATTTCTTAAAATACTCAAACCATCTCCTCTCTTTGCAGATACCCTGTTCCAGCTGAAGGTATGTGTTGAATGACCATGCGCCCCAACCCTGTCCTGCTGGTTAGTGAGAGGGGACAGTGGAGTAAGTCACACTCAGAGGGACAGACTGTGAATGGTTGATGCTGCACAGTGCTCAGCCAGACTGACAAGGGGCTACTGCGTGGCTTGATGGCATGTTCATTATTCTCTTGTCTCAGGCTGAGGGGAAGGGTCACTTGGGCTCACCCGTGAAAGAGTGGATGTGTTATCTTTAAGAAACACAGCGTGGGCCCTAGCCAGTTTGGCTCAGCGGTTAGAGCGTCGGCCTGCGGTCCAGAGAGACCCGGGTTCGGTTCCCGCTAAGGGCATGCGCCTCGGTTGCAGTTTGTCCCTGACCCTGGTTGGTTGTGCGGGTGGCAGCCACTCGATGTGTCCCTTTCACGTCGATGTTTTTCTCTCTCTTCCTCTCCCTCCCTCCCACTCTATCTGAACAAAAGGTGGAAGGGTGTCCTCAGGTGAGGGTAAAAAAAAAAAAAAGAAGAAACACAGCTTGGGCCTGTGGCTCCTCCCTTGATGTTCCACTAGGATTTAAAACTGAACTCAGGTCCTGTGCAATCCCACTGAAGGGAGCTGTTGTGGCATCTGGGCTCCCTCCGGTCTGGGTTCCCCCCCAGTCTAGGTGTTCCCTCTGGTCTGGGGGCTCCCTCCGGTCTGGGCTCCCTCTGGTCTGGGTGCTCCCTCCGGTCTGGGCTCCCTCTGGTCTGGGCTCCCTCCGATCTGGGCTCCCTCTGGTCTGGGTGCTCCCTCCGGTCTGGGCTCCCTCTGGTCTGGGTGCTCCCTCCGGTCTGGGCTCCTTCCGGTCTGGGCTCCCTCCGGTCTGGGTGCTCCCTACGGTCTGGGCTCCCTCTGGTCTGGGTGCTCCCTCTGGTCTGGGCTCCCTCCGGTCTGGGCTCCCTCCGGTCTGGGTGCTCCCTCCGGTCTGGGTGCTCCCTCCGGTCTGGGCTCCCTCTGGTCTGGGTGCTCCCTCCGGTCTGGGTGCTCCCTCCGGTCTGGGCTCCCTCTGGTCTGGGTGCTCCCTCTGGTCTGGGTGCTCCCTCTGGTCTGGGCTCCCTCTGGTCTGGGTGCTCCCTCCGGTCTGGGCTCCCTCTGGTCTGGGTGCTCCCTCTGGTCTGGGCTCCCTCTGGTCTGGGCTCCCTCTGGTCTGGGTGCTCCCTCCGGTCTGGGCTCCCTCTGGTCTGGGCTCCTTCCGGTCTGGGCTCCCTCCGGTCTGGGTGCTCCCTACGGTCTGGGCTCCCTCTGGTCTGGGTGCTCCCTCTGGTCTGGGCTCCCTCTGGTCTGGGCTCCTTCCGGTCTGGGCTCCCTCCGTTCTGGGTGCTCCCTCCGGTCTGGGCTCCCTCTGGTCTGGGTGCTCCCTCTGGTCTGGGCTCCCTCCGGTCTGGGCTCCCTCCGGTCTGGGCTCCTTCCGGTCTGGGCTCCCTCCGTTCTGGGTGCTCCCTCCGGTCTGGGCTCCCTCTGGTCTGGGTGCTCCCTCTGGTCTGGGCTCCCTCCGGTCTGGGCTCCCTCCGGTCTGGGCTCCCTCTGGTCTGGGTGCTCCCTCCGGTCTGGGCTCCCTCCGGTCTGGGTGCTCCCTCCGGTCTGGGCTCCCTCTGGTCTGGGTGCTCCCTCTGGTCTGGGCTCCCTCCGGTCTGGGCTCCCTCCGGTCTGGGCTCCCTCTGGTCTGGGTGCTCCCTCCGGTCTGGGCTCCCTCTGGTCTGGGTGCTCCCTCCGGTCTGGGGCTGCTGCACTTCTGGTGACTCCAAGGTGAGCCCCTGCACTGTTCCCTTAATAGCTCACCATCCTGGCTGGTGCTGAACGACTGGGCCAGACTGATGCCCGCCAGCTGTGGGTGCTGCTTGTCACCCTGGCTTTGCCACGGACAGGGAGGGCAGGGGGCATGGGAGGCCTCGGGCACTTTGTTCGCAAGCCCTTGTGTGGACGGCACCGTGTTAGGTGACCAGGACCAGATTTCCAGGGCGGGAAAATGTGGATTTCCCCGTAAGGAGCGTAGGAGTGTGAGTAGACAGGCGCGAGACTCTTTTTCGGTGACAGAAGGTCCCAGTACCGAGTGCATAGGAGAGACGCATGGCTGTGGGAGGGCCTGAGGCAGTGGCCCCCGGTGGGTGGTGTGGGGCAGAGGGGACAACACTCGCAGGACCAGCGTTAGGAGACTTTGGGCCTTGGGGACGTGGGTCACCTGGGCGTCCCCTCTGTCGGCTCCCTGGTCAGGGGAGGAGAGAGCGGTCGGAGTGTCAGATGACCACGGGGAAGACAGGGATGGGCTGGGTGGTCAGGACTCAGGGTGACCTTGTAGAGAAGGCTTGTGCCTGAGAGGCCGGCAGGCTGGGGCGGCCCTGCCAGTGTGACCCGGGCTCTGGCTTCTGCTCAGTTCACAGCGAAGCAGCTCGAGAAGCTGGCCAAGAAGGCGGAGAAGGACTCCAAGGCGGAGCAGGCCAAGGTGAAGAAGGTGAGGCCTGCAGCCCGTCCCCATCTTCGCTCCTGCGTCTCCCTGGGGCTGTCACTTCCACGGGGAGGGGCCGTGCCTGAGGCCTGCAGTGGCTCCTCTGCCTCCGCGCCCCATGTGTCCGGAGCAGAAAGATCAGGCGTCGCCTGTGCTCTCTCTGCCCGTGACTTTCATTCACTTCCTTCGTCTGAACTTGATTTTCCCAACAAAGGACGTAGGACGTGGGTTTCTGGCGGTCCCTCCCGGACTCCACCACTCTGAGCCCTCTTTTCCCGGAGCCTGGGCAGAGGGGAGGCAGCCTGTCTGTGGGGAGAGGGGCAGGGCTGGAGGCTGCCGGGGTCCCCATGTCTAGTGGGGCCTCTCCAGGGAGGGAAGACGGAAAGGCCAGAGGGGTCTGGCTCCTCTCGGTGGAGCCTCTGCTATGGCTGCTGAGTGGGGTGTTGGATTTGGTGACTCCCACCCAGATGGTGGATTCCAGGTAGAAAGGAGGCCAGAGAGCCCAGTGTAGTCGGAGTTCTTGTCTTCAACCGCTGTGATCCCTTTGAAATTGGTGTCTCCCTCTCTGTGTGTGTGGGAGGTGATGTGAGAGACCCGGGCAGGAGCTGAAGAGGCTGGGAGACGGGGAAGTGGAGGGTGGGGCAGTGACCGTGTTGCTGGCTTTGCTGTCGGGGCCCCGCTGCAGGCTGGTCTAGCGGCTCTGCCCTGGCGCCCTGGCTCCTGAGCAGGCTTGGGGCCTGGTGTCGCATCAACATGAGCCTGCAGAGGGTTGTGAAAGGGCCGCACCAGCAGACACGCCCAGGAGAGGCCAGGCCCAGGCCCCTGAGCAGGGGTGGCATTGCCCCGAATTTCAGGCCCTGCAGCAGAAGAACGTGGAGTGTGCCCGTGTGTACGCGGAGAATGCCATTCGCAAGAAGAACGAAGGCGTGAACTGGCTCCGCATGGCGTCCCGCGTGGATGCGGTGGCCTCCAAGGTGCAGACAGCTGTGACCATGAAGGGGGTGAGTGCTCAGCCAGGCTGTGTGTGCGGGCCGCTCCCCTGCTGGCTGCGTCCAGGGACCAGCTGAGGCTGGAAGAGGGTCTGGGGGGTCCCTCCACACAGCAGGTGTGTGCCGAAGAGAACAGTGCCCCCGAGAGCCCTGGAGCCCTTGGGCTCCTAAGTGCCGCAGCCTGGTCTCCTCGTGTCCATTTGTTTCACGGCATTTCCTGGGGGCCTGTCCCAGGGAGAGTGTGGGCCTGTTGGCTCAGCCAGGGCTGGGTCTCGTGGGCCTGAGCAGAGGAGGCTCGGGGGCCTGTCCCAGTGGGGTGGGGAGGGCTGTCTGCTCAGCAGGGCTGGGTCTCGGGGGCCTGAGTAGAGGAGGCTCAGGGGCCTGTCCCAGTGGTGGGGGGGGGCTGTCTGCTCAGCAGGGCTGGGTCTTGTGGGCCTGAGTAGAGGAGGCTCGGGGGCCTGTCTGGGGGGGGGGGGCGTTGCTCTCTTCAGTTGCGTTGCCTCCTCCCTCCCTCCTGTGCCAGGTGACCAAGAACATGGCGCAGGTGACCAAAGCTCTGGACCGAGCGCTGAGCAGCATGGACTTGCAGAAGGTGTCTGCGGTGATGGACAGGTTCGAGCAGCAGGTGCAGAACCTGGATGTGCACACCTCGGTAGGTTGGCTGTGTCCAGGCAGGTGGGCAGCGCGTCGGGAGGGTGGCTTCTGGTTGCCATGCTTTGTCCCCCCTGGTATCAGCAAGTGTCCTGTGTGCTGAGCCCCTGGGGCCGCTCCCAGGGTGCCTGGCATCTTATCGGGGGTCCTGTAGCACACAGAGCTTGAGCGGATGAAGCTGGGGCTGGGGTGCTAGCTCCTTGCCAGATGGGTGGCCAGAAAGGCTTCCTGTGGGACACCCCGAGGCTGGAGAGCCAGACACGTGCTGCAGAGTGAGGAGGCCGGAGGGGCAGTGAGCAGGAAATGCGGCCGGCCAGTCACCACGCAGGGCCGGTGGCCCTTGTGAGGCTGGAGTGCGGCTCCCGGCTTGGACCTGACCGCCCAGAACCTGACCCCCAGGTGATGGAGGACTCCATGAGCTCGGCCACCACCCTGACCACGCCGCAGGAGCAGGTGGACAGTCTCATCGTGCAGATCGCGGAGGAGAACGGCCTGGAGGTCTTGGACCAGCTCAGCCAGCTGCCGGAGGGCGCCTCCGCCGTGGGCGAGAGTTCCACGCGCAGCCAGGAGGACCAGCTGTCCCGCAGGTGGGTGCGGGGGCACCGTGCTCTGAGCCTTGAGGAGACAGAGCGCACCCCACCCCGCAGCACGGTCCAGGTGCCGGCAGGGAGGGGGCTCTGCCCAGGTTCCTGAGTTGAAGTGAGGCCCCTCTGTGTCAGGTCCCACCTCAGGCTCTCCCTGCCCCCAGTGCACCCAGCTCCCTGTGGGGGTGGACACAGCTGCTCCCAGAGCCTTCCCCAGCGTTGCTGGGGCAGCCCGGAGAAGCCGGACTGGAGGAGGGGCGGGGGGAGGGTGCTGATCCCGCCTTCCTCATGGCGGCTCCGCTGTGATCTGCAGGTTGGCTGCCCTGAGGAACTAGGAGCCGCCGCCCGCCCCGCCCGCGCCGGGCCTCCGCTCACCTGCAGCAGCCGGGCCCTCGCTGCTCTCGGCCTCCCCGCCCGCCCGGCCTAGACCTTCCTGCCCTCGTAGGCTGGGTGGCGGATGAGTTTGCACAAACTGACTTTTGTGGGTGATTTCTGTGACTCTGGGCCAAGCAGCTGGAGGACCTGCAGGCTTCCTTCTGTGCCCCACTCTGAGGGCGCCCTACGATAGCCATTGTGCTGCTGGCTGTCTGCCAGTGGGCTTGGTGCCCCTGTTGCTAGGCAGTACCTGGAGCCCTCCCCGCAGCAGGCAGGGGCTCCCCGCCCCTGGGCAGACACGGCACAGGCAGTGCCCCAGGACCTGTGGGGGGCGCCCTCAAGGGCCACCCACAGACGCTCCCCCTGCGGCCTTTGCAGAATGTTCCCCTCCAGCCTGGACCTGCTCTCGTGCCTGCTGGCTGAGCTCCTTGGGGGTACCTAGCCGCAGGTCAGGCATGCCCACTCTGGGGGCGCATCTTCACACCACTGCTGCCTCTGGGAGGGCCCAGGAGGTGTGGGGTGACCCTCGGAGCCCAGTCAGCCAGGCCCTCCCGGCCCAGGAGCAGGCAGCCACACGGTCACACCTCCTGGCCCTCGACTGCGGTGCCTCCCTGACGCCTCCTGTCTTGTGCTCACTGCTGACCCTGGAAGCCAGCCGCTGAGGGGCAGCTGGGGCCAGGCACCCAGGACAGCAGGTGCATCCCGGTGCCTCGGGGCCCAGAGACGGCTGCACTGTCTGTGCCACGTTCCTGAGGTTTACTTTGTTCTTGAAGCTGTTTGTTTTTTTTGTTTTTTGGGGTTTCTTTTTTTTGCCAAAACAGAAGGAATGGGTGGCAGAGGGAGAGTGTTGGGTCTGTGCCCTCGGTGGGAGCTGGTGGGAGCGGCGTGGTGGGTGCCAACCAGGGGGCTCCTTGTACAGCTGAGGTCCTGGCTGCCCAGTCTGTCCTCACTCCAGTGGTTCTTGGGAACAGAGACATCGGAGACCTTCACCTTGACTTCTGCGTTTTCTCCCCGGACTTGGGAGCTGGGCAGCCTGCTGGCCGTGGGCTGTGGGCTGAGGCCCGGGAGTGGGGGCGGGGCGCTTTCTGGCTTTTCTCCTGCAATACCCCCCTCAGTGCCCTGGCTGTGACCCCTTGGGGTGCCCACGTACTGGGGTTCAAAGGAGATTTGTGTGTCCTGGACCTAGTGGGGGAGAGGCCGTGGCCCATGAACGGCAGTGGGTATTTGTGCCCTTTTCCTAGAATGCTGTAAGTAAACAAGTTGATCCCTAAGAAATGGCTCCAAGTTTGCTTCAGTGGCTTTGGGGTGGGGGCAGCCATACGTGGGACCCTCAGTGTGGCCGTGCAGCCCCCCACGCAGGAGGCTGAGGGGTACCTGCAAGAGGGCAGGCAGGGTACAGGGAATACAGATCCTCAGTCTCCGCCCAGACAGAATCTGTAGTAAATTTTTACTTTGAAATAATTGTAAACTTAATGTTTTGAGACTATTTCAAGACGAGTATTAAAGCTTTTGTCATCCGGCCGGTGTGGCTCAGTGGTTGAGCATCGACCCTGCACCAAGAGGTCGCTGATTCGATTCCCAGTCAGGGCACATGCCCAGGTCGTGGGCCCGATCCCCAGTGCGGGGCGTGCAGGAGGCCAGTCGATGTTCTTTCTCATTGATGTTTTTATCTCTCTCTCACTTTGACTTTCTCTCTAAAATCAATAAAGAAAAAGTAAATAAGGCCTTTCTCGTAGCCCACCAGGGGGCCCTTTCCACCGTGCCGGCCCCACCAGGAGCGGCCCTGGCACGGTGGGGGCGCTGGCAGAATTCAGCCAGCTCAAGAGAAATCCTGGCTTGCTTTTTTTCCCCTTTAACATTAACTTGACCCTAGGCGTCGAGCACGCACAATGTCCTTTCTGGTCACTTTAGATCCCCTGGAGGGGGTGCCAGCGGGACAGGGACAGGCCCGGCTGGCCCAGGGCCTGGAGAGTCACGGCCTCACAGCAAGTCTGAGGGACACTAATGACAGGCACAGGCTGCCCGTGTCCGCCGGGGCCACGCTGAGAAGGGGCATTCTCGAGCCTGGAAGGGCTCCAACATGTTGGGGTCCCATGCTGGGTCTGTCACCCATGAGTTATTCATCTCGAGTCATCCACCAAATGTCCAGCAGGAGGTGCTGTTCCTCTCCCACCACATGGAGCTCTGCCCTGCAGGGTCTGGCAGGACCTAGTCCCCTGTATGTGAAGAGACCCTGCAGGAGTAGCCAGAGAGGCCTGCTCAAGCCTGGTTCCAATCTACCACCACAGGCTGAGCTGGGGGGGAGGGGGTACACGCGTGTGAGTGCATGTGGATATATATGAATATGTGTAAATGTGTGTGTGCAGATGTGCGTGAGTGTGTGTGTATAGGTTGGTGTGTGCATGAGTGGGTGTATGCATACAGGTTGCAGGTGTGCATGAGTGCGTGTGGGCATAACGGAGGGTCTGGGTGTGCAGGTGGGTGTTTACATACAGGTGTGAGTGCAGGTGGGTGTGTGCATACAGGTGTGCATGAGCAGGTGGGTGTGCATACAGGTGTGAGTGAGTGTGGGCATAACGGAGGGTCTGGGTGTGCAGGTGGGTGTTTACATACAGGTGTGAGTGCAGGTGGGTGTGTGCATACAGGTGTGCATGAGCAGGTGGGTGTGCATACAGGTGTGCATGAGCAGGTGGGTGTGCATACAGGTGTGTGAGTGGGCATAACTAGGAGGGTGTGGGTGTGCAGGTGGGTGTTTACATACAGGTGTGAGTGCAGGTGGGTGTGTGCATACAGGTGTGCATGAGCAGGTGGGTGTGCATACAGGTGTGCATGAGCAGGTGGGTGTGCAGGTGTGTGCATGTGTACAAGTGCAGGGGTGGTACTGGAGCCTGGACTGTTCTCAAAGACCCTCTGCAATGTCTGTGCAAAGCCCTCCTCAGCCCTGAGCCCTTCTGGCCCTGGCCCTCCGCGACTCAGCACCCTGGGCCTGGGTGTCCAGCCAGGGCCACGCCACACAGTTGCCCTGGGATGCGTCGCAGAGCCCTCCAGGACGACACAACCGCTGGGCTCAAAGGGGTTGGTGCCTTTATTGAGAGTCCACTGTGGGCCTGTCCTGAGCTCCCCACAGCGTGTTCCCAGGTGCTTGCTCAGGACAGGCCAGTCCTTGCACATGGGGAGCAGTGTCCCTGGGGTCTGGGCTGCTCCCGTGGCCACAGTCTCCCCTGAGCTTCAGGAGCCCAAGGGGTTTGGTCCCCAGAGTGTCATAGAAGACACAGGCTGAGGAGAAGGGGGGCAAGGGAGGCCACCAGGACCCCCGACTGGTGGAGGCGGGGGGCCTCTGAGTAGCCATAATTGGTCCTGCAGGAACCGTCCAGCTTGTCCAGGGGGATGGGCTCCTCCTCAGGGTCCAGGGCGTGGTTGCTGGCCTGAGGAGAGACAAGGCTGGGCTGCCTGCCTGCCTGCCTGGGAGGAACCGATGGGCGGAGAAGCCCTCCTTACCTGCTCCACCGCCTCAAAGACCCTCAGCAGGTTGTTAGCCAGGGCACCCCTGACCTCCGCCTCCGTCCACTGCCTCCTGAGTAGCTCGGCGATCAGGTCTGGGTACTTGGACACGTCCTCAAGCCCCGAGGGGACCCTGAGAGGAGGGCAGAGAGGACCACGCTGTGCAGCCAGGGGAAGGGGCCTGGGGACCTGTCCACTCCCCATCCTGAGGCACTGTGTCCAGTGGGGTGGCCCTCCGAGCGAGGCATGCTGGGAAGGTCCTCGGGACACACTTCCCACTCCCCCCGCCAGCCCCTCAGACAGGTTCCCGGGGGGTCACGACCCCCAGCTCACACACGGAACACAGGCTCAGACCCTACCTCGAAACACCATCGAAGTCCCCACCGAAGCCCACGGCTCCAGCCCCCGCCACCTTCTTGATGTGGTCCAAGTGGTCTGTGGGGGAGGCAGCAGGTGTGGGTCCCGGGGGAGGCCCTCCCCACTCAGCGGCTCTGCTGCTCGCACCCACCTACCTGCTACTTGAGACAGGGTGGCCTCCCTTTTGCAGGCGACGTAGTCGTTGTAGAAGTTCACCATCACCAGGCTGCCGGTCTGCTTCTGCTCAGGACAGAGAGGAGCTGCAGGTTGGGGCAGCCCTGGAGCGGGGACCCCCCCCCCCGCCTGGGGCAGGGCCTCACCACCATGCGGAGCACGTCGTCGGGCACGTTCCGCCGGTGCGCACACAGCTTGTAGGCCGAGGAGTGGCTGAAGATGACGGGCGCCCTGGACTGATTCAGCGCGGCCTTCATGGTGGCCACGGACACGTGGGACAAGTCGATGAGGACGCCCAGCCGATTCAGCTCCCTCACCACACTCTGTGGGGACACAGGGCTCGGGAGGAGAGCCTGCCCCCATCCCGGGGGTGATGGCCGGTGCCCTGTGCACACTTGTGTTGGCACAGCCTTCCGGAACTCACCACCGCCCCCTGAGAAGTCCGGGCAGGGGGAGGGCATCCGGACAGGCACCCCTCGCTGGCCAGGTGTTCAACCCTTCCGTGGCTAGAAGATTGGGGCCACTCTAATGGCCCGTGGCCTCCAGCTGAATGAGACAGCCCCGGGATGACCCTGCCGGCTCCGTTTTGCAAGTGAGACTGAGGTCCCAGGAGACGAGACACCGGGTCCTGGGTCACGTCCCTGAGGATGACTGGGCCTTGCCCCAGCCACTTACCTTCCCAAAGGGCGACAGGCCTTGGCTCTGGGCCTCCTCCTCCCCCGTGTCCACCAGCCAGTTGTCGGCCCTGGGAGGGAGGAGAGTGGACGTCCCCACCCACCCCCGTGGAGTGCTCTCGGGAAGAGGGGACAGTGCCTCAGCCCACCTGCAGCCTCTCCCAGGCCCGGACCTCCCTGGGGTCCCTTACCAGGGCGTGTTACAGCTGTGCGTGAGGGTCAGGTACCGCATTCCCAAGTGGTAGAGTGCCCGCAGGACGCCCAGGCTGCTGTCGATGGAGTGGCCGCCCTCCACGCCGACCAGACTGGCCACCTTCCCCTCCTGGAAGGCCTGTCTGATGCCTGTGAGGAGAGCCGGCGGGGCCGTGGGCACCGAGGCAGCAGGCACCCTGGGCGCCCAGGGGGCACAGACCCCAGAGGCTGCGCCCGCCGCACTGGCACCAGCTGCTCAGGAAGAGGTGGTGCCAGCCGGAGGACGGGCTGGCTGAACCCACCTTGGCTACTGGTGACGCACTTGAAGGTCTCGGGGTACATCTGGCACATGCGCTGGATGACGTCAATCTGCTCCAGTGTCCTCCTCACGGTGTCTTTGTTCTGGGTCTCACAGGTTGTGTATGCAGACCAGAACTGGGGGCCAAGGGGCAGGGGCTGGGAACCGAGGCTCCAGGCCCCTCTGCCCACGTCCTGTGAATGTCTGCACCCCCCCCCCCCCGTGGAAGCATCCCCACAGCCTGGGTGGCTATCACCCTCCGAAGGTCTGTGGCCCCAAGGAGATCTGGGCGGGGCTTTGCCACCACCAGGGAGCGCTGCACCTTAGCCAGGACCCAAGGGAGGAGGGGACAGATCCCAACAGAGGTGAGCACAGGGCTAGCTGGGCCGTACCTGGCCCCCCACAAAACCAGCCCTCAGCTTGGGGATGTTGGTGTGTGTGGGGGCCAAGCTGGTCAGGTTGGCCTTCTGATTTCGAAGCTGGTTGTTGAACATGGTCAGCAGTTTCCAGGGCAGGTCGTTGTGCCTGGAGGGGCAGGAGGAGGAGGGATGGGAGGTCGCGGTGGCCACTTGACCCTGAGGCTCCGTGCTTCCTCCAGGGCCTCTGTCTCCCCTCTCCAATTCCTACTTCTCACACGCTCAGGACTAAGGCGGGCACAGGGGTCACAGGTTGCCCATTATCCGAATACACCTGAGCCAGGTCACCTGAGCTGAGAGCCCTGCATGGTTGGTCTTCCCTCCAAGGGCCTTTCCTAGGTGTCCTGTGCACAGCCCCTAGGAGCTGGTAGAATGCAGAGTCTCAGGCCCAGCCAGACTGACCAGTCGGATCCTGGCTTTACCCGTCATTGTGAGCAAGTGCACATACACACATGTACACACGTGCGCACACATGTGCACACGTACATACGACACACATGCACACATGCCTACGTGCACACGCACCCACATGTGTGCACACAAGCACACACAAGCGCGCACACGTGCACACACACACAAGTCCTTGCGCGCGCGCACACACGCACACGAGGGGTCCTCTGGATTCCTTGTTTTGTTTGGTTTGGTTAATCCTTACCTGAGGATATTTTTCATTGAATTTTGGAGTAGAAGGGAGGGAGGGAGACAGAGAGAGAAACACCAGTGTGAGAGAGACACATTGATTGGCTGCCCCCCCACATGACCCCAACCTGACCAGGGCTTGAACCTGCAACCCAGGCACATGCCCTTGACTGGAATCCAGCCTGCGACTCTTCATTCCACAGGCTGATGCTCGAACCGCTGAGCCAAACCAGCCGGGGCCCCTGTGGATTTCTAACGTGGCGACGGGGCTATGAGGACCGTCTGGGCCGGAGGGCGCTTTGTCCTGGGGACCCCGGCGCCTTTGGGGGCCACTGCGAGGCCCCTGCATACCACCCCTTCTCTGCAAGCTCCATCTCAGACCTTGGAAGCTGCCCCTGCTCTCTGAGGGGGGCAAGAGGTTCTGTGAATTGTGAGATTTCATGGACGTGACAGGGACTGGGCTGGGGGTCAGGACCCTTTTGCTGTCTGAGTGGTGGACAGTGGGCAGAGTCACTATCTCACTGCAGGGGTGGGGGTGTCTCAGCTCTGGGTGCTGTCCCGGGGGCAGGGCTGAACAGGGCCTCTGGAGGGGACATCACTCCTCACCCTGAGGACCCCCAGCCCCACCCCCCAGTGCCACCCGGAGGGAGGGGCGCTTTGTCTTCCCTCTCTCCCCTCAACCTCTCCACCCTTTGCTGGGACCCAAAGTGGGGAAAAGAGGGTGCCTCCACCCGTGATCAACCTGCTGTTCCGCCGTCCACCTTCCTTACCTCAGGGACTGGGCATTGTCCCTGGGGGGGAGAGACCCACTCAAGGGGGAAGGTGAGGCTTCTGAGTGCTGGACAGTGCTGAACAACAGACACACTTGGGCGGCTGTTGTGGGAGACACTACCGGTTGCCATGCCCCTCCTTTCCTTGAAGACAGACCCCGCCCCCCATTTTCAGCAGGGTACACCCTCATTTGGAGTCATTGCTTTCCACCCCTGACAGCTGGGCGTGGCCATGTAACTAAATCACACCTTCTTAAAGCTGGCCTTGACGGACGCTCACCCTTTGCCCTTTTATTACTGCTGGATGGCAGGCACATATGATGGCCGGAGCTGGTGCAGCCACTTTAAACCATGAGGTAATGTAGGGAATGGTGGCCACACCAAGTTCTTGGCACTGTGAGCAATGTGCCTGGACTCCCTTTGAACTTCTCTGTTGTTGAAGCTACTTAGTTAGGTCTCTTACCTGCAAGAACAGCTAATACTAACAGATCCACTGTTACTGGTTTTTATTCTGTCAGCCTAGTCCTAGCTTCTCAGGTCTTTGGACTGTCCGATAGCCTGGGAACTGGCGCCAGGCAAACTGTTCAGCCATTACCTCGCTTACCCAACCTAGACTCCCACCCTGTTTCAGGAACTGTTTGCCCCGAACTCATAGATCAACTCCTGTCCCATTCTCCTGTCCTAGTCCAGGAACTGTTCGCTCCGGGACAATAGACTCACATTCCAGGGGCCCCCATGCGTAGCCCCTCAGGACCTAACCCTAACAACAAGTTCCTGCTGCCATAGGCGCAGATATAAAAATCACAAACCCCAGCATCGGGCGCGGCTTCTCGGACTCGACCCCCGGAGTCTGTGAACCCGCCCGGAGTGTACCCAATAAAGCCCGATTTCTGCTTATTCGGCTGTTTGGCTCTTCGGTTTCTTCCCACCTCCCACCGGCGGCACCTGGCTACCTTACATGGACAACCCCAGCTCCCCGAGTATTCCGATTGTCTAGCCTCTTTGAGCCGTCGTACTCCACAGTGGGCCTCTGCACAGCTCCCAACACCTGAGCTCAGACCCCCTCTCTGTGCCCAGCTGCCCCGAGTCCCCTGGAATGAAGGAGCTGCTCCCCTGCCTCCCTTCTGCTAGACTGCAGGGTTCCAGGGTGGGGCGAGTGTGTGTGGACACCCTCGGACAGGACCATTAGGCAGAGAGAGCAGGGGATGCACGGTCCCCGGAGATGGAGCGGGGGCTGGGGGGGAAGCGAGGCCGGCACCTGACATCCTTCCGCCGCCCTCTGTTTTCTCTTACCTTACAGAGTTGGTTTTTATTTTTATCCTCACCTGAGGACATTTTTCCATTTTTTTGTTCAGATAGAGTGGGAGGAAGAGAGAGAGAGAGAGAGAAGCATCGATGTGAAAGGGACACATCGAGTGGCCGCCACCCACAGGACCCAACCAGGGCCGGGGACAAACTGCAACCGAGGTACATGCCCTTAGTGGGAACCGAACCCGGGTCTCTCGGGACCGCAGGCCGACGCTCTAACCGCTGAGCCAAACCGGCCAGGGCCCTTACAGACTTTTTTGTCCAACGAAATCCCGAGGCATCTGCCAAATAGTGACGACTGCACATTGCTGAGCACTGACTGTGCACAGCACGCGGGGGACCCTGCTCACACTGCCAGTCCCCGCCCCCATGCCCGTGGGTGCAGACGCCCCCTGCACGGGGACCCCGTCCCTACTTTCAGCCCGGGAGTCGAACACGGCGGCACAGGCAGGGGCGGGTGCTGGGTGTCAAGGGCCAGGAAAGGCCTGCCACTCTGGTGGCTGCACACAGCCCCGGGGAGCTGAGGGTGTGGATGCAGGATGAGCAGGGACAGCAGGAGGCAGGGGGTGCACTGGGCGGACTCAGGACCAGCTGCTGCCACAGGAGGGGCTGAGCGGGGAGGACAGGAGCTGGGACGTATGTCTCCAAGGCTCCCTCTGGCCACGGTGCTGAGACCAGACCTTGGGTGAAAGAAGCGGAGGAGAGTCTGGCTCACGAGGAGCCCAGCCCAGAGCAGGGCTGGGAGGTGGAAGGGACAGGGCTGCCATTTGGCTGTGGCCTCAGAGGAGGGACAGGGGCTCGGCTGCCGGTGTGCACACAGCAGGGGCTCGGCTGGGTTGGACTGTGGGGGCCCTCCGGGCATTGCAGTGAGGTCAAGCAGACCCACGCGTGCTGGGACACCCCAGGTGCATGCAGGACAGGGAGGGCCACGAGGAAAGGGTCTCAGGGAACAAGGTCACTCCTGGGGACTGCGGTGGACACCACTCGACCTGCAGCTTCTGGTGAGGAAGCTGAAGCCCCGAGAGCGAAAGGTGCTCCCTGAGGCCGTGTGGCCAGAGGAGGCACAACCTGGCCAGGCTCCCCGCGGCCCCTAGCCCCAGCACCCACTCTGAGCAGGGACCTGGCCCCCAAGGTACAGTGGGGGTCAGGTTGTGGGGTGCCCCAGGGACCTCGCCACTTTTCTCCTTCTGCTCTGTTCCCTACAGGTCCTCGTCTGCTGAGGACTTTGGGGTCCTCTGAGACCCCACAAAGAACCAAGGCCAACAAAGGGCATGACCCAGGTTACAGCTGGAGAAATGGCGTCCTGGCAGGGACAGGGCGGTGCCTGCCTCCGGTCAGGGACACATAGCCTGACTCCTGGCTCCCCAGGCCCAGTCCCCAGCCCCACCCCAGGAATGGCCACTTACCCATCAATGACAGGTGTATCCTGCATAATTTTCTTCGCCCTGTCCTGGAACTGATCGGCGGTGCAGATGGCCACCAGGGACCAGAGCCACCAGCTGGTCCACATGACGGTCCCCAGCGCCTGCTCCTGCTGCTGCTCCTGCCTGGCTACCTGTGCACAGAGAACGCGCCGCGGCTGGAAGGCAGCAGAGGCCTTTGGTCAGGTACTTGTTGCCAGGAGCCGCTCAGTTTATCAGCAATCAGCACATTCTCTGGGAGGGTGGGTAGACAGATGGCCCCAACCTGTGGCTGGGCGTTGCTGCCTGGACCAGGCTGAGAGGTAGTCAGAGGCTGCTGACCCCTGGGAGGGGCCAGAGTCCAGACAGAAGGATGCAGCTCAGAGGTGACAAGCTCAGGGCTGTGCTGCTATGACCCCCTCCATCAGACCGCGGCCTGTCAGAGGTCTGCAAACTAGAACTGAAAGAAAGTCGTTTGGACTTTGTTCCCACCACACCCACCAGTACCGGGGTCTGTACCCCAACTCCTGGCCAGAAGCCTCTGGGCTCACAGGGACCTGCACCCCCGCTGCAGGCTCCAGCCGAGCAGGTTGGACTTTGGGGCTTGGGTCAGAAATCTTCCGGAGGCTACAGTGTCCAGGGCCCGAGGGACCCACAGCCAGGTCGCAGGAGGACCGCTGACACGGTTTGGCTCAACCCATCTCCCTGCAGCTCAGGTGGTACAGGGCTGGGTGGGGATGACAGAGGCGCTAGTCTCGGGCACAACTGTCAGACAGGGGGCACCAGAAACCTCCGTCTTCGTGATGAGTAGTATTTTTTTAAAAAATTGTTTTCTATAAATGAGGAACATCTGTAATACATTTAACAAGATTAAAAAAAAAATAATAGCCCTGGCTGGTTTGGCTCAGCGGTTAGAGCGTCTGCCTGCGGTCCCGAGAGACCCGGGTTCGGTTCCCGCTAAGGGCACGTACCTCGGTTGCAGTTTGTCCCCAGCCCTGGTTGGTCGTGCAGGTGGCAGCCACTCGATGTGTCCCTTTCACATCGATGTTTCCCTCTCTCTCTCTCTCTCTCTTCCTCTCTCTCCTTCCCACTCTGTCTGTACAAAAAATGGAAAAATGTCCTCGGATGAGGATAAAAAAAATAAAAAATAATAAAAATAAATTAAAAAAAATAATTTTTTTCTGTATTGTTTTTAGACAGGAGGGGAGAAGGAGAGATAGAAACATCAATGAGAGAGAACATCAACTGGCCGCCTCCTGCACGCCCCCCTCTGGGGATCGGGCCCACAACCTGGGCAGGTGCCCTGACCGGGAATCGAACCGGCGACCTCCCGGTGCAGGGTCAATGCTCAGGCACTGAGCCACCCCGGCCGGGCTGAATGAGTAGCATTTTAACGCAATAATTTAAAAAACAAGAAACTTGTGCAAATATAACCCACGATGAACAAAACGTACAACTTTTGAGTAAAGAAAGAGCCGGTTTTCTGACTTCTCCCTCCTGCCCTGGTCTCTTGGGGACAGTCTCATTCTGGCTCCTAACTCCTAACTCCAGGTGTTTCTTGCAAGTTGGTGACAGGGTGGCATTTCTAGGAGGGACGCTGTGGGTGTGACCATCGTCCTTAAGTGCAGCCTGGAGAGGACCCGGGCGCCTTGGCCACACCATGGGCCCCCGCCCCCAACACCCTGTTCAAACTGCTCAGGAATCCCGACCGCAGCCGAGCTCATGGCGGCGGAGTCTCTGAGCAGGCCCATCTTGCATATTTTTCCCATTTGACCTGTGCTGGGGTGGCCAGGTGAGAGCTGAGTGGGCCCCGAGTCCGACTGCTGCAGGAGCAGGTCAGTCCACGCCTCTGTCTGTCAGGTGGAGGCCACCACGGTCCCAGAGTCGATCGCCTTGTCTGCGAAGCTCTAGCTGTAATGCATGGTTCCAGGTGATCTCTGCACCTGGCTTCTCTCCTCTTCCGTTCTTGTGCTTGTTTGGCTGGAGCTGGTGCTCAGGTCCTCCCCTGGCCGTGGGCATGTGGGGAGGAGTGTCCGCACCTCGGGCGCCTGCGGTCGGGGCTGCGCTCAGACACACTGCCGGGAGGTGCACCTGTTCTGGTGTGGGGCCAGCGTCCGCAGGGCCTCATCTTCCTGTCCTCAGGGCTCTGACCTCCGCAAGCGCCGAGCTCCAGGCTGTTGTTCATGAGGCCGGAGCATCACGGGGCCCACAGCCGAGTCTCTGCCCTTGTCGAGAGAAGCGGCGGGTCCCGGTCCTCTCGGCGTCCTGCTCTGGCCCGGAGGACGGCCCTCTCACACTGGCCCTCCCGTGTCCTGTCTTTCCCTCCCGGTTCAGGCTGCATCTGCTTTTGTTCTGTTCCCCGCAAATCACTTGGCATCTCCTTTGGGGAATTCCAGAGCTAACGTCTCGAGTGGTTTGCCGCTGTCTCGGTGGTCGATGCTTTTCCAGGGCACCGGTTCTGGTCACCGAGACAACGCTGCCTGCCCAGAAGCTCTGTCTTCGGCCGACTGCACTCACTGTACTTGTGAGTTTGTGCAGACCCAGGGCTGTGTTTGCGGCTGTCTCCTCCTCCAAGTCAGCGTGCGGGAAGGCAGCCACCACGGGGGAGCCGGCGCCGTGCACCTGGGCTGTCCTGACGCCGGGCTCTGTGCAGAATGAGGAGCGGCCGGCCTCTGACGGGCCCGGTGCCAGGCTGGACTCAGGCACGAGCCCACCTCCCAGGTCACCTGCCTGCTGAGGCTCAGGAAGAGCGGGCCTGGCCCCCCTGCGTGCTTGCCTTAGGTGCCACCTGTCCCTTCCTCCAGAGGCGGCGGCCCGCACGCAGTCTGTCTGCCACCTGGATCTGTCCCCTGGAGCACCCCCCTGTCTTATCACTCACAGCTCGGCCCAGCCAGACCTGAGCTTTCGCTGGCCCCAGCCTGCCGGACCCCGAGGACGGCAGCTCACAGGCAGCTGGCTTCTCCAGTCCTCCAGGTGGCCCTGCCTGACCCCACTCTGCCCGCGGTGGCCATACGTCCTGGCTGGCTTCCCTGCAACCCCTGGTTTGTACAGCAGCGCGTCCTCCCTTAGGGACACCCCGAGAGGAGGGTGGCCCCCGCCTTATGTCATGCCCCCCCACCCCGAAGCCACCCTCTTCCCCACACCCCCACCCAACCTGGCAGTAGTGATCCCTGCTCCATCCTGCCCTCCATCCATTGCCACAGAACCCCAGAACTCCATCCTGGGGGCCCCCCTTCCCCCGCCCACGAAGCACTCACCTGTCTGTCCCCCCATCCCCTACCCCGTTCAAACTCAGAGGCCTCCCTGGGGGCCCCCACCCAGGTGGCTGCAGAGGTGGGGGATCCAGCGCCCAGGCCCGCAGCCCCCTCGGGAGCCCCTAGACTCACCAGACGCGCCGGGAGCAGGGAGGTGCCGCTCTGCTCCCCCGTCATGAGCTTGGGTGTTGCTGCTCTTTTTCTGAGTTTCGGCCCTCCCCTGAGTTTTCAGCCAGTTTCACTTGCACAGAAAAGCCACCTCTTAGAAGGAAAATTTCCCCCAGGGGCCTGCGCAACACCACCAGAGCAGGACAGGGGCTTAATGTCTTGCACATGTCAGCTGGTTCTCATTTCTGTAGACGCAAATGCGGCCTCTGTCAGCTCGGCCCTTGGGGCTCAGGCTCCTCTGACCCACAGCTGGGCCTCGGGCCGGGACAGGCAGGGCCGGAGGGACCTGCTGGTGAAAGAGCCGGAGTCCCCGGGCAGTAATGTGGGGCTGTCTCAGCAGGAGGGCCGACTTGGGAGAGAGGAAGGGGGAGCGTGATGCTGGGCTCCTGGAGGGTCCCCAGGTCCCGGGCCCTTGCTGCTGAGGGTTCAGGGGTTGCAGCTGCCGCCCTCACTCCTTGGGACCCTCTTCCTGGCCCCAGAGCGGGTCTGCCCTGCCTGACCCGGGGGCCAGGGGCTCTGGTTTCCCTCATGGGTTGGGGGGTGATCTCCCCACATTTCCAGCTACTGAGGATCAAAAGCAGCCACGGTTGGTTGGTCTGCAGAACCACAGGGACTTTAAAATCAAGGGACAGTGCCCTGGCCGGTTTGGCTCAGCGGTTAGAGCGTCGGCCTGCGGTCCGGAGAGACCCGGGTTCGGTTCCCGCTAAGGGCATGTACCTCGGTTGCAGTTTGTCCCCGGCCCTGGTTGGTTGTGCGGGTGGCAGCCACTCGATGTGTCCCTTTCACATCGATGTTTCTCTCTCTCTCTGTTCCTCTCTCTCCCTCCCACTCTATCTGAACAAAGAATGGAAAAATGTCCTCGGGTGAGGATGATTAAAAAAAATAATAATAAAATAAAATCAAGGGACAGTGAGTCAGACCCGGGCCAGCGGGGGCAGCTTCACCAAGTGGCTCCAGAGTTCTGAGGTTGGGGTGGGGCACACCCTGGTGGGCTGTCCCGTCCTGACCCAGTGTCCCAGCAGCTGGGTGGGGTCACTGTGAGGACGCACAGCCCCAACCCTTCCCCGCCTCTGCCAGTCACTGTTTCTTTCTTTATTGATTTTAGAGAGAGGAAGGGAGAGGGAGACAGAGAAACATCGATAAGAGAGAACATCGATGGGCCACCTCCTGCACGCCCCACACTGGGGATCAGGCCCACAACCTGGGCATGTGCCCTGACCGGGAATCGAACTGGAGCCTCTTGGTGCAGGGTCGACGCTCAACCACTGAGACATGCCGGCTGGACCCAGTCACTATTTCTAAATGGGGGACAGTCCCAGTCAGGGTGCTGCCACAGGGGTTCAAATGAAAGACTTGGGAGGAAGGGAACAGAGTGATGATCTGGGGGCCAGGCTCCCCTCACTCAGAGCTCAGGGTGCCCTGGAGAGAGAAGGGCCTCGGAAGGAGGGGCATTGGAGCAGAGGGTGTCAGGGCTGCGAGGGCTCCTGACCCCCCCTCCCCCGCCCGGGCAGGGCTGGCCATGCACAGGACACGGAGGGCGAGGGCCCAGGAGAGGGGGGCTGAGCGGGCCTACTCCTGGGGAGGACAGGGCGGGCTGCATGTGCTCTGGGTCCCAGACGGGGGCCTGGACTGCGGGGTGCTGAGCCTGCCCCAGCCCTGACGTCATGGCTCCTCTGGTGGGAGCCTCCTTGAGCGATGGGCAGGAGGTCCAGGTGTCGGGGACAGAGATTTCTACTTTTAATTTATTACTTTTTGTACTGTTCCACATTTTTAGCCTGTGCATTAACATGGAAAAATCTAAGTAGCTGAAAGAGAAGAGGCTGGTGAGGGCTGAGCAGGCCACCCCCATCCTGCACACAGTTGACGGGTTCCCACCAATCCTGGGCCCCCTGAACCCTCCGTTCAGGGGCTGCTTGGCGGGTTCTGGTGCCCTCCCCCCACCCCACCCCACCCCCGCCTTGGGGTCAGGATTCTGATGGGACCAGCGACAGAAAGCATGTGTGGGGACACAGGCAGGCTACGGGGGGGGCCTCGCCTGTGGCACCTCAGCCTCCTGCGTTCCCATCTGTGGCCCTGGGGGAACAGAAGTCCCGGGGTGAGTGTGGGGACAGGTCAGAGGCCACTGGCTGGAGGGCGGGGTCGGGCCCCTCGGACAGACATCCAGAGGAAGTGAGGGGTCAAGAACTCACACCTTGCCCTGGCCGGTTTGGCTCAGCAGTTAGAGTGTCGGCCTGCGGTCCAGAGAGACCCGGGTTTGGTTCCCGCTAAGGGCACGTACCTCGGTTAGCTTGTCCCCGGCCCTGGTTGGTCGTGTGGGTGGCAGCCACTCAATGTGTCCCTTTCACGTCGATGTTTCTCTCTCTCTCTCTTTCTCTCTCTCCCTCCCGCTCTATCTGAACAAAAAATGAAAAAATGTCCTCGGGTGAGGATTAAAAAAAAACTCAGGCCTCGCAGCGGGGGCCTCCCCATTCTTTCTGGGGCCGGGAGACCCTGAGCCACCCAAACTGTCACCCACATGTTCGGGCGCAGAGCCAGCTGGGGCCTGAGAGGGGCCACCGGACTCCACTGGGGACGGCTCTGGCTCCCGGCTCCTGTCTGTGGTGTGTTTGTGAGACAGGCTGATGGGCCAGTGGGCACGGCCGTCTCCCCCAGCCTCCTCTTCCCGCGGCCCTTGGGTCACCTGTCAGCGTGAGGAGTTCTCACTGTTCTGTTATGGCCTCCCGGGGGCTCTGCCTCACTGAGGTTCACTGCCCCAGACCAGGCCTGCAGCCCCCAACACTGCCCAGCGGGCTCTGCCGACCCTCGGTGGCTCTGGTGGGCCCTGGGCTCCCCCGCGGCTGCCTGTGGCCACCTGTCCGCTCCTGGGACAGGAGCGTGAGGGACGCCAGGCGTCTACAGTGTGCGGGTCGGACTTGGTGCCTTCGAGACCTGCAGGTACAGCCAGAGTGCCCTCCGCGTCCTGTCTGGGACGCAGGCCCCGCGGTCGCGGCGGGCAATCCGGAGGCCCTGGCGGAGGTGTCCCTCTGAGCGGGGCTGCGCTGGCGGCAGGTGAGTGGCCGGGTCAGGGCAGGCTTCCGCGGAGGCGTCAGTGGGTGGAGGGGATTGTTTGCTCGATGCTTTTCCTTTGTTCTCAGGAGGCTGCTCTCGGATTCAACGTTTGGGACCTGAGCACTGAGGGACGGACACACCTGGGCTCACTCTCCCTTTGAAGGTGAAGGTTGTGAATAGGCAGTGTGGCCACGGTGTCCCCGCTGGGGACATCAGGGTATTTCTAGGCCCAGAGGGGCTGATCCAGGTAGAGCACGTTGGTGGCAGAGACAGACCAGGCCAGCTCCCTGCCTGCTGGGCTCGGGCTCAGCCCGTGTGGTCTGTCACAGCGGGGGGCCCTGTCGCCCGCCTTTCCTGCCCCACGGCCTCAAGGGAGAGCAGCTGGGCCTGGTCCCCATAAACCCATAAACCGGGAGACAGGGGCGGCCGCCTGCCAGCCGGGCTCATTTCAAAGACAAACACTGGTGGAGTTGAAGTGTGGCCGGATTACAGTCAGGAGGAACGAACACAGGTGGCACAGCTCCAGGGTTTGCTCAGAGGTGACCCGACGGGGACCAGGGACGAGAGCGGGGCCTGAGGGTCAGGAGGCAGAGAGTTTCACCAGGGGGAAGTGTGCCCCAAAACGCTTTCGTTGCAAAAGGCAGGGGAACGAGGAGTGAAAGGGAACTTTGAACTGCTGTTCAAGGTCCCAGATTCCTCCTGTCCCGAGCCCAGGCCGGTGCTGGACGTCAGCGGTTCTCGCTGTCCGCGGCCGAGACGCAGGACAGCACCTCCCCCCAGGAACCTGGAAAGTTATCATTTCGGTCTAGTTTATTTCTTTATTTTTTTAATATGATTTTATTGATTTCTTTAGAGAGAGATGGAAGGAGAGAGATCGAAACATCCATGTGAGAAACATCTATCAGCTGCCTCCTGCACGCCCCCCACTGGGGATTGAGCCTGTGTGTCCTGACCGGGAATCCAGCTGGGACCTCTCAGCCCACGGACGACGCGCAGTCCACTGAGCCACACCAGCCAGGCTGGTCTAGTTTATTTTCATTTTTATTTTTTTTTCCTTTATTGATGTTAGAGAGAGAGAGAAAGAGAGGGAGAGAGAGATAGAGACACTGATGAGAGAGAACATCGACTGACCGCCTCCTGCATGCCGCCCACTGGGGATCGAGCCTACAACCCGGGCAGGTGCCCTGACGGGGAATCAAACCAGCAACCTCTTGGTGCAGGGTCGACGCTCAACCCCTGAGCCACGCCCGCCGGACTGGTCTAGTCCCCTAGGAAGCCCAGAGAGAAAGAAGAATGACATGTTTCCTGTCTTAGATGTTCTCTGACCTAAGGGCCCAGACCAGTGGCCACTTGGGTCAATAAGCAGTTTCCCCAAGTTGCTGGAGAGCTGAGCCCCGAAATGCACGCTGCGGACGGTCCACGTCTGCGCCGCGTGCGATTCAAGTGTGTTATTAAACGTCCCCACACTGAGATGGGCCAGGCAGTGCAATGTGATCCCACTTACAGGTGGACTCTAATGAAGGAAGTGGAAGCGGATGCAGAGCAGACGGACAGCTGTCAGGGGAGGGGCTTGGGGGCGGGTGAAGGGGATGAAGGGATCAGCAGAACAAACACCTCCCAGCAGCGGCCTGGTGATCACCAGGAGGAGGGGGTGGGGGAGGAGGAGACACAATACTGTCTGCAGATGACCACTTTATATTATGAGGTCTTATGCTTGAAAGCTGTATAATTTGATGAACCAATGTCACCTCAATACATTCAACACAAATTGTAAAAAGCTATCACAGTGCCCGGCCGGTGTGGCTCAGTGGTTGAGCACCAACCCTGCACCAAGAGGTCGCCGGTTCGATTCCCGGTCAGGGCACATGCCCAGGTTGTGGGCCCGATCCCCAGTGGGGGGGCATGCAGGAGGCGGCCAGTCGGTGTTCTCGCTCATCGATGTCTCTCTCTCCCTTTCACTTCCTCTAAAATCAATAAAGGAAAAAATAAATACAAAAATACAAATAAAAATAAAAAATAAAAATAAAAAGCCATCCCATTGGAAAGGGGAGACTGGATCCCTGTGAGCCCATCCGGGTGTGCTAACCGGCCCTGACCAGCCAGCCCTGCC